ATATGATGTAAACCCCCACGATTTTTAAATACAAACTTGGCCTTTGTTCCCTGACACCGATCTAATGCATTTAATAGAACGGAGTTGCTGGTAAAGTCTAGAATAGGTAAAGATAATAACTTATTTTAACTCCGTGAAGTTTATCTGTAATTCAAACACTAACTGTAATTTCTAGCTGATATCAATCTTCCAGGGAATTAGATTTATAGTACCTCTGGGCGGTTGTAACTTTGAAATGTTCGGTGTTTATTTTAAAACGTTATCAAAATTGCATCTTCGAAAACTTTCTAAAATTGTAGCGGTGGATTACACAGTCCAAAGTGATATCCACTGTATCAAGGATCCTTTAAAGTATGGTTGCTGATTTCCGCCATTTCGTGTATTCGTGTATTGTCGTGCCTTCGCCCTGAAAGTCGAAGACACGATAAATTGGCCAATTATTGTGTCTCCGCCTTTCGCCTTTTGAGAAAACGGCACGACGACAAGACAAATATAAGGCACCGATACGAAGATTTCTACAAGCCTACAGAAGAAGATTTCGTGTTTTCGCCAATCAAAATATCGTTATTTTGCTTGTCTTCGTGTCTTCGCCCCTCAAAAGTCGAAGGCGAAGATTCGACTTTTGAGGGGCGAAGACACGAAATGGCAGAAATCAGTCACCATATAAAAGCATTTCTTTAATTATATAGGGACATAGATGTACTTTTTCTTGCTGAATCGCCCAGATATAAAAAAAGCAGTTTTATTGTTTCAATCATGGGAATTAAACTTATTTTGTTTATCTTTTACTCCAATAAATAAACGCTATGTGAATTAAACAAATTTAACTTTGTTTAGTTTTGAGTGTCAAATAAAAGTTGTGACATTTTGAAATGTATGTAATTTATTAGTTTTGTGACTATAAAATTAACAAAAACTCAAGTGTAAATTAAAAAGTTGCAGCATTTATGATTGATCATGAAATATACGGTCATTCGCATTGTACTTCTACTCTGGTAAAAAGAGAACTTCCTTGCACAAGTGAAAGCATCTAGTACTAGTTAAACTGTTTGACACCTTGTCTAGAAAGAAATGTGCTCTTGTACATTTAAAGTGGTATTCTGTCGTGTTCCGGAGGGTAACATACAAACACTCCCCTCCATATCACAATCATCACCTTTATTATAAACACTTGATCTTAGTTGAAAGGCTTACTATTCCTCAGAAATGCTTTATTTTGATTTCTCAAAAGCTTTTAAATTTTGGTATAGTATACCAAAAGTTACTCATTGGCCATTACCTGAACCATCTTTTTCATGTGTTGCTTTTTGAATATCAGTATTTTGTATTGGAAGTCAAAATACTACTTCATTTACATTTTGCTTCTTTTATGACATATTATTTCACATTTATTGCTACTTTCGTCAGATAGCACGCATGTAACATTCTGTAAAACCATTATTTAAACATTATAAACATACAAATTTTTCCTTTCTAAAGAAGTAGGAAAAAAATTGTTTCTGAGGTAAACTGTGCCTTTAAATGGACTAATAATACAACATCAGAATTGTTGATGAATCACGCAATAAACGTTATCTCGCGAGATTTTTATGATGTCATCTCTGGTTTTAGAATAGGGATTCTCATAAAATATCTATTTAACGGTCTGGGCGGAAACTTTTCTCACTTAATGGCGAAAATAAACGACCCTGTTAAGTCCATTTTTATGATACTTGTATACAATACGAAACTGTATTTTAATACCTGACATAGGCACTCCTATTTATCTGTGAATAACGATGCGAGAAAGTTAAAAATTGAATACCTTGAAAACTGATTAAAACTCATTACACGAAATGCATTTAAGATGATATGTTGTGATCTTTAAAATTCATTTTTTATTTATTTAGTAGATAGCATAAACTCTTTTTTGTCAAAAATTGTTTATAAACATTCATACATAGTTTGCTGCAAACGGATCAAGTTTATAACTAAAATTATTATAACAAAGATGTAAAATTTGGATTGTTTAGGATAGGTAAATCCTGGATATTGCAAAGACAGTTTAGAAACAAAGTAACCATATATTCCACTGCCAAAGTACCGCAATTTGCACAGCACTCCTTTTTCAGAATCTTTTGCAATTTCAATCCATTTTTTGCAATATTGCAACCAAAGTTTACACAATCTTATTGCCATATGTTGCGCAATACAAAATGTTCAATATGTTGGCAAAACATTACTTCCTTTTTTCTGCAAGTTTACAGCCAAATATTCCGCATTTTCAGCATGAACTTTTAGCATACAGGTGGATGATGATACAAACTGAATGTAGCATAATAAAATGTGCCTTTATACGATATTCGTCTTATATACTCCATTTAGACTAAGACACTTTAAAGTTTTCAGAAAATAACAGAAAATCTATGTACTAATATTTCAAAATCTGTTTTGAAATACACAATGTAGTCGAAATATCGCTTTAAAGCGTGCATATATTGATATTTTGCTCCGAAACAAGAAAGACCGCTGTTCCGCCATTTTTAAGTATACTGTATACGGAATTCCTCGATCTGGGTTATTTCTAGTTCCACATGGTGGTAGGGAACAATATCGGGATCCGTGCTTAGATTGCTGAAAGAAATTATCTGCTTTAGTTTTGATATTTGTGGAATTAAAAAGTTATAAATAATTAAGTGCATCATATATATCATAACCAGACTAAAAATTAAGGTTGAAATAATATTAGAGATATATCAGCTTACATAAATACACTACCGGATTCTGGAATTGTTCCCAAATACACGTGATTGTGTAAAAATATTTTTTTTTATATAATGGCTACGTCATTAGTAACGGTATAGAATAACATGTAAAGACAAATACTTTCGTGATTGAATTAAGAAGTCAGTTACAACTTATAATAGATTTTCACATAAAAATCAGACAAGTACATGTATTTACCACAACTTTAAATTTTATTTCATTTTCTTGTTCATTTATAACCATCTGGAGGCGTGCAGCTTTAAAATTGAAAAGGAAAAGGAAAACGCGCATGAAACCGTGTTAACTTTGTACAGCTGCATGGCCATGATCTTTTCTTGATAAAGGTAAACAAAGTGCAAATCGTTTCTAGTGTGCATGCGTATTTAATAAGATATCTCTGGTGCACTTGAACCAGATATCAAAACATGTTGTATCATTAACGCTGAATGCTGTAGGTATTTGATATCATTTTTTTGTCGTGAGTGTTACCTTTAACTCACAAAGAAACAAAGAAAACATCTACATGCTTCTAATTTTATTTCTTAGCTTCTAATATTACATGTATACATGTACTAAAGACAGATGCACATGTATGCATGTACTGCAGACATATCTTTTTATCGTTAAACTAACATGATTGTATTTGAGATCAGGAAACAAAGCAATACAATAAGAAAGAATAAAAGAAGTGGATTGAAATAGTTCTAATCAATCCTAAAACATTGAGTTAAAATGTATGTTTCAGTTTAAAAGTAAAAAGGTGAGCGGCTTATGCAACAAATCTCTGTCAAGGGAATTTTAGCATGTATAGCTTCGTTACCATTAATCACGTGGAACCGATGTATATTTAGCTCACACTGCACGGATCTGATAGTTCATTTTTACTTTATATGCCCACTATTATTTTAGGAACATTTTCTAACACAGGGTTAATATAGCAGGTGTCTGTATAGAGAAGGGTAACACTATTCAGATCTGAAGACAAAACTAGCTCTCTACCAAGTTATTATTTTGTCCTCTACAGTTAACAATGTTAATTTGTCCTTGTAGGGATCGTAATTGACGAAGATACAGTCAAACCAGTGTTAAAAATCACCTCTGAATAAAGATAATCCTGCAAATAAAGGTCACGTTTTGATAACCCTTCATTGATAAAATGGAATAAAGAAACCTCAAAAATAAAGATCATCTGTCTAAAAAGATTATTATTTGTCTCTTCCCTTGAGTGACCTTTGTTCATAGATTTGACGGAATTAATAAATGAACTGCACATAAGGGAGCAAGACCGGACGCGCTCTATAACGCTGAAATAGCCAGTCAAGTTTTACAATATTTTATTTTACGAAGTGAAGTTGTCCTCATAAATGCTTAAGGGAGGATCGTAATTGAAGACGATATAAGGAAGGAATATATTAACTGCACATCAAGCAGCAATCCTATTGTATTTCTGGATAATCACAATAATTATCTTATGCTTGCTTGCATTTTATTAGCTAAAGTCCATTGACAAAAGAAATTTTGTAACTTTTTTATTTCAATTTTATGTTTAAATCTTTATATGACGGTACATAAACAGTTTTATAGTCCATGTTTTAAAATTTAGTTAAAACTTTATGATACATTGTTGACAAAACGGTTTAAGGTACCAAGCTGTTAGTAAAGGCTTAGCGATCACTCTCATTACGCGAAGGGTATTTTTTAAAAACTCAAAAAAGAAGAGTTTCCGTTTATATATAGACCGTAAAAAATCGGTTAAACTTCACCTCTGTCTGTATCTAATAAATATATGAAAAACGTTTGTGTGACAGGATTCCATTTGCTTCTTTTCGTTTTAAAAATAACGGAAAGTTGCAAATATGTCTTTAAGAGACGGAAAGTAAAGTTTCAAATATGTCAATAATACAATAATAGACGGAAAGCTGCAAATAGGCCAATAAGAAACGGAAAATTGAAAATAGGCCAATAAGAGACGAAAAGTTGGCAATTATTATTATTATTATTATTATTATTATTGTTATTATTATTATTATTATTATTATTATTATTTATTATTATTATTATTATTATTATTACTATTATTATTATTGTTATTATTATTATTATTATTATTAATTTAAACAACGTTATACTAATAGCGTTTGACAATTTATTCTGATAGGACCAACTACGTAGTGAAAACTGTTTGTATAACTACATGTATTTAATTGTACATTTATTAACATTTAATTGATGCTGTTTATATAATATATTTGCAGGTGTGGAGTGCACATGCTCATCATTATATTCTCAAATACAAACTGATAAAAGTAAGTATTACAATATCACGTTATATATTACTTTGTCCCCATCTTCAAAACTATAAAAATAAAGTATACGGTAAAATCAAATGAATATCAGATAAACATTATCTATCAAGGAAACTTCCTTCTTGAAATTTTTTTTTCTGGTTAGAAAAAGGGACGGTTATTTCCCTTTTTCTTTTTGGTTTATATAAATAATATACAAAATATCCTCTAGAAATCATTCCCCTTCGAGAGACAAAGAGTTGTATCTTTGAAGTATTGCTTTAGGAAGTTAACATTTATTGTGATGTCCTACCTTGAGAAGAGTATATATACTGATGTTTTTAAGAGGCTGTTGCTGTACAGAATGTCGTTCTGTAGTATACAGGCTGTATTGCACATACATGGGCAGGTTTTGAGTTATTCTTTAAATAATATGTCTCTTAGGGTAATAGTGCGTATTTGCAACCCGAGAACTGAAACAACACCTGAGGAGGCGGAGCCTCGTGTATTACCTCAGTTCTCGGATTGCTTATATGCACTATTGCCCTAACAGACATGTGTTGCTGAACCAACATTTTAATGTAATTTTTCACTTCTATGTATTATTACTTCGATCGATTATCTTTTTCTATGAGGGGAGATAACTAGAATAACTAGAACGTTATGTTTTCTGTAGTCTATATAGAATACTCGCTTCTGGGGAATATTGCAAAACAGTATTGACCGGGTGCTATTCATTTCCAGGATGATAGATCTAAATAACAACATGTGACGTTACATTAGGCTATATATTAAAAAGTTTACGTGAGACATAGTAAATCATTTTAATATCTGTTTATACATTTTTATCTGTTTCAGTTGCTACTATGTGTAAAAGTGGTGTGGTACAAGGCGTCGATGTTTTCATTGACACAGATTTAGGACAAACATTAACGCTGAATTCCGGTACAGCATGTAGATGTAATTTACAAACCCAACGTGGTAAACAAGTCAAAGTAAGCTCACATTTCGCTGGACCTCAGCGTAGTAACTGCGGTACATCTGTAGACTTCACAGGCGGTGCCCTGGGGCATCACACGGTATTATCAACGCCTTGTTACTCGTACCAGTTTGATGTAGCAAGCCACACCTACACTAATATGTCAGTGGGTTTAAGAAGGGATTATGACCCTTATTCGTCACCATATTGCATTCGTTTCTCCCTAAGTAAGTATACTCCGGATTCAATTTTGAATGAATGATGTTACTTCTAGGATTATTGTAAAATACATGAACAGTTAAACGTACTTTTTCCGATAGCAAGTGTATTACTAATAATTAACTTCTTTACAATGTATGGTATGTATTGGTAGATTTAGAAATTCGTTGTTTGCATGACTAAGATTTGTAGTGCAAGTAATTCTAGTTCTCTACATATGTACAGAAACTTAAATTTGTAGATGGCCAGTTAGACGAGTGGATTTAATTTTAACATCAGGCGTTGACGAGAAGATTTTCAAATCAAGTCAAGTCAAATTCATTTATAAAGGTCTATTCATGTAATAAGACAACATAAGTTCTAATGAGCTGTTTACACCGACTTTAAGAGAAAAGAAACTGTCAAACATAGAGAGAAAAACAACTTTTTCATATTCCTTCAAATTGTCAACGTTCACTTAGGAAAGATTAAAGTGGCTGTAGCTCGACCAAAATCCTAGTATGAAAAAGTTTGAGCCCAAATTGGGTTACGACCGTGTGAGCCCAAATTGGGTTACGACCGTGTTTCCTGCTATAAGTATTATGAATCGTAAATTGTCGTAAATAGCAAACAGCAATGTTGTTGAGAGCGAGAAAATGCGCTCATAGCGCCAAAAAACTTTTGGAAAATTTTGAACCGTATAAAAGACATTTAAACATAAGTGTGTTTATATCTAGACTATTGTGGAGGTCAGTTTTTCCAATGTACAAACGGAGCGTGTGTGCCGAAAGCATGGCGCTGTGACGGCGATTTAGATTGTGCCGATCAATCTGACGAGAAGGGTTGTAACAATAGTCGTAGTAAGTGGACAATATTGGTGTACGGCAAGGGAACGCAACTAAACAAATGTTATTGTTATATAAAATAGAGGTGTTTGGTTTGAGTATTATTGTGTAAACTGGGGACAACAAAGTCTTGTTACTGTTATTGTTTTGGGGGTTTTAAGAACCAAAGAATTGTAGATTGTATAGCATTGTATATTTGAAAGCATGCAAATTATCAAGAATGTTGTATATATGCATATTCATTGTTTGTTATGTTTTTATAGTATAACATTTAGTTATAAAGATTTTTGACAGGTTATATGACCCTATAAAACGGTTCTTTTGATATTTATTTCGAGTCGCAAGGCAAAAACAACAGTTTATATAAGGTCATATAGCATTTCAGGAATATTTATGACGAATTTATAATACAGCAAACTACCTTTTTTTAGAGGAAAATGAGGAATTTTCGCAGCCGTGTATGTAAAACTATATACATGTAAATGTCACGATTGTCCAATGAAAAACGACGTTACAACACTTGCAGTATTATAAAAGTTTTTACCTGGTATAAACAGAATAGGGTTTAAACACACCTGGAGTGTTAATATATACGCTTGAAAATGAAACAAAACCCAAAAGATTATTTGTCTTGCATGCCTGTATCTGTCCAATTGTTGTATACGTATTTTAGGAATTAAAAAGAAAATGTTTGCATGGACGGTCGTAGTCACTTTATACAGATAATTACAAAGATATATAAAATTCATTGTTCTTACTTTTCAGATTGGAACTTACTTCGTACATTTTTTTTCAGGAAATTAAACTTTTAAGTCAAAGTCGGGCTTGGCAGATGAATAGTTTTCTTAGACCATATAAAATTGGTATTTTGTAATGTGATGCAACAAAATTTCTGATGTCTATTTAAAGTTAAAGTGCCTACCATACATTTTGGCGTAGGTAAAATTACGCTAAAATATCATGATAGAAAGACGCCAGATACGATACTTATTTCGGGTTATATCGTAACAAATCTGAAGGTGTTCTCACCTTATTTTGACAATTTAATGTGTACATTGTCACGCCTGGCAAACTGTCGCTCCACTTCAAAATTGTGGTGTACGGTAAAACGAGCGAACGGCATTTCCGAGATAGAGCGGAAGGCCGATTTAAACGCCTAATTGTAAGTATTGTTTATGTTTTGTCTTGTTATTTATTTAAGTTGTATTTTTTCGAAAAACGGAAAATGTAGTTCCGTGTAGGATTGATTTAGGCTTCCAATGATCTAAGCTGTTACAAAAAGAAAATTATATTAAGCCCGGGAGAACTTTTCTCCCTGACGAAGCGAACGATGATTTGTAGAATATTGAACTTCCCAACCATAGAAATGCCATACCTTTCGGATTTCTTGAAAAAGTGTATTAGTAAATTATCAACCCGTAATAAGAACTTGTCCTTCGTGCAAAATAAATTACTCCTGAAGGATTTCTTAAATTTGTAAATCGATATTTTTCGAAAGTAGTGGAGCGAAAGGGCGAGAGATGGAGCAAAAGGTTCGATGTTGAGCGCAAGGCGATATTAATTTGACGTATTAGGAGGAGCGTAGTCAATGATTTTTATAAATAAAAGCTATAGAAGTTAAAATAGACATGATCAAGTGTTAAGACCGAGATATATATACCTTTTAAAGAGAACTAATAAATTGTGATATCCTTTCAACGACTATAGCGTAATAACTGTAATCGCGAAGGTGTCACCTATGGCTGCCGTGAAGATTCCATTATTTATGTTCGAAATTTGGATGAGGCCCGACCATTGAATCATACACACAGGATGCCACTTATAAATTCGAGGTCAATCATGATTTTTGACATGGTTATGTACATTTAAAAACGTGTGTTCGTGCAAATGGGACAAACAAATTTACAGTAATGAATTATATGTTAGGAAAATACCTCTATAAGCATTGTATGCTTTCGGATCTAATCCTTTTTCAGCATTGTATATTATGTAACTATTGATTGTCTGTAATATATGTTTGTGTGAAAATGTTTGAAATAAAATATGTTTAAACTAAATGCGACAAAGTCGAATATTTTTAGTTCTACCGCGAACAAATGTTTCCGAGCAGGTACGTGTAACTCGATTGTTTACGCCAAAATGTTATGTTTTTCGAAAAGTTAGAAATTCAAGGTGCAGAACAGAAACAAAATTATGCAATGCATGGAACGCATTAAATTAAATGGATCACTACTACCAAGTTCAGTTCACAATGACTTTCTGTAATTAATAGCTCTAACGTACCTGTTCTGAGCAAAACACAAATAAGTCACGTTTTCATGAATTTGAAAGGTGGGGAATCGCTATGAAAATGGTTGACAAGGTGTCAGTCGTTATAAGGATATAACACGTGTTCCAGTTATGTTTCAAGATACTTCCTCCCTTATTTAGCATTGTTGTTTAGTTTATTATTTTCCTCTCAAAGTGAGGCAGAACTCAGTCGGTGTACGGACTAAAATTATCAATAATATAATAGACCTAGTTATAGTAGAAATTTCTATTTACACTTACAGACGAAAATAATAAACTAAACAACAATGCTAAATAAGGGAGGAAGTATCTTGAAACATAACTGGAACATGTGTTATATCCTTATAAAGACTGACACCTTGTCAACCATTTTCATAGCGATTCCCCACCTTACTAATTCATGAAAACGTGGCTTATTTGTGTTAAATGCACCTTGAATATCTAACTTTTCGAAAAACATAACATTTTGGCGTGAACAGTCGATTTACACGTACCTGCTCGGAAACATTTGTTCGCGGTAGAACTAAAAATATTCGATTTTGTCAAATTAATATCGCCTTGCGCTCAACATCGAACCTTTTGCTCCATCTCTTGCCCTTTCGCTCCACTACTTTCGAAAAATATCGATTTACAAATTTAAGAAATCCTTCAGGAGTAATTTATTTTGCACGAAGGACAAGTTCTTATTACGGGTTGATAATTTACTAATACACTTTTTCAAGAAATCCGAAAGGTATGGCATTTCTATGGTTGGGAAGTTCAATATTCTACAAATCATCGTTCGCTTCGTCAGGGAGAAAAGTTCTCCCGGGCTTAATATAATTTTCTTTTTGTAACAGCTTAGATCATTGGAAGCCTAAATCAATCCTACACGGAACCACATTTTCCGTTTTTCGAAAAAATACAACTTAAATAAATAACAAGACAAAAACATAAACAATACTTACAATTAGGCGTTTAAATCGGCCTTCCGCTCTATCTCGGAAATGCCGTTCGCTCGTTTTATCGTACACCACAATTTTGAAGTGGAGCGACAGTTTGCCGGGCGTGATTGTATTATCAATTTTAGTATATCCTGTGGCATGAGAGGGTAATTTCCACTTCAACGTCATTTCTCACAAAACACCAATATGACGGCTCAAAGATAAGGGGGCAGGGGACATAAAATGAGCAATTTTGTAGTTCAGTGTGGCCAGAAACAAAATACCAAATACTTCAAAATCTGTTACAGTTGCACAGCATCATTCAAGGATATATTACTTACATTGAAGAAAATAATAGTTTGCGTGCATTACTCCTAAAAATAATGACTGACAGCAATTTATATCGACCCCCACCCAACAAAAATCACTTCTGAAATAATCTAATATGGACAATCTTCATGAAGGTGCAGGATACTCCAGAATTCGTCGATTTCTTCAAAAATATCACTTACACATAGTGCAATCAACGGCATTATCAAAAATGTCCAATGAACTTTCTCTCATGCGTTTAGATTCTTCACAAAATTTAGGTTCTTATTTGTTTGGCACTAGCTGTCAAAACTTGATTTTTAACTTTTTCACCTCCTTTCGGAGAGTCACAAATAAATACAAAGCTACCAAAATGTTTAGTTTCGAGTAAAAATATCAAAAATACTGCTTTTTTCCTACACACAAGCAAGAAAGAATTACAGTGACAGAAATAAATATCAAAAGTTTCCAGTACCTTCAAAACATCATGTCTGTGTTATTAATAAATTTGACCGGGGTCGTCATTCGAACATGTCCCCTGCACCCTTTTGGTCCCGTAATAATTAAAGATCAGAAGGTATCAAAGTATTTTACTAGATATTTTACTTTAATTGAAATATCTTTATATAGGAGAATCATTATCAGTTTTCTGACGTTTTTTTATCATTCTTTATTTTTCTCGTTTATAGATTATTGTGGCAATAATGAGCACCAATGTGGTGACGGCACGTGTATTCCCGCCTTTAACAAATGTGACTTTTTCCCGGACTGTGATGACGAGTCCGACGAAATCTCATGTGGTAAACTGTATACCCTTTTTTTTCGTTTAAAATATTATTTTTATCCAGATATATATTTGTATATACCATAGATATCAGTATACTTAACGTTGCATTACATATGCCATTCGTATGTGACGTGACATCTATTTAATATGGTGGCTGATTTGTGCCATTCGTGTTTTCGCCCCGCGACCCCGCCAAGCGAAAAGTCGAGAATTAACAAGTTAAAACGGCGGGGTCGCCTAACTAGCGAGAGCGCGGGGCGAAGTTTAATAAATAAAACTTCGAACCGCGCGGGCGCGGGCCGAGATTTAAGAAATTAAACGGCGGAGTCGCGGAGCGAAAACACGCTAATTTTCATATTTTTTCATATTTTTAGTTTCTTCTTTTATGGTCAATATAATGATACCAATATTCTATGTATTATACAGGAGAACCTGTATTTAATCATGAAAGTTTGTCATTGTCAGTATTTTCATTTTATATTATGATGACAGTACATACATTGTTGAGTACAATACTGAATTCTATTGGACGAGTACAGAACTGTCAACACTTTATTGGACGAAGTGCTAGTCGAGTCTGATATAGGTCTTGTATATCTGTACTCTATATTAATTGAACACGATTTACATAATTGTGAACTGTACAAGAATAAACACGCGTCAGAAATTGTTTATACATTTTGAAACGGTGTAATACTTTTAGGCAGCATCACCTGCTCCGAAGGACAGATAGCATGTGACGATAACGCATTCTGCATCAACCCGTCTGACCGATGTGACGGGGTTTATCAGTGTCCCGACCAATCTGACGAATTAGCAAAATACTGCGGTATGTTTTACTTGTAATACTACGAGTATGTTTGTTGTAAATTCGGAACAACTCGGTGATTATTCATAATCCCTTTCTGACGATTCACTTGATGGGCCAAATTTGCGAGTGTTTGTAGCCAACGCAACTTTTTAATAGATAACAGTTACAGTCTCTATTTTTAATCATAATGTATTACCATTTTGTTTTAAACAATAAACTGTTAAAGTATGCACATGACTATTTTCTGATTTTAATTTTCCAGACCCAGATTATAGACCTGGTAGCAACTCTGATGGGGTATCTAGTAAGTGAAACGCTTTTTGATTTATGCATAAACGAGAGCATAGAAAGACATAAATAGTGTAGACGCTCTTATGGCTATGCTAATCATTACGCCTTTCATAGATAATAATGGCAAAAGAAAAAAGATGTATAAGATGATACAAAAATAAAAGATGATATAAAATGTTTCTTCACATCATAAGTAATTATAATGTTAAATGTGTATAAAATGTTTTACTATATTTTTCCTACGATTGCACTTTAGTACGTTATATAAATCTTCTTTTTTATTATTAGATGAACTTCCGCCGCCATTGATTACTATTACTTGCGAGGAGAGTGATTTCTTTCCTGAGCCAACCACGACTACTACATCAACTACAGCTGCAACAACCAGCACTACCTCAATATCATCAACCACGCCCACAACCACGCCTACAAGCTCTACCACCACATCTTCAACCACAACAACAAAGCCTACTTTACCCACTTACACAACCACGTCTTCTACCACTTCAACAACAACTTCTACATTACCTACTTCGACCACGCCTTCTACAACAACAACTTCCACCACGCCCACATCAACAACTTCAATCACGCCTGTTTCGTCAACAGTCGTTTCTGCGACGCCTTCTACAACACCAACAACATCTAAATCTACCTCAACCTCTACAACTACTACATCTCCTTCCACAACAACTTCTTCATCTACACCTGCAACCACGCCCACAACAACAACTGCGAGCAAGCCTACAACCACAACAACTGCAACCACACCTACCACCACAACAACAATAACTGCAACCAAGCCTACCACCACAACAACAACAACAACTGTTACTACGCCCACAACAACAATTGTGACAATGCCTACTTCAGCAGAAACTGTAACCACGCCTACAACAAAATCTACGCCTACCACAAAAACAACTGTAGTCATGCCTACCACTACAACTATTACCACGCCTACCACAACAACGACTGTGACCACGCCCACCACGACAAGTACACCTACCACCACAACAACAAAAGTGACAACAGCACCAAAACGTAAGACTGCATATTTTCCATCTTTTTCTATAATGCTATTATATGTGTAAGCTTTAACTTATTTCCTATGTTTCCTATGAAGATATTATTTTTAAGTGTACTCCGATTTTGTCAGAAGTTTCCTATAATATATCATATACATGACGTCTTTTGGTTTGTCACCAATAGCCAGATGCAACATAGAATCACAATTCCAGTGTGGCAATGGATCATGTATTCCAATTTCATGGCGGTGTGACAGTCTTAATGATTGCACGGACAACTCCGATGAATCTGGATGCTGTAAGTATTATACACATTTCAATAACAAGAATTATATTTTAAATATAAGGGAGACAATTTTGTTATGTTTCGGGGCGTTAACCCTTTGATGGGTTATCTACGTTAGCTACGTAAAGGCTCTCAACCCAAAACTTCAGGGTCCAAGGTCGTAGGATATTTTCTAAACCCAATGTCAGATCTCTGGTTTTTGATTATTGATTGGTCAGAAACCAGCGCAGAATGTTTTTTGGCCAATGGAAACCCTGAGATTTGAGATTAAACTCAGAAAGGGAGCCAGTACATTTCTTGTTTAAGATTATGAGACTAAATGAGTGCGTGTTCCAATTCTTTTATGAAAAACAGCAGAAAGTCGTTGACAAGCTTTTCATAGAAATTACACAAACGACTTTTAAGTGGGTAAACAAAAGAGCAATTGATCCACTGAGAAGCACATTTAGTACATAACGTTTAGATGTTATTTTAAAATATTATCCCCCGAAACGCTTCGACAATGATTATATTAAAGTAAGAAAAAAATGAGGAAAAGAGAGTTCTTACATTTTTACTACATTAGCAGCCCGATTAGAATACCACTGGCCCACACTAGAAGAAGAAAGAAACTTATCTTGACAATACCGACTAATTGTCTGCCTAGTTTTACATGAAGGTTCAAAAGCAGAACATTTAAGAATAGTTACTGCACTCATATGTTGCTTTGTTTTGTTTGTGTTTTTGGTTTTTGTATTGGTGTATTTTAGAATTTCTCTTTCAAGCCATTCTTAAAGTCAGATTGCATCAGTTACACCGATACCAGCAAATATAACTAAACTATCATATCGATATTTTGAAAGTGTCATCATTTGACTATGACATACTTGTTTACCTAATCAATCGCCGAGTATAAATCGCCACTGTATAATACAACTTGACTTTTGTATTTCTTTCTCAGCAAGTTATGTATGTGGAGAAAACATGTTCCTATGTGATGAAAGACGAACATGTATAAAGTCAAAGGAAAGATGTAACGGCAAATTCGAATGCCCTGATTTATCTGACGAACTTCCAAAATATTGTGGTACAGTACTCCTATTAACGTTTGTAAAAACATGCCTCTCTATGCAAGAACAATACTATACTGTATTTGCCATGGCATTAAACCATAAAAACTGGCTGGACATTTGTCTAAAGGTTTCTTCATTAAGTCCTTAAGAATTTTTTTTTTTGCTTCATTCTGTAGTCGTTGTAGTTGTAAGGTATTTTTTATTTTGTCTCTTTCGTTACTGGCCTGTATTTGTATATTAACACGCCGTCTACCGGTGCCAGTGATGGTGATGACAGAAGTCTTTATTTCTGATTACTTGTAGTTTGTAAACATTATTTCTATTACTCGAAGAGGGCCTATTTCATATATGAGCCGTGTCATGACAAAACCAACATAATGGGTTTGCGACCAGCATGGATCCAGACCAGCCTGCGCATCCGCGCAGTCTGATCAGGATCCATGCTGTTCGCTATTAGTTTCTTTACTTGTTATAGGGTCTGTAAGCGAACAGCATGGATCCTGATCAGACTGCGCGGATGCGCAGGCTGGTCTGGATCCATGCTGGTCGCAAACCCATTATGTTGGTTTTGTCGTGACACGGCTCATATATATTTCATGTATATACTTACTGTCCATTTACTGGAGATACTATACGGTATTTTTTAATCGTTTCCCCAGTAGTTGCATCGAACAAAAATAAAGACAAACAGTAGATGTTATTTAAAATCGATCAAAGTCCATCATTTCAGTGCGATTTTATATTGCATGTATATGGAGATATAGAGAACAATATTATCTGCACAACCGATTAAAAATGTCCCCAGGTTAATATTTGGAAAGTGTGAAATATATCCCCCCACATCTATTGCATTTTAAACGTTAATGAAACGTTCGTGGTTTGCAAAAATAAGGTTATTTTATTATTAACATAAGATGGAAAGTAGAAAAAAATGTAATAAATCATATTTGCTCTTTCAGACATTTCATAGCAAACTTAAATGGGCGAAAACTCATAACCCGCTCGGTTTGCGTTACTATAGTTGTATATAAAGCGATTCAAAACATTCCTGTCAAAATTAGCCTCCTTATCTATAACAATAAGGAAATGGTATAGTTTGCAGGTTTGCCCATTAATAAAGGGGCGGACAGCTTTTTTTTGTCCCTTTCTCGTATGAGAAGGGGAATCCTGTGATGCGTGTATGTGGTCGCACGGGCACTTTTTTCCAACATGTCCTCGGTGCGTGTCTGAGGTCGCACGGTCGAAACTCTAACAATTTTTGTTTTGTTTTTCTGTTTCTGTTTGTTACTCCCATACTTGATAAGGAATTTGTTATTCTCAATTACAACTAATCTAGATTTTAACTCCTTATTATAAGACACAAGAAAAAGAGGAATTTGTATGTCCTGCTAAGACTAATTAGAAGTTGAGAGATAAAATCTTTATTATGACTTAGTAGGTCCTAATTTAACATTAAAAAAATCTTAATTAGTGACCATAAAAGCCTAATTAGCAGAAATGAATACACTTATTTGAACTTGTAACTCCTAATAATATTTTGTATGCATTGAACGTTTTATTTAGGATTTAATTTATCCTAATAAGTTTTTTTTAATTTCTTATTAGAACATATAAAGTCCTAATACATGTATAGGTTTTTTCCTCTTAAATAGTAGAAGTTTTATTTCTTATAATTAGGAGTTAAAATCCTCATTATCTCCTAATACCCCATTTTTGAACTCTTTATTGATAAAGTAACTAATTTCTAATAAGGTTTTTTATCTATCTTTTTAAGGTCATTCTAATTAGGCGGTCCTAACTTCTATTTTAGAGTAAATAATTTCATATGACAAATTTATGTATTCGAAGAAGAAACTTAACTTCTAATTAGACGTATGTTATTTCGTTAGCATGACTAAGAAACTCATAATCATAGAAAATGCAAGCTGCCGCCCACACCAAAAGCATCAAATTAAATTTGGTAAAAATGGTAACATTTTGAATATAGAAACATCATTGATAACGTACAGACCTTGTGCCGTAATCGGATACATATAATGTCTTGGTCATACAAGTAAAATTCACAGGACCTATTTATTTTTTATTATTTTTATTCGCTGTGCTTAAGTATTTCAAAATTACACATTGAGTTGATATTTGACAAGCCTGACCCTTCATGATAATTGTTTATATGTGTAACACGAAATCCCTTCAATTATTTCAAACGTGAGATATTTGAAAAAAATCAATCATTTTTTACGGATTTTCCCAACGTTGTCCATTTTTAACCGGCTCAAAGGAGGAAACAACTCTAAAATTACCTGCTAGTATAGCAGTATATTTCCAGTCAATGTACAGTAAGTCTGTAGCATCGAAAGTGGTAAAACTTTAGATTTCTGCCATCACTGTGGCAATCTGTCACCACTGACACCGGTTATACGGTGTGATTAAAGAACAGTATACATGTTGTTGTAAAATATGTTGTTTTCTTCAGGTACTCCAACAAAAGCGGCGCCTCTAGCAGACAAAGATGATGATCTAGATATAGGTATGGTCACTTTTATCGCCATGGGTTCACAAAACAAGATCAGGTTCCATAGTTTTATAAAAATTAAAATTGATCGTAATTTGCTAAAATGAAATGGTACATAAACAAAATGTAATACAACAAGATATGTTTGTAAAAGATGTATGCCCCCTATTGGCAGCCAATTAGTCATGTGATCAGGTTATCATGACTGACTTTTGAACTAGTGACCAAAAATCAATTAAGGTTAATTACTGGTTATGACTAGTCACTAGGTAATTGTGGCCGCAAAGGTTGTGTGCAGCAATTTTACGACAAAGTTATTTCAAATCTTACCAAATAATATATGCATAAATTTTATAAATCATGTAGGCCTCGTTGATGACAGCCAAGTTGTTATATTACATAAGATCTTGAAATATGTATACCAAAAGCATTTTTAGTTTAATAAAAAAATATCAACCAAGGCAACTTGAGTTATTGGTCAGAAACAGATTTTACATACAAGGTCAATATGACATTGACTTTTGACCCTAAAATCAATAGGGGTTATCTACTAGCCAAGACCAATGCACCTGTGACGTTTAAAGATAAAAGGCCCATGAGTTGGGATATTGATCCGAAAGCGTTGTTACCTATAAGGTCAATGTGATCTTGACCTCTGATCCCTTAACGCCAAAAAATCCATTGAGGTCATCTTCTGACCAAAAGCAATGCATCTGTAAAGCTTGAATGTCAAGGGAAATTTTGAAATACAAGGTCAATGCAACCTTGACCTTTGTTCCCCTGACCCAAAAATCATTAGGGTCATCTACTGACCAAGACAAATGCACCTTCAAAATTTGAAGACCAAAAGCCTATAGCCTGTCAAGTTATTGATAGGAAACCGTTTTTACCTACAAGGTCAATGCAATCTTGATCTTTGACCGCTTGACCCCAAAATCAATAGGGGTCATCTACTGGTCAAGTCCAATGCACCTTCCAATTTTGAGGGCTAACAGCCCATGGGTTGTCAAGTTATTGATCGGAAACCGTTTTTACCTACAAGAGCAATGTGACCTTGACCTTTGACCCCTTGACCCCAAAATCAATAAGTGTCATGAGCTGGTCATGAACAATCATCATACCAAGTTTGAAATACCTAGGCCTAAGCGTTCTTTAGTAATTGATCGGAAACCGTTGTTACCTATGAGGTAAATGTGACCTTGACCTTTGACCCTTTGACCCCAAAATCAATAGGGGATATCTGCTGGTCATGAACAATCATCAAACTCAGTTTGAAGTTCCTAGCCCTAAGCGTTGTTTAATTTTTGATCGGAAATCGTTTTTACCTACAAGGTCAATGTGACCTTGACTTTGACACATTGACCCAAAAATCAACAGGGGTCATTGACTGGTCATGAACAGTCATCATACCTATTTTGAAGTTCCTAGGCTTAAGCGTTCTTTAGTTATCACTTGGAACTCGTTTGGTCTACGGACCGAAGGACGACAGACAAAGGCAAAACAATATACCCCCACTTCTTTGAAGGGGGACATAATTACTGATTTCCAAACAAACAACCCTATTTTGTACGGAATGCCGTTAGGGCCATCGCCTATGAATGTGTTGATCTGAAACGCGATAGTCGATAATACGATGGTGAAAACGCGAAATCACGAAACTACGATGGTGAAAACGCGAAAGTACGATGATGAAAACGCGATAGTACGATGATGAAAACGCGACAGTACGATACTACGATGATGAAAACGCGATAAACTATCGTGTTTTCTACGGAATGCCGTTAGGGCCATTGCCTATGAATGTGTTGATCTGAAACGCGATAGTCGATAGTACGATGATGAAAACGCGAAATCACGAAACTACGATGGTGAAAATGCGAAAGCACGATGATGAAAACGCGAAAGTACGATGATGAAATCGCGACAGTACGATACTACGATGATGAAAGCGCGATAAACTATCGTGTTTTCACCATCGTACTGTCGCGTTTTCACCATCGTAGTTTCGTGATTTCGCATTTTCATCATCGTACTGTCGTGTTTTCATCATCGTACTATCGCGTTTTCACCATCGTACTATCGCGTTTTCACCATTGTACTATCGCGTTTTCATCATCGTACTGTTGTGTTTTCATCATCGTACTATCGCGTTTTCACCATCGTACTGTCGTGATTTCATCATCGTATTATCGCGTTTTCATCATCGTACTATCGCGTTTTCACCATCGTAGTTTCGTGATTTCATGTTTTCACCATCGTACTATCGACTATCGCGTTTCAGATTAACACATTCATAGGCGATGGCCCTTACGGCATTCCGGAATGCCGTTAGGGCCATCGCCTATGAATGGTTTGATCTGAAACGCGATACTCGACAGTACGATGATGAAAACACGAAATTACGAAACTACGATGGTGAAAACGCGACAGTACGATGGTGAAAACACGATAGTTTATCGCGTTTTCATCATCGTAGTATCGTACTGTCGCGATTTCATCATCGTACTATCGCGTTTTCATCATCGTGCTTTCGCGTTTTCACCATCGTAGTTTCGTGCTTTCGCGTTTTCACCATCGTACTATCGACTATCGCGTTTAAGATCAACACATTTATAGGCAATGGCCCTAACGGCATTCCGTAGTTTTCACCATCGTACTGTCGCGTTTTCACCATCGTAGTTTCGTGATTTCGCGTTTTCATCATCGTACTGTCGAGTATCGCGTTTCAGATCAAACCATTCATAGGCGAAGGCCCTATAACGGCATTTCGGAATGCCGTTAGGGCCATCGCCTATGAATGTGTTAATCTGAAACGCGATAGTCGATAGTACGATGGTGAAAACACGAAATCACGAAACTACGATGGTGAAAACACGATATTACGATGATGAAAAGGCGATAGTACGATGATGAAAACGCGATAGTACGATGATGAAAACACGACAGTACGATGGTGAAAACGCGATAGTACGATGATGAAAACACGACAGTACGATGATGAAAACGCGATAGTACGATGGTGAAAACGCGACAGTACGATGATGAAAACACGACAGTACGATGATGAAAACGCGAAATCACGAAACTACGATGGAGAAAACGCGACAGTACGATGGTGAAAACACGATAGTTGATCGCGTTTTCATCATCGTAGTATCGTACTGTCGCGTTTTCATCATCGTACTTTCGCGTTTTCATCATCGTACTTTCGCGTTTTCACCATCGTAGTTTCGTTTTTTCGCGTTTCACCATCGTACTATCGACTATCACGTTTCAGATCAACACATTAATAGGCAATGGCCCTAACGGCATTCCGTAATTTTGGGATAAAAACGACGGGAAAAAAGACAAATACAAGAATAATCGGAATAGAATTAGGATCAATTTTAGGATCAAGATCAATATTTGTATCAACTCTAAAATGCCCGTACCTTGTAAAAATAACAATACATTTATTCTAAAATTTCATGAATATGCCATATCGAGTCCAATGTTATCAAGTTTATATCTAGGAGAATAAACAATGGAGAATATTTGAGTTTTTAAATTTATTACTGATCTTGAACCTAATACTTAAATCTTAGTGGACGCGGGGCCAGCTGGCCCAATGTTCACGAAGAATAAAGTACTATTCAAGGACAAAATGCAAAACTTCTTAGTAGTTTATGCAAGTTAATCATGAATTCGATAAAAGTGAAACAAAATACCTTTCAAGAAACGGGCCTTTTTATACATTGAAGGAAGGATAAATCTTATTAAAAAAATTGATTTCTATTTTGATCCAAATAGATTCATAATTTGTATTGTAGTATTGTGTTCCGTATTATTTATCATTTATTGATTTTCATTCAACTTGGCAGCTTATACTGTTATATTGATTGATTGATTGGTTGATTGTTACGTCAAACTCTTTTAAGTCGCGCAAGACAACTGTTTCTTGAGTTTCGAACAAATTACCGCACCAATGTGGATTGAGGAAGCCGAAAGAGAAGCTCACTTCCAGTTGGATCCGAACTCATGGCCTCTCGATCAGGACTTCGTTGGCTTACCCCTACACCACTCTTTACTGCCTCATGTCATAATTAGAAAGTGTATTTAATGATAAAAGAAGAGCATGTAAGCAAGAAATGAAGGAGGACAATAAAAAGTTGACACGCGAACACTACTCATGTAATCTATTTGATATTTTGACGATGAATATATATATATGTATTTTTTTTAAATCATTATAAAGGGAGGTAATCCTGTTTTTAATTTCAGCTATAATTGTCGGTATTGTGTGCGGTGTGTTGTTTCTCCTCCTTTTATTAAGCTGTATCGTTTACTGGGTAAAAACAAAAAATTGGTAAGATTTTATATTCTGTACTATACTCCCATGTTATGACATGTAATCTCTGAAATATGAGCCGCGTCATGACAAAACCAACATATTGGGTTTGCGACCAGCATGGATCCAGACCAGCCTGCGCATCCGCGCAGTCTGATCAGGATCCATGCTGTTCGCTTACAAACCCTATAACAAGTAGAGAAACTGATAGCGAACAGCATGGATCCTGATCAGACTGCGCGGATGCGCAGGCTGTTCTGGATCCATGCTGGTCGCAAACGCACTATGTTGGTTTTGTCATGACACGGCTCAAATATACTGATTAATTGACTTTTTTTCAAAACGTTACAACACAAAGCAGATCAAGCTCTGCAGAGAAACATCGTATTAGAGACAAAAATCTTGGTTGTTATTTAGAGGTGTAGCTTTAGCGATGTTAAATTCATATTAAAGTCTTGCCTCTCAGGAAGTACTGATATTGTTGTTCTACTGGGGCCTCTTTGTTGAGGGTGCACTGTAAAAGACATGAAATATATGTGTAAAATGTTTTTCATGTTTCTGTTATGCCTTATTCTACCCGGATTCTTCACAAGTGGATATTCGTAAGAATTGGGGGCATTTCCCGTATTTTACCCCGATTTCTTACGCATATCATTTCTCTTTTTAAAAATTGAAAATAATAGGCCTATGTTTCTGTTACTGTTTTGATTCACCGAAATTAGGTCTACTTGTTGTAAGTGTGATTAAATTACTCAATGACATACGGACGAATTATGTAGATCTGCATTAATGATAATAAGATTTCCATAAACAAATATAAAACTTCATTTACAAAAAAACGCACTATTGAAACAAGTTAAAATTGTCTTAGTTTATATTTCATCAAAGAAATATGTTACAAAAATCATATCTCTACCATGAATAACACAAAATTTTTTCATCTATTTACAGGAATAATAGGTAAGTTCAGATGTTTTTTTTTATTTTACAGATTCTTGCCCTTATTAAAATTTAAAAAAATACTTAGATTCAAAATTCATGATTTTATTAAGGCACAAACATTACTAGTTACAACGTAATTTCTAACGATAACTATTAAACCGTAATTACTCACGTTTACTAGTAACTTAGAGGTTAATACTTGGTTGCTGCTCGCCATTATGCGATAATGGCCCGAAGATGTGCATAATGGCCTGATTGGTATTATTTTAGTTCTCAAAACATTTGTATTGTTGGTATTTTTTTAAAGATTCTAAAAAGTTATTCAATGCTCATATAACTGAACCAACTGTTGCTACTATTGCGTTTTGGAATTTGTACAGTTATAGTGATTTAACGTGTTGTATTGAAGTCAAAATACTACTTTGCCTTCATTTGTTACTTATTTCGCTTTTTTCAGATTCAGTGCAACTTTCTTAGTGTGATACATGTCAGGCTCTAACACGCTCTTAATTCATTATAAAAAAAACAGTATTAAACACATGTTTTGCTCTCTCCAACGAAAACAAAATTAATTTCTGAGGCTTAATATACCTTAATAAGAATTTTCCTTAAAATTACATTACCTTAACCTGGTAGCCATACAGAAAATTTCTTGAAAAGAACATTATCTAAAAGCCCGCTGACTGAATAAATACAGATATGCGAACACTATCGTAACACGGTCTAGTTTAAAATTCATGTACATTTTTATCATTAAAAAAATGATGGAAAAGGTTTTGCGATCGAACTTGAAGTTCAGGGTTCATAACTTATTATTTCCAACAGGATGTAGAATTATTATTCTATTCTCTTATAATTTAAGGAAGGTCAATGAATCTACTTGTGTGCCTCTTAAAATAATGCACGAAATAGGTTTTTGTTATTATCATTCCGCCAGTAATTTGCCGGAAACTCTTCTTATAACAAGTGTCGTAGTGACATAATTAAAACCTAACAAAAAAAACTTCTTTAACTGTAACTCATTCACGGCGTCATAGATAAAAACGTGCACAGGCGCTAGTCACATAATCAAAAATTTTACTTAATCGGCCTATACATGTATATTAAGATATGTCTTATTATAGTATATAGGCCATATAGAACATAAACAAGTTTGTTTCAGGCACCTGTGGATACATGATACATGGTATTAAGTTCAAACATTCTATTGTCATAAACGAGTTTCTCGTGTTTCTTTTTATAGGGCTGAGAGGTACAAAATGAGCCAAGGGTCGGAGAAGTCATTGTCACCCGACAGTGTGTACGTCGCCCCAACACTTCATATCGTGCCATCCGTTAAAGAACCACCGACGCATGTTTGGTACCCATCAGACAGTGCGCCGAACAACCAACACCTCTCAGATCTCTACGTTGTTGAACAAATAGATGGTACTCCGGCTGATAAACATTACATAATAACAAAGTAGCATATATATCAAATTCGTATTTGACATTGTATGCTAAAATTTCCTTTGTAATATTGTACACGAGTATGAATGGGTGAATTACCTGACTGTCGAAGAATTTTATGAATTTTATGAACTTTTCACTGCAGATACTGTAAAAGGGGGACCACTGCGTAGCAAATTTTTGGTCCGGTGTTAAGAGTTGTTCACCGGAAGAACGATTTTTTCCGATCATTTTCGAAGTTGATCCGTGTTTAAAATGGGTAAATGTAAGAATAAATGCGATTTGTTAAGTGCATTTTATGCATGTAATACTGTACAAAAGTCTAAACATTTCGTGACTTTTAGAACAAAAGTTAAGTGGCTTTATGAAAAAAAATCGGATTGTGCAAAACGTAACGTTCCTCATAAATTCGCTGAATGTAAGTTCAAACAATATTGAATATACATGTACTATATAAATATTATATATTTGTAATCATGTTATGGTAATTTAAGTGATTTAAGTGTTTTACACAAGTCATATTTCATACCGCACATTTAAACAAGCGTTAAGTACATTTATACATAAATAAAATGAATTTAATGTATCAATGATGCTCCAAATCAAAACGTTTGTTTGTATATTTGTATATACATGTATAAAGTCATGACATAATTTTATAAAATTATACTATCAAGTATTAAAATGTAAATTTGTATATTTCCTATTTTTTGTTATTGTGTCGTAAGTTTTGTCTGATGTCATCTTAAAGGTCCATTATGCCTAAGAAACGCGTTTTATTTTTATTTCTCAGAAACTTTTTAATTTCGGTGTACTTTTATAACATCAAAAAATTACTCATCGGCCAATTACCTCAACCATCTTGTTCAGTTGTTGTTGTTGTTTTTTTTGTTGTTTTTTTTGCTATAAGTACAGCTATAGTGAGTTAGTATTTTGTATGAAAGTCAAAATACTGCTTAGTTACATTTTGCGACTTTTATGTAAAATTATATCCCATCTATCGCTGCATTCTCCAGGTAAAAACATTTAACTTTATTTTAAACTATATTTAAACATTATAAATTTCATGTTTCACCCTTTCTGAAGAAGTAAAAAATATTTTTTTACGAGGCATAGAGGTCAGATTAAATGAACGTGTCGTGTCGGTCAGATTAAATGAACGTGTCGTGTCGGTCAGATTAAATGAACGTGTTGTGTTAGTCATATTAAATGAGCGTGTCGTGTTGGTCAGATTAAATGAATGTGTCGTGCTTGTCAGACGGTATGAACACATCAGACTTTAAGACCATGTCGTGCTGGGCAGACTGTATGAACACATCGTGCTGGTCAGGCTGAAAGACCATGTCATGCAGGTTAGACTGTATGAACGTTTTGTGCTTGTCAGACTGAAATACAATGTCGTTCTGGGCAGACTGAATGAAGGTGTCGTGCTGGTCAGACTGAATGAACATGTCGTGCTGGTCAGACTGTATGAACGTGTCGTGCTGGTCAGACTGAATAAACGTGTCGGGCTGGTCAGACTGAATATACGTGTCGTGCTGGTCAGACTGAATAAACGTGTCGCGCTGGTCAGACTGAATAAACACATCGTGCTTGTCAGACTGAAAGACTATGTCGCGCTGGTCAGACTGAATAAACACATCGTGCTTGTCAGACTGAAAGACTATGTCGTTCTGGTTAGACTGAATGAAAGTGTAGTGTTGGTCAGACTAAATGAACACGTCGTGCTGGTCTGAATGAATGAGCGTGTCGTGCTGGTCTGAATGTATGATTATGTCGTGCTGATCAGACAGAATTTACGTGTCGTGCCGGTCAGAATGAATGAACCTGTCGTGCTTGGCAGACTAAATGTACAAGCCTTGTTGGTAAGACTGCAAGAACGCACGGAGCTTATCAGACGTCGATCAAAAAAATGTGTCGTACTGGGAAAATTACATGAACGTCCCGAACAGGTCAGCGTGCCGTTCTTATGAAGACTGCATGACTGTGTCATGCTGAAAAGTGTGCGTCAACGAGCTATGCTGAAAAAGATGACGATAAACTTTTGATTTTATATATTATGTCAAACCTTTCAAGGTTTTACATTAATGTTATTCAATGCAATATGTGGACGAAAGAAATTACCGGAAGTCCCCTATCATACATTAATCTAACTTCCTCTCCTCTGAACCATGATTATGTCTTTTATATTTCATTATGTTTATATACATCTAGTTATTTTATATTATATGATAACGCTTTTCCGCGTATTAACTAATATTTTCAACATGGAATCTGATGCTTATGATAATAGACCAACGAAGTACATTGTAATTATGAGTACAAACCATTTAATGCATTAATTTGAACATAAAAGGCATTCTTTGTACACAGTTTAACATTTCCTTTATTGCCTATAAATAACATAATTAGTATTCAAAGAGGAAACCTGCGTAATTAAGCTGCAAGAAAAATGAGGTCATACCCATTGAAAGATCTTGCGTAAGAATATGAACTTTAATTTACCGGTTGTTTCATAACCATTTCTTAAATATCCAATGTTTATGATTTTGCCAAGACAAAAAGTTAGGCATAAATAAAAGAAAAAAAGGTTATTTTTTACATAATTATGAAGATATATTAGATATTTCAGCATCAACGGAAAATATCCGCTGCGCATTATGGGAAGAAACGTTTTAATAATACTCCGCGCCATTTTCTTTCTGTACAAACAAGCGACCTTCCTTTCCGGAATAATCTTTAGAATAAATAACTTCATATTTTGTGCCCTCACAAACAATTTTTAATATTAATGGTCATTTCAGTTGAAATATACTTAGGTCTAATTTCGGGGCAGGTTTCCCCCAAATTTTAATTGATTTCTTTTAGTCGTTATACACGAAAATAAAATTTTATCTGAAGATGGGCGTAAGCCAAAAAATTCGAACCATTATCCTTGGTTTTTTAAACATAGACAAAAGATGGTGTATCCTAGTTACGAACAAAGGTCAGAAGAAAGGTGTTGTTTGTTTTGTTGTTGCTGTCATATTCAGATTTCAGAAATGTTTAAAAAGTGCTGTTTAATCGGTAGATTTCTTTGTTGCATAATGGAAATCGTCAATAAAGGTTTTGGAATAATGGATTTTTAGTTTTTAACGAACACCAATAAAGTAGTATGTGCGATGCGTTTACCTTTTTTACTTTAATCAAAAATAACGATTATATAATAACAATACCTAAACACGCAAGTTATTATGGCAAAAAATAACCTTTGCACCTTTTCTTCCATGCATAATTATTTATATTAGGCGATACATATACGTAAACACCTACTAATTACTGTTTTCTCAAGTTACATAAACGTCTTATTCTACACCGAAAGAAAGAAAAAATGAAAATCAGACTAACCTTAATGTACTTTGAGTACCACTGTACTCACGTCAAACTGACATGTTATGCAACACGATAAACGTACAAAAAGGGGAGCGGTTTTTGCGTGGGATTATGGGTTCGAGTCTTACTCAATTGCTATCTGGTACAGGTTAATTCTAGAAAGCGAGTCCGAGAGAGATTGATAAAAGTTACAATATTTCCTCACAATTGAGCTTAAACAAAATAATATGAGCCGCGTCACGACAAAACCACCATAATGGGTTTGCGACCAGCATGGATCCAGACCAGCCTGCGCATCCGCGCAGTCTGATCAGGATCCATGCTGTTCGCTTACAGACCCTATAACAAGTTACGAAACTGATAGCGAACAGCATGGATCCTGATCAGACTGTGCGGATGCGCAGGCTGGTCTGGATCCATGCTGGTCGCAAACCCATTATGTTGGTTTTGTCGTGACGCGGCTCAAATGTTGTTCAAAGTAATAAAAGTACAATTTGACGCATAACAAAGCGCTTTGATTGCTAAATAGTGACAAAATGTATGTAAAGCTAACTGAAAACTCTTTATAGGCATTTACATTCAACATTTATGTACTCACTCACATGTACTTAATATGTAAAACATGTAAGAACATTATGAAAATAATAATGATAATAAAAAATAAAAACTCGGAGAAATTCTTTATCACCATCGGATTTATAAGAAAACCAAGTGTACTCTATGACAAAAGTAAAGTACAATCCATTTAAACAAATAACAGCACCAAATAGGTAAAAAACATACTAATAATAAAAACAGTCCCGATTTTATTTATTTATTTATTTATTTATTTATTTATTTACATGTATTTATTTTTTGAGTGCGTTCCAGCTATTAGCTTACCATTTGTAGCAGAGAAATAAGTTAGCAGTGACAACATATACAATTTATATCAAAGCAGCATGCCTCCAGATTCATGCTATCTTTCATGAAAATATTGTGAAGTTACCAAAGAAAATGGTTTACATATTGCAAACGGCACGCACTTGCAAGCCACGTAAATTACCAATAAGAGATCAAAATATGCATAAATAGCCTTCACTGCGTTAGTCAAGCAGTAGATACCGCAAACCTTCTCGATATTTTACTTTTAAAATTTACATTTTCAAAATGTTCATGAAAATTTGCGTGAATTTGAAGGCACACTTTAATTGGACAACTATCAAAGAACTAACGGTCGTGTAAAAAACTCTAAAGTGACGTCTTTGCTTGACGTGTGCCTTAAAAATGACGTCGTTCCAGAGATCTACATCTCTGGTTCTTCATTTCAAAGATAAATTTAAAACATTAAAAATAATTTCAAATCAAGTAGGATACGATAAAATAAAAAAAGTGGCTGAACTGTAAAATATAGCTGCATCTACAACTAATTTGATAAAAAAAAACATAACTATAAAGTAATAATTGTTAAATTAGTCTGATAATCTCTGCTCTCTTTTACACATCAATAAGCATTGACTAATGATAGATTTATAAACCTTACTAAACCATTACTTTCTTCTTTCTTCAAAGTATGTTAAACAAATGGATAACAAATTTGCGAAAAGGGGAATGGATCTTTTGTAAAGAAGGTGCAAAACGATTCATATGATTTTGTATTAGATTTTCTTGCATCAAAAAAAAAAAAAAAAAAAAAAAAAAAACAACAAGGAAATCGCTCGAGGCTAATACTAGTAACTAAAGTAATTATTTTAGGTGAAATATCAAGATTCCGTTACACTTTATTATCTCTCCTGCGCAAATTTCAAATTACAAAGCGTAAATGTCTTTAGATATACACTATTGTCTACTATTTAGAATTAAAAGTCTCAAGAAAATGCTACTTTGCGCATGCGCAGTAATATTAAGAAATTATTTCCACATATACTGTCTCAGAAGCTGTTTTCATTGTGTTAAGATTTCTATCTAAAGACTTTTGTCTGGATATTTTCTGTTTAGGAGTGAATTTTGGTTATAATCTCGACAGGAAAAACTGACAAAACGCTGGCAAGACGCTGGCAACAAATCATTTTTTCATCCATTTGCAGGTCTGGTATATAGATTATACACATAAAAAAATAATTATATAATCGCATAAGAAAAACATTTTCTTTTCTCTGTTGGTTTAAGACCAATTTTGTGTTGTCATAAAAGTAGTCATACTAGAGAGATTTTTTAGAGAGTTCTTCAGAAAAAAAAGCTTAGATGTTAAATTTCTTAACGCTTTGTTTGTTTGTGTGTGTGTTTTTTGTTGTTGTTTTTTATTTTTGTTGTTGTTGTTTTTTTTGTTGTTGTTTTTTTGGCGGGGGGTTCTTTTCATAAAATTTGCATACGTTTTTAAAATAAAATATTAGGACCCTATTCATTTGATATATGAACAAGACATGATTTATATTTATGGTATTCACAATACAAACGTTTACTTGCATGACAGAATCACAATAGTTGAAAGTAAAACATCACCATTTTATTTGTCTGCAAAAAAAGAGCAAAAACAACAAACAAAAAAACAACATTAAGACTGAAAGAAGTTAGATTTGTTATGAGTGGAAAACAATGGAGAAGACCTTATAAGACTTAAGTACAGGAATGCGTTTTATAATTAAAAAAAAATCATGAAGACATGGTAAAACATGTTCTTTTAATTATATAGATCCAAATACTAGTATATCTGATCAGACACAAGCGTGCACCTCAGTAGGACCACCGAACTTCCGACAACTAACTGGATTGAACAATCCAAAGTCCCTGATGGGATTCGAACTCGCTACGGTTTGGGACAAGTGATTTGAAGTAACCAACCATCAAATACATCTTAAGCTTTGATTTAAACGTAATGTCAATAATAAAAAAGGAAAAGTGAACAGAACAATTCATATGTATGGTATGGTGGCTGATTTGGAACGCTTTTGTGCGTCGTGTTGTCGTTATCGACAGCACGACAACGCGCCAAACGGTGCCTTGTCGGACTTTCGTTTTGTTGTCCTGTCGCTAACGATGCACGCCAAACGGCGCGTTGTCGTGCGACGTATTGTCGCCATGTCATATTGTCGCTCGGCTCAACTTCGAATGATTGGCTTATAAGCCAAGCGACAGGGCGACAACGTGCCGCACGACAACGCGCCATTTGGCGCATTTCGCTAGCGACAAGACGAAAAGGCGATAAAGGTATAGGTTGTGTTGTCGCTATTGTGCATGGGGTACCAAATCAGCTACCATAATTTTGTGTTTGGAAGACCATTTGCAAACATTTTAACTATTTTTATAATAGTGTCTGGTGCGCCGACTGATCTTGGTCTACACTGGTCGCATGGGTAAATCCGGGTGCCGCCAGAAATCTAAGGGTCAATCTACATAATAAATATACATATTTGTACAACATACAAAAAAAAAACTTAATTATTTTTTACTACATTACCTGAAGACAAACTTAGGAAAGGTTCAGAAAAAAACCTACAATCATGATAAAGACATTTGATTCAATTTCCTCGAACGTCAGTATTAAAAGGCTGGCATTTTAGAAAAGTAAATTTTAAGGTCATTAAAACCAATAGCTACAAAACTTCATTTTACAAATTCCTAGATTTTAGACACAAATTTAAAGATCTATTAGGATCGATTTACGAAAAGTATATACTAACTCACTAAATCAATTAAAAAAGACATTTTTAAATACATTTGGCGCTCACACAAATTTTATAATTCTTTGTCACAACAAAAATAAACGAGAAACAAGCAGAAAGAAAATGCCGACTTTTACAGAATTGCGTTTTCAGGAAGTGATATACGTTGATTTATGTCTCGGATTTTGGTAATAAGAAAGTATATATCGTCACCTTAGTGCAATAACTGGTTAACTCCTATTAGATTAAGAAGGACTTAACCCGTTACTGCTCTAAAGTGACGATATCACGGTAAGTATTATTATCACAAATATTCATCTCTTAGTTTAACCTTCACATACAATTATTAATTTTCATATCCAAAATTTGAGCACGAATGGAACTTAGGCCTACATCACCAAGAGTTATGACTTTGATTTACTTCAAAGATATAAATTGCTGAGGGGACGAAAGTCTATGTAACCACTTTCTTTCAATTGTCTTGAGATGGTATTCTAGCCTGCAGTATTCACCATACTGTCTGCATTTAACATTGAAATACAAATAAGCACACCCGCTTAATCAGGATGTTATAGCACTGTGCGTGCGGAAAATACCGGATAAGGTGACGCGGCCAAATAACCTCTGTAAATAAAGAATCCGCTGCAGAAAGTAAATCAAGTTTCGTTATCGAGTTTTGTATAATACGGGCAGACGTTTAATGCACACAAATACACGCTCTGTTACTTAACGTAAATGACTACTTCATGACAGCAATTCTGATGCTATAGCAGTTCATGGGAAGTCTTTTAATGTTTTACTTAATATTTATTTAGTAAAATTTGAGAATTACAATGGTTGATAAAATGTCGTTCAATGGAAGTACAGATGACGGAAGTGTTGTTCATAAAAATTGGACACAATGTGATTTTGATGAGTTTAACGTTACATCGATTGATCAACCAGAAGCACCCTTTTATTTAGTTGTTACGGCGACGGTATGTTACGTCATTATTTTTGTCCTCGGCGTAAGCGGTAACGTCATAGTTGTGACGGTGTTAAGTCTCGTGCGAGCTATGAAGACGACAATGAATATGTACTTGGTTAATTTATGTGTTGCCGATCTCCTGGTACTCATAATGTGTATGCCGACAGCTTTGGTGGAAATATTCACGATGGAAGAATGGCTTTTTGGGGAAGTTATGTGTAAGTATGACGTAAACCTTTAATTTAATGTGAAAGTCGCAATATTTCAGCTTATTATGAACTTTATTTTTGCGTTTTTATGACTTTGTTTATTGAAGTGGAATCGTATGAATATGCACGAGATTATTGTTTGTTTATGGCACGGAGATTCCTATATGCTCTGAACACCCTCGAGATTACTCACCATTTGTTTTACTAGAATGAATATCTTAAAACTAGGCTTTAAAATGAAAATTTAGTTTAAGCAATAAATATATAATAAAGTTCTATTTTTTAAGTTTATTTATAATTTTTTGTATCAATATACATACAAAATAAAATTTCACAATTTTACATACATTATCATCAAATGTATATATAAAAGAATCGGGCCAAAGGTTGAAACAACATTATCTTGGACTCGGGACTAATGTTTGTCAGAATTGGTAAAAGGCTAAATGCGTGCTTACAACTAGCTTACTTCTTAAAGCAGCATGCCTTCAGATTCATTCTAATTTCCTTGAAAATTTTGAAAATATTTTAAAAAGTAAAATATTGCTAAGTGAACAACGAAAATAATTTACATATTGTGCATACTTGAAAAAGCATATATTGCTCCCTAAAATCCAACTATAGATATTTTTTAAAGGCGCTTTATGCCTCAGAAATACATAATTAGAAATTCATTCATTCATTCATTCATTCATTCATTCATTCATTTATTTATTTATTTATTTATTTATTTATTTATTTATTTATTTATTTATTTATTTATTTATTTATTTATTTATTTATTTATTTATTATCTAACTCACTCACTCACTAACTCACTCACTCATTTATTTATTCATTTTTTATTTATTATTTGTTTGTTCGTTCTTTCGTTGATTGATTGATTGATTGATTGAGTGAGTGATTGATTGATTGATTCATTGATTCATTCATTCGTTCGTTCGTTCGTTCGTTCGTTCGTTCGTTCGTTCGTTCATTCATTCATTCATTCAAAAGCTCATTTAAAAAAACACATCATCTCTGGCATTTCATGAACGTAAAAGTCACTCATTACTTACACGTGTCATAAAAGTACTTCTTTACAAAAACACTGAGAGGGGTCAGCCAGACGGGGAAAAAGAAGCTTTTTGCACGACTTGACTTGCACTTTTTTCCCACTTGGGAAATGGTTCTTCAATTGAGAAATTAAAAGCATTATTAACATTAATTAAATATCTTGCAAAATTCAAAAGTTGCTTTCCAAAAGTACTTTTAACCAATTAAAAAAACATGTTCTGATGCGATGCAACTTGAATATTTGTCATTTACAAATCAAGATAAAAACTGATTCATTTCGTTCAAAGAAGATTTTAATTCCCCAGTGCAGGCCTAAACGAACATAATCTTCAACAAAAAAGATTTTTACAGTGTGAAAAAAAAAGCATTCATGACAATGAATTTAAAGAACCGAAAAATGCACTAGAACTATTTCGGATCATTGCATAAAATTCCTTTTTTTCTTTCACTTTTTAGGAAGGCCTGTTATATGCATATATATAAACAGGATTGGAAAACATATTAGAAAATGTGAAATATGCAGTTCGTCTGTTATCGAAGATGAATTTCATTTTGTGATTGTTTGTCTTAACCCTTTCCCTTATGAGCATATTGTGAAAAATGCCCGTTTTCATTGAAAAGCCTCCTGTTACAAGTTCATGCTATGAAACTATGAAAAATGCTTCAATACTAATCAAACTTGGCACAAATGTTGACTGAACCATTGCCTTTGCCGACATGCTCAGTGTTAAATTTCCTGTTACCATGGCAACGAGGGGACATCTCAAAATTGCCAAAAATCCCTATTTTGCCTTGATATTTTCCATCAAAGTTGATTTCAAAGTGCTGCAACTTCTTAATGGATTGAGATAGAGTCAAAGGCTTTTCAGCTTTGGTTACACTTTACCTTATGATCGACCTGGGGTCATTTATAGCCTCTCATTTATAGTCTCTCACAAGTCCAAAAGTTTCTTGGCGATGGGGGGCCGCGCCGAAAAAATGCTCACTTTTTTAGCGACATTTCCCAAACGAAAAAAATTGACTGCCTCTCAACCCAGAGATCATGGGTTCGGGCCCTACTCGGGTCACGACCATGTTTCTTCATATGACACCAGTACTGGTTAGTACCAGGAAGTGGACTCGAAAGTGATTAATATAAGTTGCAAGAACTTGTTTCGCAATTGAGCTTAAATAAATATGTTTAAACCAATTGATTTGGCTTTTGTATTTATATGTATTGTATTTATTAAGGCGAGAAACGAAGAGCTCAAGTCTGTTATGTTCTATATATTAACAAAGAAGTATGTTTATACACAATATGCATACATTGTATATTGAATATTTTATGCGCAAGTTATGTTTATGAAGATGGAGCACAATACATGTATGAAAACCAAATACCATATCAATAACAAATTATAACATTTTACGGTAAATGCACATAAGTTTATGAGACTATTACATATAGGCTACCATTAGAAAGATCAAACAAATGCGACATTTCAAATCATACCCCTTTGCATAAAAAAGAACGAAAAACAAAAAATATCTTGATCTCGGTGGTTGAACTTGTACTTTTTCCTAAGAACTCATTTAAATGTTGCTTTTTTTATAATGGTTATGGGGTTTATAATGAAATTGTCGATTACCAGTATTCCCGGTCCAATAGCCAAACTTGAATTACACGACTTTTTGTATTGAAATTTCCTCATCGCATTTTTTGTAAAATACAGGTTTTACTGCATAAGAGCAGAATCAAAATATGACTCAAAGGTTTCGGTAGTTATTTTAACATTATCTAAACATGATTTTTTTTATATACTTCACTTCACTTCAAAATTTTATTGCATTAAACAAATACATGTTTATAGCAAGTACAAAATATATAAACACAGACAACACAAGTACATGGATTTTTTAAGAAGAGCCATACAATCATATGAATAAAATACAGATCACATTTGATAGGATTAATTTATTAAAGTGTTAGCATGATATATAAATTTGCTTAAAACCATAAATATTACAGTTAACGATGATTCAGACATTAAATTGATAAATTTTTGCTTAGTCGGCCATGTGTTGTAATACCGTTTAAGATACTTTTTCTCAAATCGGAGAACTTCGGGCATATAAGTAAAAAATGATATTCATTCTCTATTTGATTAAATTGACAATTTTCACAAAAGTGTTCATTTCTAGGAATATTACGATATCTTCCATATTCTATAGCTAAATTATGAGACGATGTTCTGAATCTGGATAAGGCTATTCTATACTTTGGTTCTTTAATTACACTTAAGTATTTTTCTAAATCAAAAGTATGTTTAAATAAACTGTATGTGTCAAGACGAGGTGAATTATTTATCAAGGTATACCATTGTTCGTAATACAAACTAAGAATTCTGAATTTAATTGCTTTAAAATCTACCTGTATGCTATATTGGTTTTCCCATACAAATATTAATCCAGATTCATCTAATATTTGTTTAATAGTGTAAGCCCAATTTTTACCATTATAAGATTTCCATTGTCAGCATCAATTCTTAACATAGAATATGTTTTAAAAAGGAAGTACTTTCTTGAAGCGATAATAACTCCATATGCAGTCTACAAATTATACATTATTGGTTACGTATCATTGGTGAACGGTTGAATGACACTGTTTAATTACAAACATTCAAGGGGTTTAGTTAGTTTAAACATATTATAATTTAAGCTCGATTGCGAAACAAGTTCTTTCAGATTATATTAAGCACTTTCGAGTTCGCTTCCTTGAACCGACCAGTACTGGTGTCATATGAAGAAACATGATCATGGTCCGATTAGGGCTCAAACCACGATCCCTTGATTGAGATGCAGACACCTTAACCACTAGGCCACCGCGGTCAATATGAAACATAGTTTTTCTTGTTTCTCTCAAACTTCTTTCTGTGTTTGGAGTCTGTTCCGGCCCGAAATATAACTACATGTATCACCATGATACGTGAAAAAATAAGTTAAAAGTTTAGAAACCGTGATATGAAAAGCATGAAATATTGAATTTGAAATGTTCGTATCAGATCAATATACAACGATTGTTATTTAAAAAAGTATTTTCTATGAATTCCACATTCGTTTAAGAAATACAAATGCTTAACCAGAATAATTTCTGCGCTTTCCGTTGCCTGTTTGCTGACAATAAGAAATCGAACAACTTCAAAAAATACCCGAATGAAGAATTTATTTAAGTCATATAATAAAACAGTTATTGTATGGAAGTTAAGTTCGGCCTCGGTGTCTATCACATTAAACATATCCATAGACTTGGATCTTTTTTTGACTGTATACACGCACTTATTGTCTTAGCAGACAAGCTTGTTCCGTTTCTAGAGTACATCAAACGTCATGATAATATCCGCTAAACAAATGCCATTTTAATACTTTCCCCTTAGTGGCCTTTGTTTTATTGTATACATATGTCGATGTCTAAGGATGTTCTATCATATTTCAGACAAGCTAGAAGCTAGTTCAGTTTCAAAAAACACAACAAACACAATAATAATATCCGCTTAACAAAATGCCACTTTAAGACTTCCCCCCTTAGTGTCCTTTGTTTGCAAGTTTATGAATTCTGCAACTAAATGTCTAAGGATATTTTATCATATTTCAGGCAAGCTAGTTCCGTTTTTAGAACACACTGTCTCCAATGCTTCTGTACTGACAATTCTTGCCATCAGTGTGGAACGCTACAGGGTTATCCGACGACCATTTCTTGGAATCACAGAGTGTTATACAAAGGTAACTTTCGAACCAATATATTTTTGCACTACGATATTTCCTTAGAAACGGAAGTAGAATTTCGCCTATGCGCATTCTGCGTAGGACAAAAAGCATTAAAAAAAGAAATAAATTTGATAAGCATTCAACAACTTCATGAACAATTGTTTTAATCGAAATAATAAACCTATAGTTTGGCATGGTCTATTTTTGATAAATAATAATTATCTAAAAACTATAGTTATTCGGCCATGAAAACGCTATGATATATTTCCTAGCGGTGTGAAGTCGGCGGGCTAACAGTGTAGCGGGCTAGCAGTGTGAACTCGGCGGGCTGGCGGGTCAGCGGAATAAACTTTAATACTGAATTGAATCACATTAAAACCTCATAATACATTTCCTAGCAGTGTGAAGTGGGCGGGTTAACAGTGTAGCGGGCTAGCAGTGTGAACTGGGCGGGCTGGCGGGCCAGCGGGCTAAACGTTAATACTTAATTGAATAAACATTAAAACCTTATGATACATTTTCTAGCAGTGTAAGCTCGGCGAGCTAACAGTGTAGCGGGCTAGCGGTACAAATTCAGCGTGCTAGCAGTCTAGTGGTCTAAATTCCATACTTAATTATTTTAACACTAAAACGTTATGATGCATTTGCTGGCAGTGTGAACTCGGCGGGCTAACAATGCTTGTTTCATATGGTATACACCATACTTGAGATTTGTCACAAATATGTACACTAAAGTTTTAAAATCCGTATTGACATTCAAATGATGTATTATGTACAGAAAAAACGACAATCTTAACTGAAACAGAAAAAAACCTTGCAACATAAGGTTTTAGTAGTAGGGCAATCAAACGTAGTACCTCATGTAGTGAAGCAGAAGATGCACCAGATGTACATACATAGCTCTATATTTCGTACAATGACAGAAGCTTGTCCATAAATACAAGGACATCTAGGAATCTAGCGAGTTATTTAGGAGCGGATCTGTGGTCTGGTGGTTAATACATATATATAATCCATGGGGTCTTGAGTTCGATCCTCCGCTCCTCCGTAGCATTACCAACAGTCTTTCGGATGGGACTTTAAACCGAGGTCTCGTGTATCGGTGCTTTACACCGGGCGCATAAAAGATCCAGGTATGCTTCTGAGAATTGAGTATTTTTTTACTTATTTCATCATGAAAAAATAACAATGCAATAAAAAGATACCATCTGAAACGCAATTTTAATTCCTGGTGCTCGTTTACGCGTGCCGATAGTATAAACGGCAGCTACCCTTATACTGTAATGACATAACTTTTCAATAGGTACAACATTATGCTTATTTGAAATTAGTTCTAATGTGAAAAGCTTAAAGTATATATCAGTAATTCCTTCATGATAGAATTGTTTGATTTTGTATTGACATTTTTTTAAACCGTGAATTTGTGGGGGGGGGGGTTGTTTTTTTTTTCGGGGGGGGGGGGGTTGGTGGTGGGTGAAGGATATTTGTGTAGTATATGGGGTCCTTTTGGGGGGTTGACCCAACGCCGATAACCTGTGGTTAACGTTAGCTTGTTGCTTGAAGTCAAAGACAAGATCATATTTTTTAATTAAATGCTAACATCACATTACATGTAATAAATGTACATTTCAATTCAATACTAGTATGATAAAGACCTTTCACGTTTTGTTTCAAAACATATAGACATTAATAATTTCCGTAAAAATTTAATCTTAAATCAAAAGTTAGAATATTGTATATTGCCGTATAAAGTTTTCCATGTGTCCGTACATCACATGATTTTCAAGATAACGACTTATAAATCATTCAGTAGAGCTTATTTCCATTAAGATATTGTGATATACTTTGACAGTCAATTTAAAATGATACATTTTGCAGAAACCTTATATTGCAGTAGCCTTGAAAATGCATGATATACTGTACAGATATGAAAACAGTGTCATTGAATCGATGTACCGTTCGCGAAAAGAGTACAGTTTTGAAATAGAAGTACAGTGAAACCTGTCTAATCCGGCCCCGTCCACACAAGAAAAAAAATTCGGATATGGAAGGTTTCCGGATTAGAAAGTTTTTTGTACTTGAAAAAGGATATAGAATATAAAAAAACAGAAAGAGGAAAAAAAGAAAAAGTTCGAAATTTTCATAAGTTGTGATTGTCCCAGTTAAAAAGAGGAAACAGTCTTAACCCATTACTTCATGAGCATTTTGTGAAAAATGGCTCTTTTCATTGAAAAGTCTCCCGTTACAAGTTCAAATTGCAATAAAACTATCAAAACTGCTTCAATACTAATCAAACTTGGCACAAATGTTGACTGGTCCATTGCATTTGTAACGACATGCTCAGTCTTGATTTCCTGTTACCATGGCAACGAGGGGACATCTCAAAATTGCCAAAAATCACTATTTTGCGTTGATTTTTTTTCCATCAAAATTGATTTCAAAGTGCTGCAACTTCTCAATGGATTGAGACAGTCAAAGGCTTTTCAGCGTGGTAACACGTTACCTTATGATCGACCTGGGCTCTTTTTTAGCCTCTCACAAGTCCAAAATATTCTTGACTATGAAGGGGACTACCGCCCCCTTCAAACCCCCCAAACAGAAGGGGGCACATCCCCAGCCCCTAATGTATCTTTTTGGATGGGGCCGTCGCCGAAAAAGTTATCACTTTTTAAGCAACATTTGTCAAACCAAAACAAGTGTTGGGGGCCTAAATAAGGCATTTTTTCACCATTTGAGACAACAAGTAGTGGGGGGGGGGGGGTGAAAAAGGCGTTAAAAGGCGCGTATATCAGGTAATGGATTAATAAAAATCTTTCAATATATCTGTCCAGACGATGCACGAATGTATGCAAACAACGTGTATTTTTGAGATAAATGTATGCAATCGTAACTTTTCGGCCCTTTCCGGCAGTCTCCGGATAATGACTTCTAATAATTCAGATAGGTGTTCTGATAGAACTTTTGGCATAAATTACGTCAAGTGATTGGGCTAGACAACAAAAGCGCCAATTACGATCTAAATTAAAATTATATAGCATCTTTTAGGCAACGCCTTTTCCAAACAAAACCACAAATCTTGATAGTAATCAACCCGACCTTTATATTGTAGTAATCTAAGCATTCCGTGAATGTTTATAACTTCTACACAGCAACTATCGAAACCTGGAAATATTTTAACTCATTGGTCTGGGCACAAAACCTGAGTTAATTTAAATTCTGCGACTAATAAATAGCTTTCCATTTTAACCGAACATGATGACAGCATATGGAGTAATACAATGACAACGATTAAGTTTGAAAGTCCCTTTATTTCTTGTTACCTAAAGTGTTTTGCAAACTGATTTTAACAGAAATATAATTTCTGAAAATTAAATTTAACAATTTAAAAAAAATTCTTCTCGTTTCTTCTTTTATCGCATTATAGTCACATATTATTCTATATTAGGGTTTGTAACGACGCTTACTGTTGTTGGGTGTAAATAATCATGGAGCTTACTATAAGCATGTATATCTATTAAGAATAAAACAATATTAGAAATCTCTGGTAGCACTCCACACTAAATTTCAAGTTTCTGCCGTCAATGTCCTACAAGCAATATGTCTGATAAATCTGATCCCAAACTACACAACCTGGAAAAATAAAACACATTTTGTTAAGAACATATATGTCATAACATTGCAAATCTGTAATGAAGTCATCCCATGTGCAACAGTCAGGCAGTTAAAAAAAATTCCAACTCATTCCGTAAAAGCCAAAAATCTATAGTGGTCCGAGACCCAAAACAACATTTTTCGCACCTCCAGCAAAAAATACCTGCAAATATACGGTCTACAGAAACTCTGTCACTGCTTTAGCAACTCCCTATGCATGCAAAATATCACAAAGAAATAGGTGCTTGGCCTTGTAGATTTTTTGCTATTGCTGAAAGTTTGTACCCCCCTGTAAAATTACTTGTTTTCACCGAGCATGCTGTTTAAAAGCATTGTTTACAAACAATGGCGACCTTGACATCAATAATTATCAGCATGTGATTTCTAACCATGTTTTCGAATTTGCCAATGATCATATTACATGTCACAAAAACAAATTTAATGCTGAAAATGCATTTTAAAGACAACCAGTCATTTAAATCCACAATAGTCACTATATCCATGAAATCCTCCCTGGCCATTCGAAGCTGTGGCTTCATTTAGTGTGGTGTGCTGCCTCTGACCATTCGGGAATTATTTTGCTTGAAAATTAATGCGCCTGTCATTTGACCATCTTTACGCAGTGATCTCTCCCCTGAATTTTTCGGCATTAGTTTACATATAAAGGGAAGTAACCGCTTCGAAAAAGTGGACTACTTTCGGCACTTGCAATTAACAGCATTAGAGTACCATTATTTGTTTGGTCTGACGACCCAAACAAATAAAAATGATCCGAAATTGAAAAGCATTACAACCCTTCTCACGCATATCGGGCTAAAATAGCACAAAAAAAATGTTTTATTTAATTTGTTATATCATATTGTAATGTGATATAACTCTACACTTACTCAGAGGTTATTCAACTAAATTCAACTAAATTCAGGGGCAAAGAACGCGGGTTTATTGTGCACAAATGATTTTAATTTTCTCTGTTCAAATTGAACGACTTTCTGATGTTCAAACTTTGCAATAAATGATGGAATATTTTCAGCAGTTTATAAATCAAAATAAAAAGTCATGAGATAAAATCTAATAAATTGTGAAAATCTTTATGTATAGTTGTTTATTTATATTTGTTTATTATTACTTGTTTATTTCACACAGAAATAAGAATTCACCATAAAACTGAATGACATGAAAAATTAGCTTATAAACATTTCGCAACAATTTCCAAATGGTTTTTAAATGTATAAAGTATTCAAGTATTGACAAAAAGTATTCCGCTTGAATATGAAAATCGTGAACAAATCCACAAATCAAAAGATTATAAACAAATAAAGATTATGGAATAAGTAATAAGGTACATGCATTTACCTTGAATATTTCTAAGAATTATATTAACCTTCTTATGGATGAATGGTTATTGTCATAACTTTATGTTGCTTAAATATATACGTATAATCAACACTCCAATTACTAAGTTTACATAAAATGATTTTTTGTCCAAAACAAACCAAAATAATGATACATATTTTCTTAAATTCAATAAAGTAATAAACGTATATTATTTCCAACAGACAGGTGCTTTTGTGTTAGAAGGATAAACCGGTTTCAGCTAAAAGGGCTAAAAAAGTTGAAATTGTATTCCTTTTGCAAAATCTATATCACAAATTAGGACAGATCTTTGACAATTGACCACGCCTCCGATATTTTGTTTAAAAACGTTCTCTATTTTGCAGGTGGTGAAAGTGCTTGTAGTAATCTGGAGCGTGTCGGTAATTGCTAGTTTTCCGTGGTTTTATATTGCTATTTATAGAAGCTCAATGCTTATGGATGGAACGCCTATTATGGTAATCAGATCTTTTTTTTTTCAATTTTTAAAAAAGCCTGCATCTATATTTATGGGTTTTTTCAGCGTTTCGAATTACATGTATCATAAATTTGAAAACCTTCCCGCATCAAACAGAGCACTACCACCTCCCCCCTACCACCCCCATTGAAAATGATAAACATTGTGGCCCCGGGTTGTTTGTGTCAGAGTTATTACATTTTACATTTTCGTAAAATCTCCAACATTGCCGATGAATATCATTAGCGTTCACACCTCCCTGGTACCGGCTTATGTAGAATTCAACATTGAAATAGACAAATGTTAAAAAATTATTCGAATTAAGATATACTTGTAACTGAAAATTGGGTCAATTATTCTTTTTTGGTCAAATAATTCATACAATATGTACTTGTTTCAGACATGATGCACAAATCATTTGAACAGATAGTTTACGGGAAAAAGTTGTCGTCTGCAGCTTCCAATGCTTTGATTACGTACATGGAATTCAATTATTTTGCAATAGTAGTAGAATGTACTTTTAAGAATACAAGTCGTAGATATTGATGACTTAAATCTTTAATCAATTTTCTTCGACGGAACATAAATAATTAAAATTATTTCAGTTTTAATAACAATTATCCTAAAATATTTTGGACGTAAGTTTTATACGCTAGGTCCAATCAATTTGGACAAAAGTTCATTAGATGACAAAAAAGTAAAGCCGTCTTTATTTTAACAGCAAGATAATCTAATGCCAATTCGTTTTAATGAAGATGAATACTTTAATTATATTCTTCAAATGGCAAATCACAGCATGCGTAGTAATTTGGCCCCTTCACCACGAGACAGACTGAACATCCTAGATATCTTTTTGTCATATTCTAAAGCGTGTCTTTGCACAATTTCTGATTGCTCTGCCACTAAAAATCACGTGTGGGAAATACGTTCTGCAGATAAAAGTTTTGCAAAAGCAAATTATAGAATAAAAACTCGTCCTTTTCGACAATTTCAATTATTGAAAAATCATTAAAATTGCATTTTCTTTATTAATCCTAATGTATTTTCAGAAAAAAATAAGTTCTGGAGTTATGGTCATAAATTTCTTTTTTAACATTTATTGCTAGAATAGGAAATACGAGGGTGGTTTAAGAAAAACCAAAAGGTTGAAAAATAAAAGTAGATCATTCCAATACATCAAAAACGTTCTAAAAATAGATAATATGGGGTTTACTGCTCGTGGAAGCAATTTCCAATAACCGTATTCTTTCATCCTCACTTTTATTGCATTATATTAACATATAAGGATTAAAAGATTTATCAGAAAGATTGTTATACTTTATGTTATCGTATATTAGAGTTGTGGGGTAACGCACCTACTTTCCCAAAATAACAAGAGGCTCACTATTCCGTTACCTTTTGAAAGTCATACTTTTGCGAGAGCAATATGTCCAATTCAAACCAGTCAACTTAACAGTGTATTTTCAGGTTTGCCGTAACCCAATTCGTTTATATTGGCAGCAGGTATACATTACTGGACTGACGTTACTATTTTACCTGGTACCATGTTTGATTTTGCTAGGAATTTACATTGAAATATGCCGGGAACTAATCCGTACCAACAAGGACCACGGTGCGCGTTTCGGACAATCGGAGGTTGGGAGAATTGCATTTTACAGCGAAAGAAAACGCTCCCAGAGGCAAGTGCTGAATCTTATTGGATCAATAGTGTTTGTGTTCTTTTTATGTCATTTGCCGCTCCGAGTCGCGGGTTTGTGGTTTACATTTGAGGACAAACACGTCATTTATTCCCTTGGTCTGGAGATGTACCTGAATATTCTCTTCTCCACTCGAATTATTTTTTATCTTAATCACGCCTTGAATCCAATTGTATACAACTTTGTCTCAAGAAAATTTAGGAATGCGTTAAAGAGCGTTTGTCTGAATGACTGGAACGGAAGTGATAGAAAGAGATCTGTTACTAAACGCATGCTGGTGAAAACATCGAGTAACCGAGTGTGCGTCAGACGCAACGTCATCTACTGTGAAGATAATCATAGTTAACTAGCAAATTGTGAAGATAATCATAGTTAATCAGTAAACTGTGAAGATAATCATAGTTAACTAGCAAATTGTGAAGATAATCATAGTAAACCAGCAAATTGTTAAGATAATCATAGTTAACCAGCAAACAGAGAATATAATCATTGTTAACCAGTAAACTGTAAAGATAATCATAGTTAACCAGCAAATTGTGAAGATAATAATAGTTAATCAGCAAATTGTGAAGATAGTCTTAGTTAACCAGCAAACTGAGAAGATAATCATAGTTAACCAGTAAAATAAGAAGATAATCATATTTAACCAGTTAACTATGAAGATAATCATAGTTAACCAGCAAGCTGCGAAATAATCGTAGTTAACCAGCAACGTAAACTCTTAAAGGAAGCAAATTAACAAAATAAGGACACGCTGATACGCTATAGTTTTTTACACAAACGACATGAAAACAATACAAAGCTATGGTTCAGGCTTGACAGCCATAATTATGCTGATTTTTGTCCAAACAATGTGATGTTTTAAAAAAATTTGATTTTACTCAGATATGATCTTGCATGCATCCTTTCGTTTCAAGTGTAAATATGTTGCCAGTTGTGAACGATTCATTTATTGCATAATAACAAAAAGGTCAACACACACAGAGAAAAAATAAATTTGTTTCCAATTACAGTTCCATTGAATTTCTCTAAAAGAAATTCAAATGTGTTCGTGTATAGAGGCAGTCAACCATGAGTTCATGAAAATACGGCAAATTTCGCAATGTTCGTCAATGTTGTAACATTTCTTTATGATTAGGGGCATTATAAATTCTAATCGCAACTCTACGGACCTTTCCCTCGGACCTTTACGTGTACTATTTAGTGTAACGTTTTGGCATTTTTTATAATAAGCTTGGTTTGATTAAAGATTATCAAATTACTCAAATGATATAAGTGTTACATAACTATTATGTTATTTGTTTATATTGCGACAATATATTTTAGTTTACGGTACTTTACAATATACGTTTGGTATACGTATTTTCAATAAACGTTTGATATCATATAATGTTATAAACGTTTCAGTGATTATGATCATTCTAATCAACCAATGAAAATAAGTCATGCTTGAGCGATCATTTCAGCAGGTATAAATACGGCGATTAAAGCAACATTATTCAGTCTGCAGAGGAATTTACCGAGACCGGGTTATTCTATGTAACTGAAGCCTCGCTTCATACATAGAGGATAATTTCGTCTACCTAACTGAAGCCTAGCTTCATAGGTAGAAAAGAAGAATTGGCCAAAACTAAATACCCTTGTTTATCCAATTGAAGCCTAGCTTCATGGATATAGGGTTGTTATATGAAAGTTTGTGAAATTGTATTTGACTCTGGGTACTTATAGACCACCACATTTCCTGAAAGCCTCGCTATCAGAATCGGTAACATATAGGTATTAAAAATCCAGAGGTATTCTAATAACAAATAAGTTTGTATAGATAAATTAGTTGGAACTTTGTTGTAAATCCCTGCCAGCAGCTTATCTTTCTATCTAAATAGAAGCATCGCTTCATAGATAGGAAGGTAGTTGCTGGACTATAGGAAATTATCGGGTTGCAGCGTGATATCTATAGCTTTTGAATTATTTCATAGTGTTATATTGTAAAGATATTTACTATATTTAGACTTTTTAGAATTTAATAGTGTATTTTGGAGTGTTAATTTAAGCTGATTGTTTATGATATATGATAATTTTATAATCATTTGTTTCTAATCAAACGGCAGGTAGCCCAAAGAAAAATTTATTATATATTCGTTGTACATCCGCTCGGTACACGTTACATTAGTACACAAAGTATTAATACACAGACCGACTTCTCTACCCTAAAATTGTAGACATATTTTGTATCCTCATACTATAACCGAATGCAGAGATGTCAAATAAATACATTCGTTACCCATTATGCAAATATTGGTGTAACCCTAAGCCTCTTTGCATCACAACTGGGACTTAAAATTCATTTTGTCCCAGATCACAAAACACATGGTAGAACTACTTTCGATTCGAATTGCTTTAGAGATGATTTTTGGTAAAATTGCGAGGTGTTCCGAATGAACAAAATCTTGCCAATTGCAATGTATATTTCAATGTTTTCTGACAAAATTTCTGCAATTTAAAGTGATGAAGAAAGCTGAAATTATAAGAGTAGCTTGTCTGAATTAAATTAGTTTTTTTTGTCTGGATTAAATATGTTTTAGAAAAAAAAGTCAACATGTAATCTGTAAAATATTTTTGCACTGTATCGTCAATAGAGAACATAAAATGTAAAATTTGAATTCTTGGAAATCTTCTAATCTTTAACGCTCCCGTGGGATATTGGAGTATCTGTAAACATTGATTTAACGAGCAAATCGTATATGATTTGTAAATAATATTTAGTGTAAATTGTCTATTGCGCATCAAAATTAATATCTTACAGCCCGCACGGGATTCAAGTAAGAGCGGCGTCTGGAACTGTAGTCATGGTAATGGATGTATACATAATTTAGCAGATGTCCAATACTTGCATGCTTGTAGCACATTTGTCAAAGTATTTAGACATGCAAAGCTATTAAATACGTTGTTTTTGTTCTTGGTTATTGCCCATGTATAAAATAACACAATATATCAACTCGCGACACAGTTAGCTGGATTATAAACAAGATATATCGCTCCGAATGGAGAACGCTATGGTAAATTACTGTAAATGAATAAATGACGGATGTTTTTGTTTGTTTGATTATTTTTGTTGTTTTCTTTTCTTTTCTTCAAAAATCATCGCATTGAAAACGGTAACAAATTGAATCAGGAGCCAGGGATCTGATATGTGTTCCAAAATTTAAAACAAAACATCCAGGAATTGTTGAGGTTCTTGTTAACTTCAGTCATAGGTTAGAGCACTGTCCAGTTCATGTCTATGTTTTAATTTGTGAGCAACAAAGTCTCGATCTTTGTTCCATAAAGCGCACCCGAAACTAAGTACATTAAACATTTTTATCGTTTACCACCTTCCGATTATTTACAAAATATTAAAAAATCATTATTATATATCTTAAGCTGGACGCCAAAACAAGAACTATTCTCTATAGACTGTAAAATTGTGAGCCTTAATCAAAACTTTTATATTAATTAATTTATTTAGACAAGATATTAAGATCACATGAACTTGTCTATTCAAGAACTTTAATCGAAACTTCTTATTTCATGCGTGGACTTTGCAAAGCTCCAGCTATGATTAAAACTAAATTGGTATAAAAAAAATCTGGAAAAAGGACGGGCCCTCAGAAACAATGGAAACAATAGTATTATACGAATATTGCAGACTCGGTTTGATCGAGTCTATTCGTGAGAGATAATGTAAAAGTGCAACAGCACCGGCTTAAACGGTATTATATCTTCACCACGTAAAGGTGTTGGAAACAATAATCCCGAAGCACTAGAAAAATATAACAACACTGTCGAGGAGAACTTTTTACAGCTGCCACACGGAACTTGTAAAACGCATCTGGCCAACTGATGTAAAACAGTAAATAACAAAGAAACAATTTTCGTGATCTCTCGCTAAATGTAAATGTACTGGAGATTTCCTAAACATAAATAATATAACAATTTAATAACCATAATGTTGACAGTTCTATTGACTGCATCATTTATTCTAAGACATACACTACATACAGTGTACCTGTTTGGATGATTTTTACGTTTGTAACAAGTTATCTTCGATGAGTTTTTATAAATAACTCCTTTTCTGCAATAATTCACATAAATACATCATTGAAAAATTTATGATAATTCGATGTGTGAAATACTGCTTTTTCAAATTTTAAATATACATTGCCACCTCAAAACAGCAATAGCAATAGCTGTTTTAGAAGAACATTCATTCATGCTAAAGCAAGGCGTTACAATAAATTGAATTTTATTTTTAGATCAACACCTCATAGTAACAAACAAACTGTTCGTTAATTGTCACAATGCTGTTGTACTAGAGAGTTTTTACTTAATGTTTGTTATTATTATATATTATATACATAAATATTATATTATTTTAAAACCTTAAAGTCTTAAGTCATGTTTTCATAGATTATTCTTAAATTCTGATTACTCTGAAGCTTGGGGAGATGGATATATTATACCAATATTTAAAGGCGGAGACGAAACTGACGCAAAAAACTATCGTGGTGTAACTTTAAATAATATAATAGCCAAAAAATATTCTCAGGTACTTTTAAATAGGTTAACTAAATGGACTATGCAATATGAGAAAATTGCTAATAATCAATTCGGATTTCAAAAAGGGAAAAGTACAGTCGATTGTGTTTTCATTTTGCATTCCGTTATTTCAAAATTATTAAATTCTGGTAAAAAAGTATATAGTGTATTCATTGATTATGAAAAATGTTTTGATAAGATAAATAGATCATTTCTCTGGCAAAAGTTATTAAGTGAAAACATTAGCTCTAGAATGGTAAACGCAATAAAATCTATGTATAGAACTGTTCGATTACGTATTAGGTTTAATAATAGACTCTCTGAGCCAATTCTCTCACACTTGGGCGTGAAACAGGGAGACCCGAGTTCTTCTTTGATGTTTATGATGTTCGTAAATGATATTGCTGACAATATAAATACTAATCTAGATGGGTTATTCACATATGAAGATTTAATTTTATTTTTAATTTTATACGCAGATGATCAGGTGTTATTTGCAACATCACCAGAATCCTTACAATCAATGATAAATGATATTGAAATATATTGTAATACATGGGGTCTAAAAATAAATACTTCAAAGACTAAGGTTATGATTTTTGAAAAAGGCAGTAGACATACAAATTATGATTTTTACCTTTATAATACTCTACTAGAAAATGTTACTTCTTTTAAATATTTAGGCGTATATTTTTTCAAAAATGCAAACTGGAATAGAACCCAAAAATGTATTGCAGAACATGCATCTAAATCTTTACATAAACTATTTTCAATTTTTGATAAGTACGATTTTTCTACTAGTGAAAAAAGTAAATTGTTTGATTCGCTAGTTGCTACTGTACTAAACTACTGTTCAGAAGTCTGGGGAATGAATGCAGGCACAGATATAGAACTTATTCATACAAAATTCTGTCGAAAACTTTTATATGTTAATAAATCAACTAATACTACTGGTCTCTATGGAGAATTAGGGAGAGTTCCTATGATTATTTTTAGAAAAATAAATATGATAAGATATTGGATCCATTTACTGAAATCAGACAACTCTTTGCAAAAACAAATTTATATCATGCTTAAGAATGATGCCAATAATAATATAACATACAATAATTCAAATTGGGCCTTTCATATAAAAACAATGTTAAACAATCTAGGACTTTCAAATATATGGATAAATCAAGATAATGGAAATTTTACATTTTTAAAAATTAAACAAAGGATATTAGATAATTATTATCAAGCTTGGTATGCAAACATAAACAATTCACAACGTTTACTTACTTACTGTAGGTTTAAACAATCTTTTAACTTTGAAAAAACATATTTAAATTCAATAAGTGAAAGGAAATTTCGGATTGCCTTAAGTAGATTTAGATTATCTTCGCATAATTTAGAAATAGAAAGAGGTAGATATCTTAATATAGAACGAACCAAAAGAATATGTAAATTTTGCAAGATAATATAATTGAAGATGAGTATCATTTTCTTCTTGTATGCCCAATATATCGAGAAATAAGGAAAAAATACTTCAAACCATATTTTTGTAGGTGGCCATCTCTTAATAAATTTGATAGACTGATGTCCACAGATAATGAAAGACAATTGTTAAACTTATCAAAATATATATTTTTTTCAAATAAATTAAGGAATAGTTTAGAAATTTGATAATTATTATATTGGTATCGATTTAAATTTACCTTTGTCAAACTAGTTAATTTATTGTGTAAGCTTCCCTATGCAGAAAATATTTGATTGCTAATGATTTCTCGTGTCATTTGTCACCTTATGTCAAATGTATATTATGGCTAAAAGCATTGTAATGCTTAATTGCTAATTAAATGTTGTTGTTGTTGTTTTATGTCCCTTTATGTTTAAGGGCTAGTCGAGTAGACGTCAGGGATAAGACCCTTTGATCTGATATCATCCCCTACCGCTAGCCCTTCCCGACTCTTTCTAGTCCCTGTTACAACCCCTAAAAACATTACGTAAAGTCAATTTCCACATTTAGTATTCATAACTACAATTATATGACACTGTCAAATAATTTTCACTATACCTCTATAGTATTAGTTATACAGCAACTCCTACGCCCTTCCAGTGCTTTGATCCTATTCAATGTCATAAAGCCAAATTCTATATTTTTTCTTTAAAAAAACTTGGTCTCGATCAACAGAATATAGATATATGTATGGAATGACATCTTCCATAGTAAGCAGTGTTAAGAATTTTGTGTTATACGAACACCGATACAGTCGATACATGAAATTTGACAAGATCTGATTCATGTTAACATTGAAATTTCTACAACTGAACCGCTAAAAGTTGACAATGTTGCGTAAAAAAATGCTATTGCATCTGTGAAAATAAACAATCGATGACACCAACGAAAATCCCGTCCAAATCTATTTTATACCGAAGCTACACGAAGAAATGCCAAACGGACATTGTCTTCTTCTCACAAATACCTAACTTTTATAGTTTAAAAAATTGTCGCTCTACGATAAATCAGAGTATTCCGGGCAGTGACAAAAAAATCATACTCTGGCAAATATTTTTGTAGATATGGATTATTTACAGGCGTCTCATAATTTGTGTTTCAAATAATGGTTGACATTATAAGGATCTTGTAAACAACGGCTGCCAGTACAGATCGGAATATCAAGCTCGAAGGCAACATTAATTTTATGTGGTGTTATAATCAATAATATATATATAATATAATCAATAAACTATGTGTAATTTGTTTCGTTTTTAATTGTAAATAAACAAAAAGTACTTAAAAACTAAAATATCATGATTTTTCATGTAATTTTGTTAATGTTAAACTCTCTTTAACACAAATTTTCTGACATAATATTGAAGGACATTATAAAGATTTAGAGAAGGAAACAAAATGTTAAATCTACATTATTGTTAAATGCAAATTAAAAACTAATGATGGTTATATATATGCGGAAAGCATCGTTTGTATGTTGAATGTTGTAACATGGCTATGTTGCTAACAATATTCAAAATTGTCCACATTTTAAAAACTGTCCTAGTCCATCAATTTTTAATTGAGTAAGTATTAGGGAGATTAAGATTATGCAATATTAGGCCACTGTTTTTTGTTGTTTTTTTTTTATTACCTTTTTTGTACCTCAGATGTTTCCAGAAAAAATAAGGATAGGAGGGGTGAATAAGAGAAATGGAATAAAACTCAACAAAAAATCGTTTTTGACAAGTTACTATAATTACGACACTTGCCCCAGCCTTAAACTACATAATTGGACATTTGCGTCAAGTTAAAATGTTAAATTTTCATATATGAACATGTAATCAAGATATATATACTTTTGGCGGGTATTCCCCTCCACAGTACTCATCAATCCTTTGAGCTGCAAGCCTCTTTAATAAGACCTAACCACCTATACAGTCCAGGAACCGTGAAACGGTTAAGTCTTTTTCGTCACTGACATCCACTGCGGTGTATTTAAGATAGCTTGTAAATTTTAATCATTGTTTAGTGGCATGCGCCATTTTCTTTTAAAGCTAGCAGCATGTCTATGAGCAAAGTATTTAAATAACGGTAAATGGAAAGAGTAAGATCATAAAGTTGTACAGTATAAACATTCGTGTTAACCAGAATTTGCTGTTAAAATGAAAAGTTGGGTGTGAAAAGGTTAATTCTGTCCTAAAATATTACAACATAAAATATAGCACCATCAAGGAACCTTTAAATTACACAACTGCAGAGATGTACAAGACACTAATTAAATATGACGCAATGGCATGTCGCATTCTTTTATTTGTTTATTTTGTTTTATAATACCCCAAGTTAAGCCGTTGCATTCAGTGCTTCCAGCGCTTTGATCTACAATTTTGTTCAATGAGAGGTTTCTCGTTTCATTATGTAAAATAGCCCGTTTATTTGCTTTAAATGTCTGAAATCGGGAGATTGGTACGTGTGCTTGCGATACCATAGCAGCTCTTGAAAATTTCGGAATTCAGTCTCGGTTTTAGGAAAATTCTACAAGAAGATTATCACACCATCTGATATACCTAAGAATTCCGGGTACCCTCCACTAAATTTCCAGGGTATCTTAAAGTAACAGCAAAGTTATATATAAAATATTACATAAATCGAGTAATAATCTCTTTGACGACTATATAATAAAGTCACGTAGGTTGGCTACCTAAACAGAGGTGTTAAAATTTAATTACAATACATTCTTGTTAGCCATTGAAGTAATAATGTATATAGGACTTTCAAAAACAGTTCTTATTCAGAGCGGGCGCTATGGCGCAGTGGTTACACTGTCTGCCTATTAATCAAGGGGTCATGAGTTCGATCCCCCGCTACTCCACTAAAAGAATAAAATGACTACGAGACTGACAAAACCAGAACATAGAACTCTAGAGACGTTCAGGTTACTAGACATAACAGTTAACGGAGATGAGGAGAAGAACAGGAAAATACATACAAAAAGGGAAGTTACCAGGCAGATAACAACAAAAACTTAACGAAACATTCTACAAGACACTGAAACTGTACAGACAAAAGGGACTTAACGTAACAAGACACAAAGACGCGAAACAGAACAGACAAAAGGAACTTAACAGAACAAGAGACAAATGGACCCGAAACGAAACAGACAAAGGAGACTTAACGGAACAGACAAGGGACCTACCGGAACAAGACACAAGAACATGGAACGGAACTGACAAAATGGACTTAACGGAACAAGGAACGGAACAAGACACAATGACAAAGACCGGAACAGACAAAAATGACTTAACGGAACAAGACAAGGATGAAACAAGACAAGGACGCGAAACAGAACAGACAGAAAAGACTTAACGGAACAAGACACATGGACAAGCAATGGAACAGACAAAAAACACTTAACGGAACAAAAGAAGGACGGAACAAGACAAGGACGCGGAACGGAACAGACAAAAGAGACTTAACGGAACAAGACATATGGTCAAGGAACGGAACAGACAAAAAAGACTTAACGGAACAAGACAAGGAGGAAATAAGACGAGGACGCGAAAAGGAACAGACAAAAGAGACTTAACGGAACAAGACATATATGGTCAAGGAACGGAACAGACAAAAAAGACTTAACGGAACAAGACAAGGAGGAAACAAGACGAGGACGCAAAACGGAACAGGCATAAGAGACTTAACGGAACAAGACATATGGACAAAAAACGGAACAAGACACATAGACAAGGAACGGAACAGAAAAAAAAGACTTAACGGAACAAGATAAGGACGGAACAAGACAAGGAATGGAACAAACAAAAGAGACTTAATGGAAGAAGACACATGTACACGAAATGGAACAGACAAAAGAACGGAATGAGACAAATGATACGACAAGACAAAACTAAAACGGAACAGGAAACGATAACCACGTATATAATATGTTAACGAATACAGACGGTAAAAGAGTAATGAAACATTACAGATCATAAAACAGCTAACAGAGTACAAAAACAAAAGAGAACAACAATTTACTGTAAGCAGACAACAAAAAAACTATAACAAAAAAAAGCAAATAAAAAAATTAATAAGACAATAAAAAAATAAGACACACAGTGGAAAGGACAGAAAACAGGTACACTCCATAAAATCAAATTCTCTATACCTACTCAACCAGAACAGCAAGGCACCTAAGTAAACAAGACTTAATAAAACAAGAACAGCAGAACAGAAACAGAGAAGAAATAAACATAAAAAATAGACGGCAAAAGACTTAACAGAACATACAAAAGATACAACAACTCACACTAATTCACATGACAGTTGCAAAACAGAAAACGTAACGGAACATATAAAAGCAGACTTAATGGAGCATTCCACAAAAGAATGGAACAGACCACTAAATATGGAACGGAAAACAAATATATCTAAACAAAGACATCAACGATAGGACTTTATAAAAAAAACAAAAGACTAAACGGGACATGAGATTCAAATAACTAAAAACTTAAATATTAAAATGTACTAATTGCAGATGTGGTTTTAAGTGTTTTCTTTTTCTGATGAGTTTGACACGAAAAATTTTACCAACACGCCCGCCATCATGTTATATAGACTTAACAGTAAAATTAAATAAGTCGTGCTCGTATTAAACATACATATTAATGTCCTCAATGTGAGCTTTTGTGATGTTCCTTGCATGAAGCTCTACCAAAGTTCTTCTTGTAAAACCCCGAAATCTTCTAGTGACAAACCAAAAGAGCTAGAGCTTAGATATTTGGCATAAAACTCTTCTAGAGATGTATGCCTACAGGGGGGGGGGTTTTTTTATTGGTAGAAAAATTTTAAAAAAAATTTTTTTTAAAAAAAAAAAGGTTTTTTTGGGCTACCAAGTTTTTAAAAAGCCCCCCCCCCCCAAGGGTCATTGAATTAAATGGATGGGGGAATTTAAAACCATCTGGTAAAAAAGGTGGCAATGGGAAATTTCAACATGGTTTAAAAGGGGGCGGGGCCTCAGGAGGGGAAAGCGAAACCAATTTGAAAAGGGGGGAAAAAATGGGAAAAAAAATTAAAAAAAAACGGGATGGGGCTTTTAAAGGGAAAGGACAAATGAAAACCCCAGGGCATATAAAAGTAAAAAAAAAATAATAAAAATTGTAAAACCCCGATTCCATATAAAAAGGCGTTAAAAATTACGATATAAAAAAGTAAAACCCCCGGGGGGAAAGGATGGTGAAAAATATAAAAAAAGGAGAAGGGGAAAAACATGGTTTTACCCCCCGCGTTTTCACCTTCGGACCGTTTTTCAAACACCATGGTTTTTCCCCCGGTTTTATCATGTCCAGGGTTTTTAATTGTACCACGGGGTTTACAGGCAATGGGTTTTTAAAATTTTTGTTTTCAATTTTTTCTCTTTTTAACGGTTAATCCCATTGTTCCCATTCTCCTTTTTGTTTTTACCGTCCCCGGTTTTTTCCATAACTTCCCGGGAAATTGAATTTTAAAAAGGAAAAAAAAACTTTTTTATAGGGTAATTTGATGGTAAACACGAAGTGAATTTTTTAAGATTTGACAAGTTTGAAAGTCCATACTATTCTGGAGTTCCTTCCCCTTACACTACGTTATTTCCGTTGTAAATATTGGCAGGGAACTACACTAGTTACAGATGTAATAAAGGTTTGCATAAGGTGTTGAATATATTATGTGCAAGATATTATTTCGATTTTTTTCAAACAGGGCTGAAATACAAAATGTATGTCAAATTTAAGATAGGGTGAATTCTTCAGCATATTCTGCAGTAGTTTAAGTATTCTACTCGAGATTAGAAACCTAAATAATTAAATGACCTCTAATTCAAACACTTTGGGGAAAGCAGATTCTGATATGAACTGTGTACAGGGATTTTCTGTCAAATTCTGACAAAAAAATATTTTTCTTTTATTTTTTAATCTTCAAAACATATATTCTCAATCAACATAGCTATAACATTATTCAATAACAATATATGATATATGATGGCATTAAACTAGCCAAACAGATCAAGATAACATAAATAACAGTAACAATAAAACAAAAACACCGCACACGGTGATAAAGCCGCTCGTCTGTCTAAAATTCTTACGTAAAAAAGAGGCAGAACTCCAAAAATATTATTTTCAGAATTACGCCCCTTGTTTCACATCTGCACCTTGACATGCTAGGCAAGTGTTCCGAGTTTCAAGTTGATACCTCCTTTTGAAATGTTTGAATAATGCATTTAAATGACACACTAAAATTCTTGCACTACAACAACGCCTCAGCAATCATAATGGCTCGAATTTTTTCTTCCAGACAGACAAGCTAGAAATGGCCATTTTTCTTGGAATAACCTGTTCGTGACAAAAAGTTTTCACATATTTATTTAAGTTGTAATTTAAAATGTATTTGAAATTTTCTTGGATTGCTTTCTGGAACCGTTGTTGGATATTAAAGCTGCATACCTTCAGACGAGTCAAAATATTTCCAGAAAATCAAACTTGAGAAAAATATACTTAGATTTTAAGAATTAGAAAAGTAAAGAGATTCAAGATTGAAATAATATTTTACATATGTATCATTTATGACTGATTTTGCAGTATTTATCACTATTTCTACAGGAACAAGACAACCACCCCTCAGATACATCACCCCAACCCCTTTTCTACTGCCTGACTAACACAGTAACTTGAGTAAGGGCTATTTTTTGCATATTTTGACATCTTGTTGGTAATTTACAAGAATTGAAAGTGCCATTTGCAAAGTTTAAACACAATATTTTACTTACGAATCAATTTTCAAAATGTTCATGAAAATTACAATGTTGCATGAATCTGGAGGAATGCTGCTAAAAGTCACACCATCACAGTATAGGTCATATGGCAATTTCCCAGCTATAGTGGTGGAGGTAGACACCAGGTGCCCCTTCGCGCATTATGAAGCTAACCGGTTTTGGTATTATATGCGGAGGAGTCATGGTCTTCACCCTAGTTGGGCTTGAACCCACATCCCTGGGTTGAGAGGCAGATACCTTAACCACAAGGCCATCACTCATTTAAAAGTTATTTAAAAATTGAACCTGGGGACAAGAATAGAAGCTTACATAAAATTGGACGGTACTAGGTTCATTAGAAAGGAAGCTAATTATAGAGTTGGATCTTACAGACTGGTTACAAATTACAATATTTCACAACTACAACCTTTGAAGTTATCCTTTTTTTCAACAACAATATTGAAACCAGTTTATTCTTTGCTCTGTTGCGTATTGGTTAATATCTTACAGGAACGTTAATCAGTATTTACAACCTGTACAGAGCCAGGTCACTCTGCACATCTATGCAGTCTGAACTGGCTTTATACTTCTGGCTGACCAACTTTTAAATATTCATCTTGAAATCCCCAAAGTATATAATGGACTGTTCAAGAAATGTAAAGTCAACAAACTATTTGGGTAATTCACGGGTAAGGGTTAAAACATGGAAGGCACTTTGTAAATAAAAATACAAAAAATACTGATACACACTTCTAAACTACCACTGTTTTACATATTTTTTTCTTTTTCTTTTTCAATTTCAAATATGTTTGGCAATTCATTTAATCCCTAATGTATTAATTTCTTCATAGTATGAAACTGTGTGTTAAGAAGTGCTTCTGTGCAAAGAATGATTCAATGCATAGTTTTGTATTAAGATTTAAATCTTATCGAACTAAATATCTTAAATGGACTTGGCCATCTCTGGACAAAACCATTTATCATTTATAGGGAAAATTTCAAAGTAAATACTAACTGAAAAGGGACCAGTGCAGACCATGATCATCAAGACAGTACAGATGTGCAAGCTGATCTTTATCTGCACTGGTCTGAACTGGTCACGCGGGCAATTCAGTTGCCGCTAGCAGGCTAAGAGAAAGGGATGTATGATAGTGGTGGTTTAGAGGTGTATATCTGTATACATGTATGTAATAACAATAAAAAATATAACAATTGCTACTCTATATTGGACCATTGTTAGTAAACACATCTGAGATCAAAAGTATAGAACACTAGAAAATAGAGCTATTATATCACTTTGTGATGTAAATTTATGAAACAAATACATATAATGAGAATCTAATAAATGTTTGATTGTTTGGGTTTCAAGTCATACCGACACAGTATAGGTCATTTGGCGACATTCCAGCTTTACTGGTGGAGGAAGACCTCAGGTGCCCTTCCGTGCATTATTTCAGGCACGAACGGGTACTGAGTAGAACCACTGACGCTCCGTAAGCTAGCTGGATAGCTTCCTCACATGAAAGAATCCAAAGTCCCTGTCGGGATTCAAACCCACAGCTGTGAGGGGCAAGTGGTTTTAAGTCAACGACCTTAACCACTCGGCCACGGACGCCCATCTAATAAATGAATTCAGATCTGATGCATACAGTGAAAATCTAGCTAAAACATTTAATGCATTAAGTTTCTTTTTCAACAAAATGAATCCCATTTACAGCCATTCTAATTATCTAACTCTGAAAATAGTTTTGTTTAGCATTGTAGTATAATAAGACATGGTTTGAATTTAATGCACAGTAAAATAGGCCTGAGAAATTGCGATTATTACAAACCAGATCTGTTCTCATAAAGAAGGAGAAAATACACTGATGAAAGTGTATGATTATAACAAAAATTATACCATTTATGTTAAAAGGCACATTATGACATCAATTAAATTCTTAAAAATATCAAAAATGTGTTGAATAATGTTTTAATAATGGATATAGAGCATATTAGATGCGTAACAACTGAAGAAAGTAGCGCTGAATGTGCAGTATGTGTTGCTAAGGTAGCAAATTGAAAACAAACTAGTACTTTCACTTCCATACAAAATACAAATTGCCAACAAAGCAAAACACTATAATTATATGTACATGTATATGCACTGCTAACAAAGCAAAAGCTGCAAAGATAGAACATGTATATGGCAAAATGAGTATTTTTTTGGAAATTGTAACAAAGTACCAAAAATTTATAGGTTTTTGTGAAATAAAAATGGCAGCAACCTCAGGCATAATGGGCCTTTAATTATAAATGAGTGTACACAGTATTAGAACAAAAGACTAGATTAGTTAAATACAGTATATAGGTATCTGATTATATTGTTAAAATCTTTATCAAAAATACCAAAACTTAGTAAACAAGAGCCCGGTTTGAGCCCGGTGATGCTCCCCGAATAGGTTTTGGACACAGGAAAGTACACCTCTAGTAGTTTCAGAGTTCAAAGTGCAATAATTCCAAAATTAGGCAAGGCAGAGTTACTGTTCTTTGCACTGCACTTCTAATCAATGTGATCTATCAACCTACAAAGTTTCTTGATGATATCTCTTATGATTTCCGAGTTATGTCCCAGACAACTTCAAAAAGTAAAAATAAACAAAGGGCAATAACTCCAGAATTAGGCACGGCAGAGTTATGATTCTTGTGCACTGCACATCTACCCATTGAGATGTATCTAAGTTTCATGTTGATATCTCTTATAGATTTACAGCTATGTCCTGGACAAGATTTTTCTAAAAGGGGAGATAATTCAAAAATAAGGCTTAACAGAGTTATGGTTCCTTTGCACTGCACCTCTACTCAATGATATCTATCTACCTACAATGTTTCATCTTGATATCTCTTATAGTTTTAGAGTTATGTTCCGGACAAAGTTCAAAGTGTTAAAATTAACAAAGGGCAATAACTCCAATATTAGGACAAAAAGAGTTATTTTTCTTATGCACTGCACATCTACCCTTTGAGATCTATTCACCTACAATGTTTCATCTTGATATCTCTTATAGTTTTAGAGTTATGTTCCGGACAAAGTTCAAAGTGTTAAAATTAACAAAGGGCAATAACTCCAATATTAGGACAAAAAGAGTTATTTTTCTTATGCACTGCACATCTACCCATTGAGATCTATTCACCTACAAAGTTTCATGTTGATATCTCTTATAGTTTTAGAGTTATGCCCCGGACAAGATTTTTCTATAAGGGGAGATAATTCAAAAACCGGGCAAAATAGAGTTATGGTTCTTTGACACTGCACTCCCCTCAATGCCCTCTACCATTGTATGAAGTTTCAACAAATTATCTCCAAGGGTTTTCAAGTTATGCTCCGGACAAGACAACGGACGGACAGACGGACGGACGTTCTCACAGGACAGTAATTATGTGGCTACTCTATTGTTCTCTCTATTGTTCTTTTTAGCCACGCAAAAGAAAATAGCCACATATAAGCATTACGGAATGAATGACATCAAAGAGAACCTATTGTCCCTCTAGCCACATAATTACTCTCCTGTGAGTGCGGACGGACAGACGGACGGACGTTCTCACAGGACAGTAATTATGTGGCTACTTTATTGTTCTCTATTTTGTTCTTTTTAGCCACACAAAAGAAAATAGCCACATAAAAGCATTACGGAATGAATGACATCAAAGAGAAAGAACAGTTACCTATTGTTCCTCTAGCCACATAATTACTGTCCTGTGAGTGCGGACAGACGGACAAGGCGCCGACTATATGCTCCCCCGAAATTTTTCGGGGAGCATAATAAAATCCAACTACATGTAATTGCTAGATATGAAATTTTAAGACTGGTTAATAAAACATTGTGATGGATAAGTGTTCTGATTATCAATAAAAAAAATTTTTTTAATTTTGATCACTTACCTCAAAAGATATATGTATAAATTAATAACATTAACAACATGGTGAGTAAATAATTAAACTTGTTAACATACCAGTAATACACTGATTAATATTAAAATGACAAAACTATTAGTTTTTGTTCTAACTTTATACATGGGAAATCTCAAATCATATCACTAACTTAAAGTTTAACTTTTCGTAAAAAAAATACAACACTTTGTTCAATAAAATGTGAGAATAAAACAAACGAAACAACATAAAATCTGCATAAAATTATCACTATAACAAAGATCAATTTGACCTATCAAAAATATTCTGCATAAAGTAAAGGTTTCAAGGCGTAAGGCCTAAGAAAACTGTTTCTTGTCCCTGACCCTCATTAGTCAGTTCGTTTGGAATGTCTTCATTTTTTCATATGAATAAATAATTGTAAAAACTACACAGGACTGACCTTGACATAAAGACAGTCGAAAATCTGTGTAAAAGTGATAACATATTAACAACACTAAGGAATAAAGTGGCAGACAGCAAGCAGAATTTGACATTACTTGGTCAACACAAAAGAATAAAATGACAGACGGCAAGCAGAATTTGACAAAACTAGGTCAACACTCGGGAATGAAGTCGGAGATGGCAAACAGCATCTCCCATGACCTTGTTCAGTGACATTAAGTCACTTTCTTTATTTTGTATGTAACTATTTGTATTTTGTAATAATTGCTGCTGAAGTAGGCCAAAAAACCAAAAGCTATGGCGAACAAAAATTAGTGTATTTAATTATTCAATCTATTGTTAAGAAAAGACTTGAAAAAAGCTGGAAGGTGAATCAGTAAAGAATCTAGGTTGGCAGTCTAAAGAGAGTATACATGGAGACTTGAAATAGAACTTTTTTTTCCCAAACAAAATCTTTAATCAGTTATTGCCTGAAAAGTGTCTAAAAGATAAGCAACAACAAACTCAACAGTGTGTAAATAGAGGAAGCCTCAAAATCATGCAGGTTCACTTTGACTGAGTCATTTAATGAACAATAGTTGTTAATACAAGCCACCTATCCACTGTGAAATGTCAAATGTGAATTATCACTTAATATATATTTTTCACCAGTAACAAAAATGATCTCAAAAAAATCTTTCACTAGATAAACTATTGAGCAAGTAATAAAACTTATAATTAAAAGTAAATGTATATGGCACTTATGTACTAAAACATTACTTCCAAATCTTATAAAAATCTTTCTAAGTGCTTCACTCTATTCCTTAATACATTTGTACTTTGATATATGAACTGTATCACAAAATTCTAGGGGACCGTATATGCACAATTTATTATAAAAGAACATTTTTATTTACCAAAAATTTCGTGGAATTTAGTACATACACACAGTAAAATCCACTTATAAAGATATCGCATAAATACAGTACCGATATCTCTCTTATAACGATGCTGTCAGCCGTGTCCTGAAGCTGTTTTCAAATTGGTTGCCTCTCGGATATAATGATATTTAATGATATTCGGATATAATGATATAAATTTGGCCGTCAACTGAATTTCAGTATAAGTGGAGTTTACTATATATAAAAGGAACTTCACAAAGGTCTAATACCTTAAAAACTTAGAAATTTTTGCATAGATCAATTGCAGCAAAACAATAAAATATGCAAAAGAAATACACTTAGAATTAGATAAATTACCAAATTTTTAATGTGATTCAATGTGATTCTTAGTCTGTTTTAAGTTAAAAGTATTTAAAATGGTTTTCAATTTTTTTTTATCATTTTGTACAATAAAAAAAAATTATTCTGAATAAAACAGAATGAGTATAAAAAGTACATATACATGTAACTTATTGGTCCATATCTACATAAAATAGTACACCATTCTAACAAAATATTTCCAGTCTGGTTTTGTCAAAAAAAAACAACAAAAAACAATAAAGTCCCTTTAATTATTTCATGTTTTTTTTTTTCATTTCATAAAAATATAGACAAATGAAGTCAGTGTAAAAAGTATCAGAAAATATTTGAATAATTGTTTAGCACTTTCTTGTACATAGTATTTGTATTTCAATAAAGTACGAAAATTAATATTTCCTGAAAAATTCTGATTAAATATATAAAAAAAAAATTATTATCATTGTTACTGAACTGCAACAACTGTCTTGAGCACTTATTGTTTAGTAATTAATTTACTTACATTACAACATACTTAATTACTTTATAATATTTATGTTTATAAGAAGAAATTTCGCATTAAACAAAATATCTTGAATTACTCTATACTAAATATGTGCGTCTCCAAAAATAAGATCCAATTGCATGTGTCCCCTGATGATCCTTTGCACCAAATCAAGTCCCAATAATAGTATCATTGTTTGAGATATACTACCTATTAAGTGTTGAAAACCTCACACTTATCCCAACTGCTAACAATGCAAAAGCAAGGGCAGCGACTCTGAAACCTATTCTCTTCAGATTCTCTGACATATGAGATTCTTGGATAGTCTCCCTTTCAGAACCCTGTGTGTCTTTACATACATCATCAATTTCCTCAATATCCAAACCCTCATTATCTTCAACTACTTCCTTTTCAACACTTTCATTTTCTGTCGACTCACCATCACTCTCGTATTGGAAATCTTGATAGCTATGAGGATCAATGACTTCAATGAAGACATCCTCCTCACTTGTTTGTCGATTGTTATTTTTATTTGATTCACCAATGTTTCTAAGCTCATCATCATTTATTAATTGTTCTGTACCACCTTCCAAGTCTATTTGAGCATTTGTACCTGCCACTCTATTTATTGTGTCTTTTATTCTTTCAGTATTTTGGCTTTTATTGAACTGGTCACTTGCTGGTAAATATTTTGAAGCATTATTATTAAGAGATTCGCTATCATCTGAGTTAATTTTCAAATATAAAATACCATTTGATTTATCCTCAGCAATCTCAATGTCATCTTCAGTAACACCTGTCTCACCAACAATATCATTTCTTTCACTAACTATTCCATGTTTGTCATTACTCATTACTTTAATGCTGAGACCACTTTCTGTTCTTTTATCAGATGTATTGCCATTTACATCTTTGACTTCATTCAGACTGTCAACAGCACTATCAAATAAACTAGGAGTAGCCTGTCTAACGTAAACAGACTCCTTGTCATAACTATCAGCTTTTGCATAATCTATCACATTTTTGGAATTGAGATCATTTGTTGTTTCATATTTATCACTACATATTCTCCCATCTACAGTCTCCCCTGGAATGTCTTCTTTTCTCTGCTTTTCCAGTATATTGGTCCCTTTAACACTATCTCTATCATGGCATTTTTCTGAATCATCCTTCAGCTGGTCTTTAGATTTAACTGCTTCATCACCATTTTCTTCTACGTCATCATGCAAAGTATCTTCAACATTTGCCTCAACTTCATCTTTTTGAACAAATGCCAAATTAACATCTGTTTCAGAATCAGAACCAATCTCTTCCCCTGCCATGTCTTCTATAACATCTGTGTACTCAAAACCAACACTAGAAGCATATCTAGGTTTGACTACATTTGAAACAGTAAGTCTGTGACTGGGACTCAAATTTGGATCATCATTCAGTATTTGCTCTGTATTTTCACTTTTGTCTTCTTTAAAACCTGGTTCAAAAGAAACATCATCTATGTCAAATAGTCTGGACTAATATTAAACCTTAATACATGTATATTCTTTGAATTCTAGTTGTCAATGATAACTGGCCTTTGTCACCAGTATAGAACCAGCCCAGTCTGCTTATATATTCATGTAGTGTGATTAAACAGAACTGTTGGCTGCTTTTGTTTTTAATTTTGATATTAAATTCCTTTCTCTGGAATAACAAAGGGAAGCCTGAGCAAGATAATAATGGTTATTCATCTTTTTTGTTTGCTTGTTAGTCTCATTGAAAAGGAAATATTATAGTCCAGCATTACTGGAATCAGAGTAGAACCACTGGTCTTCTGTAGAGCATACTGCATCATCTCAAAAAAATAACTGGATAAAGCATTCTTCCCATGAAATTACTGGATAGAGCATCCCTCCCATGTAATAACTGGATAGACCATCCCTTCCATGAAATTACTGAATAGAGCATCCCATCCATAAAATAACTGGATAGAGCATCCCTCCCATGAAATTACTGGATAGAGCATCACTCCTATGAAATAACTAGATAGAGCACACCTCCCATGAAATTACTGGATAGAGCATCCCTCCCATGAAATAGCTGGATAGAGCATCTCTCTCAAGAGCATACCTCCCATGAAATAACTGGATAGAGCATCCCTCATATGAAACAACTGTTTAAAGAAACTTCCCATGAAATAGTGCATTGTTCAGTTCCTATGGGGAATCAAACCTACAGTAGTGAGGGGCAAGTGATGCGAAGTAAGAGATTTTATCCAGTTTGTCATGGAAGACACTAATCTCTAGACAGTTAGAGTTGAAAATGCAAGCACACTTGGCATAATCAAAAGCCTATTTAGTGCTTTCTTTATTTTTCACTTTGTTTTAAACTAATATTATCTCTTAACCTACTGGAACTGAAATTTGTTAGTCTTAACTCCCCGTGTGGACTCCATGCTGTGTGTATTTTGATATTGAAATCCCTTAAACTTCAAATGGACTGTTCTAAAATTTAAAACAGGGTAAATCTATCATTAAAATGTAGCAGTTTACAGGTTATACCTGGTGATATATTGTTTGTACCTTCAGACTCATCATGTATGCACTTCTCACTTTCTACTTGAGTGACATCATGACTTGTGAAGTAATCTACCACCATCTCTGGTGAAGTGTCAAACTCTGCTGAACTCTGTGCATCAGAACTGGGGTCAAAGTTCATCACTGAGCTCTACAATATAAAAGACAATGGGTTGGATACCCAGGTAAAAAAATTCTTCCAGGACATTGAAATATCTAAAATTACAACCAAGTACGACAGATTGTATCACAATTAACAGCATATGATCTGTCAAATTCACCATTTGCCATCTAAATTAACAGATCAATGTCATTTGTAAAGTTTAAAGGGATAACAGATAAAAAGAATTTTTTTGTTCTTATGCTTAGGAGATAAGTGCTGAAGAAAAGCATTTCCAGTAAAATGTGTGACACAACATCTATCATATCAATCATTTTAGACACACAATTCTTTTTAAAATTTACCTTGGTACAGGAGAAAAGGCCAGAATGATGTGCCTTTAAATGATGACCTTATCAACAAAAGACTGCCTATAATCACAAATTATATATCAAGTCTACATGGCTAGGAATCAAATTAACATCAAGCTAACATTGCAAGCACAAGTGGTGGTTGTGTAGGTGGCTAGGAATCAAATTAACATCAAGCTAACATTGCAAGCACAAGTGGTGGTTGTGTAGGTAGTACAGGTGTAAGCCACTTTGAATTCACTGCATCATACCTGGGCAGGCTGTCAAGCAGTTAACCATTACTAGTTGCTTTCACTTTCGCAAGGAGCTCATAACCTCCATACATGCCAGATCAGAGGTACAGTGGAAATGACCGTAATAAGAGTTTTATGATCAATCACAATGCAAGTGACCTGTACTGCCCAGGAATCAAACCCAGGTTGCCTGGCTGAATAACAACCATACAGTAGGGCACAAGTCTAATTTCTCAGAATTAAGCTTAAAAACTATTGATGATTTACATCTTGACAATTCATACTGGTATATTAACCAATAACTTACTGACTTTGTTAAATGGACTTGTCCCAGTACCGTCCATTATCAATTCTGGGGTATCAAGGTGAGATCCAGTAAGAGCTGGATTTGCTCTACGATTTGCTAATCACTTTTGCCTTCATAATGCAGTGTTTTTCACCATATAAAACAAAGGCTATAAAAAGCCTCTTAACAGAGGCCTATAAAGGGCCTCTTTCCAATAGAAATTTTCTTTAAAATCATGCAGTTTTCACAAAAGTCCAAAGTTAAACCAGGGTTTTTACTTCGCAAAACAGTAGTATTAGCAAATTTCTTCCCAAAAACAAGAGGCTAAGGTCTTTTCCCAATAAAATGAGAAAAATAACTGAACGGTAACGTTAACAAGATAATGACTTACCCATCCACCTTGTTTTATAATAAATTCTGCAGCATTCTCGGCAACGAACTGGGCACAGTAATCAATCACATTGCCAAAATGTCTTTGGCCATGCTGCACAGCTCCCCAGATTATCTTCTGACCAAATACCATTAATAAAGCTACCTGTAAATAAGTGATATCTAAATAACAATGAATTCAAAGCCACACTTTTGCAATTTCAGGTTTCATTATTATATTTGTAGCTGCGGCAATATTCTATAACCTAAAAAATCCTGTCTATTCCTTTTTTTTAAATAAAAGCTGTCAGAAAATACAGCACACTCAACTACATGTTATTTATTACTGGATCATAACCATGAATGAGACTTAAACCGAGGTTGACATTAATTTTCATGAGTTAAATATATGTACCATCACCCTGAGAGGAATTTTTTTTGGTTTAGACAGTATAGGTCATATGGCGACTTTCCAGCTTTACTAGGGGAATGCACTTCTGTGCATTATTTCAGGCACAAATGGGAACCTACATGTAAGCAGAACCATCAACGTTCCCTAATTTATGTTTAACATGGTGATATAACAAATTGTTCATTGAAACAGACAAAGTCATGCGTGGTATGATAAAATACATATACATTGTACTAGTACATGTACAATAATGTCTGGTCTAAGATTACTCACCTGTCTCCAGCCAGGAACCTCTGCTGTCACCACAGACTGAGCTATATCCCTGAACTGTGAGTATGACAAATTGTTGATTTGCTCGTAGGTCAGCTGGTTGACGGCAGCTGCTAGACGAGCACCATACTGCTCCTTTACTTCATCACCAATACGAGCAAGGATCCGAGCTGCCTCCGTCTGAGGTGTCAAGGGAGTAATGTTACTGGACCTACTCATTCTACTTCTAGCACTGTGCAAAGCTATAAAAAAAATATATATATGAGCCACGACGTGACAACATGACAACGAAAATGTTCTTTGTGACGTTATAAGCACGAAATTTCATGCTCACGAAATTATGTGATTGACAGTAGTTGTGTCAAGGAAAACAACAACAAATAAAAACGACACAAAAGGAAGGAAGCTTTACTCAACATGAGCCACACCATGATAAAACCAATATAATGCGTTTGCGACCAGCATGTATCCAGACCAGCCTGCACATCTGCACAGTCTGATCAGGTACCATGATGTTCGCTTCCAGTTTCTTTACTTGTTATAGGGTTTGTAAGCGAACAGCATGGATCCTGATCAGACTGCGCGGATGTGCAGGCTGGTCTGGATACATGCTGGTCGCAAACGCATTATATTGGTTTTATCATGGTGTGGCTCATGTTGAGTAAAGCTTCCTTCCTTTTGTGTCGTTTTTATTTGTTGTTGTTTTCCTTGACACAACTACTGTCAATCACATAATTTCGTGAGCATGAAATTTTGTGCTTATGTCACAAAGAACATTTTCGTGGGTACCCAATAGGTAAAATATAAATAATTGGATGCAAAATAACCTTAAAGCAGACAAAATGAAATTTTGTTAGATCATTTGTGGGTTGACCTATCCATAAAAATTAGTTCCCAACAAATAAAAATGATTTTTCAGTACTTTTGACTTCTGATCATCTTTTATTAAATCTAAACCAACCACCCTGTAACAAGCATAATGCACTACAGTGTAGCTGAAAGGGCTGGAATTTGTGCAAGAAGTGTCACCATTGACCTTCTACCTCAACAGATATATTTGTGCTAAATTGTAACTTGGCAAATACTTAAACAAGAGCACCGCTAGGCGGAGCATTATATGCCCGAAAGTGATTTTTTTTTTAGTAAAGATGAAGCATTTGTAAGACATGGGAATTAAATAAAGTATTACCTCCTTCACAAAACAATCCTCCTTTGAAGTTTCAATATTGTGGTCCAAATGGAACTTAAGTTATGCCCCGGAAACTGGTTTCAGTTCTAAGGTAATAGTGACCTTGACCTTTGACCTTGTGACCCCAAAATCAATAGGAGTCTTCTACCCAATATGGACAATCATACTATGATGTTTAAATACAGTGGGCCAAATGGAACTTAAGTTATGTTCCGACAACTGTTTTCAGTTTTAAGGTCATAGTGACTTTGACCTTGTGACCCCAAAATCAATAGGAGCCTTCTACCTAATATGGGCAATCATCCTATGAAGTTTGAATATTGTGGGCCAAATTGAACTGAAGTTATGCTAAAGAAACTGTTTTTAATTTCTAAGTAATAGTGACCTTGAACTTTGACCTTGTGACCTCAAAATCAATAGGGGTCTTCAACCCAATATGGACAATCATCCTATGAAGTTTGAACACTGTGGGCCAAATGGAACTTAAGTTATGCTCCGGAAACTGTTTTCAGTTTTAAGGTAATAGTGACCTTGTCCTTTGAACTTGTGACCCCAAAATCAATAGGGGTCTTCTACCCAATATGGACAATCACCCTATGAAGTTTGAACACTGTGGGCCAAATGGAACTTAAGTTATCCACCGGAAACTGTTTTCAGTTTTAAAGTCATAGTGACCTTGACCTTTGACCTTGTGACCCCAAAATCAATAGGGATCTTCTACCCAATATGGACAATCATCCTATGAAGTTTGAACATTGTGGGCCAAATGGAACTTAAGTTATGCTCCGGAAACTGTTTTCATTTTTAAGGTCATAGTGACCTTGACCTTGTGACCCCAAAATCAATAGGGGTCTTCTACCCAATATGGACAATCATCCTATGAAGTTTGAACACTGTGGGCCAAATGGAACTTAAGTTATGCTCCGGAAACTGTTTTCAGTTTTAAGGTCATCATGACCTTGACCTTGTGACCCCAAAATCAATAGGGGTCTTCTACCTAATATGGACAATCATCCTATGAAGTTTGAACACTGTGGGCCAAATGGAACTTAAGTTATGCTCCGGAAACTGTTTTCAGTTTTAAGGTCATAGTGACTTTGACCTTGTGACCCCAAAATCAATAGGGGTCTTCTACCCAATATGGACAATCATCCTATGAAGTTTGAATACTGTGGGCCAAATAGAACTTAAGTTATGCTCCGGAAACCAAATTGCTAACAGACGGACGGACGGACGTTCTGACAGACAGACAGACGGACGCCTGGGGGTATAACATAATATGCCCGAAATTCTTTCGGGCATATAAAAATGAAAAAGGGTTTTTTTTTAGTAACCCTTCAATAATCTTTTTGATGATGTAGGTTCAAGTGCCTCCTTGAAACAGAAAACTTGAAAACCCTGAGATTTGACACAGATCTTAGAGGAAAGTTTTATAACCTTGAGGCCAGATGATGACAAACCAATTATGGCATAAATAGTTTTTTTCCTTGTTATACTCACCTTCTTCAAATTCAGATTCCATATCATCAATCTCACTACTTAGCTCAGAATGTAATGACAGGAGTATATCATCTAGCTGAACAGATTCACATGGAATGTTAAGTTTAAGCTTTGACCTGTCAGCAGTCTGTTTCAATCTACTTCTTCCTTCAACATCAGCACTATCAGGTGGTACATCTTCCCCTAGATCTTTACCATTTTCTTTATCTTTGTGTATCTCGTCTTTAACCTCTTCTGGTAATGTTTCTAGGTCACCATTGTCAGCATTACCTTCCGTAAGATGTGGGAACAGACCATCAGCTTCATCTTTATCTTCAGACTGACTTTGTAAGGTGGGAAGAATGTGTACACCTCTATAAGGTCTACGGAGGTCAAGGAAACCATCTCTACTGGAAATACTTCTTGAGCTAAATATACTTGAAGCATTAGAATGATCTTCATATTCATCATCGGCATCACTCATGTAGCTGAGCTCTCCGCAGCTGCTTGCGTCACTAAACAACCTTTGAGGTGAGTGAAAACTTTTCTGAGGACTCAGAGATGGGGAAGAATGAGTGCTAAATTCATGGGCACTGTGGGATTTTTCGAACAATTCAGAGACTGCGGGCGGAGTGCCTGGATCTGAGTTAAACCTATCACAACCTGGGCTTTCGACTGGTTTCAAGTTTTTCCTGTATCGGTAACTAAGATTGTCTTCTGAAGCAGGAGAATCCATTTGTTTCTGAATTGATCTCAGCTTTCCAATGTATTTTAACTTCGGTTTTCTGTGGTAAGAACTTATATCAAATGATTTACTTTTTGATAGATGTGTATTGTGTTTGGCGTATCTTTGACTCAATTCTGGCTCAATTTCAGGGGAAGTTGAAATATGCCCTCTATACATATCTGGTGGTATTAAACTCATGAAATTCAGCATCACATACTTTGTCTCAAACATAAAATCTACAGACTTGGAAAGTGGTGAATCTTCAAACACTTCACCATGAGCATTCTTTTCATATTCATCCTCAGATTCAGGGTCTGATTTCATTTTGACCTTTTCTTGATCATCTGTGTCTAAATGAGCTTGTTCGTCACTTGCTATTCTAAATTCTGGTCTATCTGTAGCTCTGACATCTTCTTTTATTGTACCATTCGTATCATAACTTCTTTTAGAATGTTGTTCAATGTCTAAGACATTCAATTCTTCAATTTTGCTACTGCTAGAGTGTCCTTCTTTACTGGATTCCGAATCACCTTTTCCCGAGGAAACTGAGAGATCCATCTTTTGTTCTCAATTTGTCATAGCTTTGAAATCTGTAAAACAAAAAATAAAATCAATGTCAGTGTCATAGCAATTGCAACTAGAAAAAAATACAATGTCTTGCTAGCTCATGAAATTTGTCAAAATTATATGGGAAAAAAATTAAAGCAGCTTTCAGCTTTTCTAAAGGTTTCCTGATCTTCTATCTTTAGAAACGAATATCACTAGTGCCCTATAAATAACTCTTGGGACGCTGTATTGAGGTAGGCCTAACAGTGATACATTGTATGTTTCACTTTTTCAAAGTCTTGTTCAGATTCAAAGACAGTGACCTCAAATTTCTGGATGTACGTTATTCATGGCACTTAAACCCCTTTCTACACACTATTGTACAATGGCATCAGATGGTAATTATAGCAAAGAGACATTGAAGTTCATGACAATTGCATAGGGTTTAGGAAGAACTTCAAAAAGTGAAATTATGCTGACAAATTAAATTCACTTTTGGGAATGATTTTATTGCATTTCATAAGCAGGTGTTTAGAAGATCCATCTACATGAATTTGACGACCTTTAATCTTTGTCAATGTGACTCAAAGAACATCAAAGATGCTACCAACTTAAACTGTTACACCATCATGTGTCAATAACTCAATTACACTGTAGCTGTGATGTAGCAGAGCTACCTACTGCCAAATATGGAAAGACCACCTGTAAACTATTTAACTCCCTTGTGACATGTACATGTTCAGCCCTGGTTTAAACATATTTATCTTAGCTTGATCGTGAAACAAGTTCTTGCCACTTCTATTAATCACTTTCGCATCTGCTTCCTGGAACCAACCAGTACTGGTGTCATATGAAGAAACATGGTCCTGACCGGATTTGGGCTTAAACCCATGATCCCTTGGTTGAGACTAACAGGCATACACCTTAACCACTAGGCCACTACTCACTTGAACAGACACAGTATTATTATATCACTTCATGATGGACAAACATAAAGAAGTGTTATAATTATGATTAATCAAAACACTCATGTTCCTTGCTGAACAAAATATATAAAGGATTTCCGTCTGATGTCAAGCATACCAGGGCTTCCGTTAACGGGCGTACGGCCGTAAATTACGCCCGAAAATCGTATCTGTACGCCGAAAATTAAGATCAATGACGTACCGCTGACTTCCAAAAATTTAGGAATACGGCGAAAATCGTAAGCCGTGACGTACGCCACAACTATTTTCCGACCTTTTCTCACTTTCAAGGCGTACGATTGGATTATTTATTTAACTCCGCCCCCTGAATTGAATGGTTGACATGACAGCGATGGGTGAAATTATGCGAATGCACCTGGCGCGTGACGAATTAGCGAGTGTTGATTTATGACCTTGATAAGCGTGAAAACAAAGTGATTGGATTAGTTGTTTGTTTTGTACGGATAATGGATAGTTAATTGACATAAACTATGGTAGGTATCTGTTTTTACTTTAATTAGATAAAATGATTTATTCATTATTGTGTGCATCGGTAGTTTGAATGTATCCGAAAGTTTGCCGAGTCGGCGAAGCGTGTTTTTGTCTTTTGATTTTTTTTTTCCTTTTTGAAGTTAAAGACGTTTTATTTTCACACATTCTATAGATGTTGATTAGATTTTATATTTTTTTCACTCGCTAATTATGAGAAGCAAAGTTACATTTAAAAATCTTTTTCCCTACCCACTCTCAAAAAAATTTGGCGTATCTCAAAAACGTAATTAAAAAAAATAATTTGGTCAAGAACGGTGTTCGAAATTATTTTCATATGAATCCAAAAAGAACAACCACACGCGTACATTCAGCTATTTTTTTTTTCTTTTTTTTTTTTTTTTTTTCCCATAAAACTTTCAATTTACAAGCCTGATTAAACCTGATTAAATTTAACCATTTTGGGCTGTTATTGTGTTAAGATTCATTTGATACACTGAAATTGTGTTCGGTACTGTAGTAAATAATTTTAAACACAAGAAATATTTAAACAACAATTTTTATTTTACAAATAAGAATTATAACAATGCTAAAGGATGTCATGTTTTTTTTTATTTCAGGAAATCTACAGAGATCCACTCTTTTAAAACACAATGAATAAATGCTGTGCAGGCTGATCACATGAGACAACAGCTGTATGGTACAGATCCAGAGGTAGAAAAAGAAGAACCCATCATACACATTTCAGAATCTACTTGTACCATGATTGATTAAAGAATTAAAAGTTTTCTAGAAATATTTTTTTTTGTTATACCAATGAGCAATTATTTGAATGTTATCACTGAAGGGTTCTACATGGCTACCACTGTCCTTAAATAACAACAATACAGTCCTTTTCAGGGTAATGTTCTTACTTCTATTGAAAATATTTACCCAACAATCATGTAAAGATACTTTGAACTTAAAACATAAAAAGGAATGACATTTTCAGAATCTTGTGATTAAAATAATTGCTTTTACTTGTACCATCCCATACTATAAATCAAACATTGAAACATAAAATTATACGCGTAAGAACAACTGACTTCCAGAAATTTACCTCATGACTTCCAAAATTCCTTGAAAGGAAGTCCTGACTTCCTAAAAAAAATTCCTAGTGGAAGCCCTGGCATACATGCCATAACATCCTGGATGTCCAGGAAAGTCCAGGAGATGATTTATGTCCCGGTAAAAAAAAAGACTAAAATAATCTACTTTTAATAATCTACATGGGCGGGTCACCTCGGGACGGATATTCCGATCCGAATCGCAAAATATGACAGATATTATTATTCTAGAACGCTAATAACGAACGATTATCCCCATACAGCATTGCAATGGTGACATTAATCCTTTGATTGGTCTCTGTGCCCCTTCCAACAATTATCGGAAATAATTTTGATCAATTAAAAGATTAATTGTTTACCCCCCTGTGGCTTCCTGAGCGAAGGTGTCATACACTGTAATTCACAACTGACCAGTTTAAATGTAATCCGCCTGCAGGCAGTTATTAGCGGTCAAACACCGTGTTAAAACAAGAGCTGTCGGTAGGACAGCAACGCTGGACTATTCTTTGTGCTTGATAGTAAAAAAAATGCTTGATACAGTTACCTCCTCCTGTCTACAGGTTGGGGTCATGATGATGAACAAGTGTGCAAAGTTTCAAAGCCATATGTCAATGGACTTTGAAAATATTTGAACTATAACAAAAACTTTAACGTAAATTCTAAGTCGAAAAAGGGGCATAATTCTGTCAAAATGCTTGATAGAGTTACCTCCTCCTGTCTACAGGTTGGGGTCATGATGGTGAACAAGTGTGCAAAGTTTCAAAGCCATATGTCAATGGACTTTGAAAATATTTGAACTATTACAAAAACTTTAAAAAAAAAATTATGGCATGTATGTGTCAAATCTGGAAAATTTCTAGTAACCCACTTGTGACACTGCACACATCTCAACTTAAATGAAATTTTCATATAAAATATCAACCATTCAAAATAAAAGAAAATAGGTGACAAGTCTCGGAACGAGTTGACTAACAGATGAATTGACTACAGGATGAGTTAACTAAAATTGTGACAAGTTGACTAGGGCAAATGTGACTGTGGGTAAACGAGTTGACTCAAAATACATTAAAGGTAATACTAGCAGTAAAATGGATTTTTCTTACAATATATGAAATAAGAAGAAATTGTCATGTGTTTGGGTCGAAATGACAAAGGGACGAGTTGGTTACATGATTTAGAAAGTAACAAAATGTTCAATGTTTAAAATAGTTAATTACATTAACAGATGAATGAAATATATCAATTAAATTAATTATATTTAATACTGAAACAGACTGATTAACAAAACAACTAACTAAACAAACACTGATTCTTACCATATTCAACTTTAAAGTTTACATTGGAGACCGGAAGTGTGTAATACGTCACAAAAACTTGTGTGAATGAGTGAAGATCACGAGAATAACAACTTCCGGTTACCAGCTCACCATATATTGTTAATAAATTTTCTTGAATTTTACAGCTTTCTGACATTATTTATAAAAACTAAAGATGGCTTTAAGTGACCAAGATGTGCAGAAACAGGTATTTATCTTATGTGTCTGAAAATGATATAACTAATTATAGAACAGTAGAATAATTTATTTGCAGAAAATTATTTTTTTTATAAGGAAATTGTTAGGGAAAGTCAGATATAATTTGTCACCTGAAAAGAAGTTAAAGGTCAATGCCAGAGCAGTCTTGGCAATATTCTTTTTCAAGAACTTGTCCTTTCGGACAGAGAACGTGGAATTTCAACTTGCCTGACACCAAATATATTGCCCCTAAAATTCCTACAAATAAATTATTTGGTAAATCTATCTAGGATGGGGATGGGAGACAAAAAAAATGGGAGACTCATAAAGAAGTGGGAAAATGTCTGAAAGAGGGCAATTTAAGTGGGCCCTACAGTATCTTAGTCATGTCAATTCAAACCACAAGTAAAAAACAGTCAACAAAGGTCTGTTAGAGAATATATGCAATCAGTTGGTAGACCTGTGGTAAGGTGTTCAACTGTTTGGAAGGTCCTTGGTTTGAGACCTGGTCAAGCTGCATATTTTTCTCACCCTGTAACCTGTGACATAAGGGCACCATGTTAATGTCCAAGTCGATTAACATTGTTCTCTTGTCCATTTAGAAATTCAAGGATGAATTTCAAATGTCTTATAGCAGGGCCTTTTTACCTTCTATAACAGGGGCCGGTATAGGGCTGCTTCCCCAAAGAAAATTTCTTTAAAATCATGCAGTTTTCCCCAAAAATTGAATTAACATCAAGTTTTTTCTTCCCCTTTTGCAAATATACCTTGTAATTTTTCCCCAAAATTAAGGGCTGGGCTGCTTCCCCAAACTGTGAAAAAAAGCCCTGTATAGAGTATGTCACAGTATTGAATTGTACACTTAATTGGACAGAGAATATGAGTTACAGTCTGTACTGCCATGGTGCCCATGTAAGTATTTATGCATATAATATGGAAGTGGCTAGCCGTATAGGCTATCATATTATATTATGCCATAATTTATGGCCACCTTCAAAGAAGTGGGGGTGCATTGCTTTGCATTTGTCCGTCGGTCCATAGACCAAATGGTTGCCGATAACTAAAGAATGCTTAGGCCTAGGAATTTGAATTTGGTATTGACATTGTTCATGACCAGAGAATGACCCCTATTGTTTTTTTGGATCCTTAGGTCAAAGGTCAAGGTCAAATTGACCTTGAATGTCAAAATGGTTTTCAACTAATAACTCAAATACTCATATGATTTTGACCTTCAAACTGCATAAGTGCATTGGTTTTGGCTAGGAGATGACCCCTTTTGATTTTGGGGTCAGGGGGTCAAATGTTAAGGTCACATTGACTTTGTTACATTTTGTATGTCAAAACAGTTTCCTATCAATAACACAACAACCCATGGACCCTTGACCTTCAAACTTCACAAATGCATTGCTTTTGATCAGACGATGACCTCAATGGACCTCAGAGGTCAAGAACACATTGGCCTTAAAGGTAAAAACAATTTCTGATCAATATATCAACAAGTTTTGGGCCCTTTACCTTCAAACATGACAGGTACATTGCCATGTTATTTTTTATTAAACTATACATGCATTTGGTATACACATTTCAAGGTCTAATATATAATATAACAAATTGGCTGTCATTAAAGAGGCCTACATGATTCATAAAATTTATGTATACATTATTTGATTTCATTGAAATTAATCTTTAAATAATCAGCAAGGAAACTACGACCAGGGCTCTCGATTGACACGGGGATCCGGGTTTTGACTCGTGAAAATCAGGAAATGCACAAATTTGACACGTGATAAAATCTGCTCAAGAGTCAATTTGCCACATGGGATTTTCAGCTATGCAATAATAATTACCTTTAATCCACCCCTAATTACCTATCAAATCCTGCTAATGTCCAAATCTCACTCATTAAAAATGTCAACAGGCAGTATAAGCCGGTGTATAAAATGCTTTACACACAGCAATTGTTTATACCCTGTGCACTGAAGCGCGACAATTCAGTGGCTGCAATTTGACAGTGCTAAAAATAGCTCTACACAACTGATAAGAATTACATACTTGAGGTGTCAATTATTGATTGCTTTTAAAGGTTATAATATGTCTTTGATTAAATTGGAGTACCTGCGCATTTGTTATTTCTTTTTCCATTAAATATTCTCAGGTACATTTTGGTATTTAAAGTTAATGTGAGATAGCATACAAGTAAAGATAATTTTTTTTATATTTTATACATTTAATCAGAAAAACTGCTGCTTATTTTATTCTTTCACAACAGTTATTTTTTGTTTTATTTTGTTTTTTTTTTAAGGTGGAGGAGGGGGGGGGGTATATAGACATTTATATATAATTATGGATTTTTTCTGTCAATTTAGACTTTGGAATCTCCATAAATGACCTCCAATACAGTCATTTTTGTAATATAAAAAAGATTCATGAAGTCAAATGACACTAGAAAAAAATGATTTGACTCATGAAAATTTTGGCCAAAGAGTCTTTGACTCGTGAAATTCTGACCCTACTGAGAGCCCTGTACGACTGCTGAATGGCAAGGTTATGATACTGAAAAATTGCAGCCACGATTGTTATGAAGAGGTCTTTTTAATATTATGGGGTGTAATTTGAATTAACACTATTAACTCAAATAACATATTGATTCTTCATAAATCATTAAATGCGTGAAAAATTTTGATATTCAATTGGAATTCTGTTCTTTATTATACATTTTCCTTTTGGTCATCATGAAGCCCGTAAAAGCCAGAAATTAATTTTATTTTGATTTCATCTAGAGTTTCTTCCCTTAGTTTGAAAAGTTGGGCATGACCCATTTCTTTATATGCATTTTTAATTTGCATTCCTTTGTAAAACAGGCAACAATGAAATACTGTTTGGACTGAATATTTCTTTTAGTTTTTGTTTCATTTTTGTAAAAAAATTCTTTTCTTATAATAAATCTATTATTCTTAGTTTCTATCTATATTGTTCCTAGAAATTATGATGATAAAATTTCTGTGAAGTTGATCACGTTAACCTGATTTCTTTTTTCATCACTTTTTGTACATTTGTATATTATGAAAATAAACATAAACATTTTTAGGCTGTCTATTTTTGTTCCACATTGAAGTGCTATCTCACAGACAATTTTATTTTATTGTCAGATCAAGCATATGATGGCTTTCATCGAACAAGAAGCCAATGAAAAAGCAGAAGAAATTGATGCCAAGGTAACTTACTTATTATTATATCTGATTTTTTGCATATAATTGTTATTATGCTGTCTTGAAAATGTTTCAAAAAGAATTATACTAAGATCATATTTTGTCAATTCAGTGTCACAGCTTTCTTTCTGGTTTTTTTTTTGGTTACATGCTTAAAATCTTTTAGCCAATCCCAAATATATATCAAGTTAAAGATCTGCTCCAATAAAACAAAATACAGTACATGCATATTGTTTCAAATAGAGTCACATTTGTACTTAAATGTTATATAATCTGTTGATAATATTTTGTCTGAACCAGACTCAAAAGAAAATAAGGGAGATATATATTTCACTAGATCTATGAAATTAATTTCTCAGCTGCCAGCCTGTGCCTGAAATAATGTATGAAAGGGCACCTGCTACCTGAGGTCATTCTTCACAAGAATAACTGAAAAGGGGCCATTTGATCATTACAGTGCACCGTCACACATATTAAGGCATCAAATGGGTATATTAAGTTGCCGCCTGTAGGCTAGGGGTTAAACAATTTTTTTAATTTTTCAGGCGGAAGAAGAATTCAACATTGAGAAAGGACGTCTGGTGCAACAACAGAGAGTAAAGATTATGGAATATTATGAACGCAAGGAGAAGCAAGTAGAACTCCAGAAAAAAATGTAAATATAATTCAGTGATTTTATTCAGTATTATTATAATATAGTAACATCTGTGAAAATAATGCAGTCTCTGTTGAAAACATTAAGTATCTTTCTGATACTCTATGTCTAGACTAAGTGCTGGGGGTCTTTGATGTCCCTGACTTCAAATCTTTTTCCCCACACCACTGTGGTTTTGAATCCTGTCTCACAGCCAGCTAGCTTAAGGAAGGTCAGTGGTTCTACTCAGGTGCCTGAAATAATGCACAGAGAGGCATCCAATGTCTTCCTCCTCCAGGAAAGCTGGAAAAGAGCGGTATGACTTTTAAAGTGTTAAGTGTGACTTATAACCCAAACCAAACAAAAAAAGCAAAACTAAGATTTAAGTGACAGAAATATGTTCAATCAATTTCTAAATGTATAGTAGGACCTAATTCTTGAATGATAAGAAGAAAGGGGCAACAAAAGAATTTGTAAGATAAATACAGTTAAATAATTCAGCACTTTGTCACCCTAGTGCAATAACTTGTTAACTCCAATTAAATTTAGAAGGACTTAACCCGCTAAATTGTCTCGCTGCGTTTAATTGGCTTTCCAATTTTACCGACCAATGAAAATGCGTTTAACAAATCGCTTTGAAATAGGAGGAGCGCAGACGATTACTGAGCTGCTTGACACTTCAAAATTTATTGCAAGGGTTTATTGAAAATTAGGGCGACTTTGTTTTCGCTTTTCTAAGTGATCCGGGCGAAATGGAGAGAGACAAGGCGACTTTGTCGCCCAAGTCGCCTAGAAACGTGATCCCTTGCCGTTACTGCACTTTGGTGACAAGTCTTGAGACATTATCTTCTGAATTTGTGTAATAGACACATTTTACATTGAATTTCAAACAAAGTTAGTTGTACAGAGGATATCCTCATGAGAATATTTAAAACCCACACAACATTATAAAGCCTGGACAGACTGCATGTAAATGCAATGTTGCATGACAGACTCTAGTCTATGCTGGTGTCATAGGGGAATCATAAATATTGAGCTGCCTGATATTTAGTGTTTTGTTTTTTTTAATTACAGACAGAACTCCAACTTACTTAACCAAGCTAGATTACGTGTGTTGAAAGCCAGAGAGGATCATTTGAAGGTCAGTGATAATCACAGATTGTTCTAAACGAACTAAAACTCTTCATTTTATCATGCTGATGTATTGTAACATGTGGTTCAGGGCTGAGTGGTTTAATACCCATTTATGTCACTAATTCATGTTAGCATTTTGCCAGTTTGAATTTTAACATGGACTAATAATTTGATTTGAGAGAGTTGCCCACAACCGTAAAATATTGAAAGTCAGTGGTTTTACTTGGTTTTGCCTAAGCTTATGCATAGGTGTGCTTCTGAGTAAAGCAGCAAAGGTGCTAAATGAACAGTGTCACTGTTAGTTGATCTCTCCCACGTCTCATCTTAATATCCCCCATCCTAAAATAAAATGAAATTTAGTTCAGTTGAAGGGTATAAGCTTATAACCATTACAAGAAAACAGCAACACGTAAACTAAATTTATGACATATATCAAAGAGCTGGAGTGTAATTAAGCCATTTGATGAATCCAATATAATTGATATAATATAATATATAATATAAGCATAAACTATGGTGCAGGAGATATGTACAGACAGTAATAACACCATGTAATAAAGAAAATTATATTACATTAGTGTAATAACACTTTGATGTGACCTCATTTGCGATATATACAAACATAGCGTTGAAGCGTGCTAATATTAGCATGTCAAAGAAAAATGGCTATTTTTAACAGTATACCATTGTTATTTGAATATGTGATAAATAGAATATTATATTTGTATAGATTCAATACTTAATTTATTGAAAGAGTTCAATAAAACAATAATATGCTCGTCCGATGCTCACATAGTATGATTTTATTCAACTTGTTCAATAAATTTAGTAATCAACCTGCACTCATCCAATATCCTCTAGCGTATAATTGTTTATTCAGACATTGATAGAAGAAGCCAGGAAACAGCTTGGTAGAATTACAAGTGACAAAGCCAAGTACCAGAAGTTGTTAGAGGGACTTATTGCTCAGGTCAGTCCAAATTTGCTAGTTTTCATATACACATACATGTATAGAAAAAAAAAGAACTATTTTTACCTTTGCATGATCTTAGAATTTGATAAAAAAAGAATGAGTGAGACTAAAAAAAGGATTGGAGCGCTAAATACCATATTCCGGGATATACCAGACAAGGCGCTTGAATGATCAAATCAACTTAACTCAAATAATTTTATTGGTATAAAACAAATAAAATCTTGCCTTTCACACAATGAAATGAACCTCATAAGGTCTTATTCATCTTTTCACACCAATTTATGTATGATAAATGAAAAATGTAAGAATCGGCTGGAAAAAAAACAATATGTACTGCTCCAGTCATGTATTGAGATAAATCCAAAAAGAATATGACAAAAAAAGCAACATTTTAAGCAGAAAAGATGGGAATTGCTCCTCTTGATTTTGAGTTATCTTATGTTTTTATTGTGCCCCCACGTTAGTGGCGGGCATTTAGATTTACCCTTGTCCGTCAGTCCGTCCGTCTGTCCGTCCGTCTGTTCACTTTTGTGTCGCACGTAACTCAAAAAGTATTTGACCTAGAGTCATGAAACTTTACAGGAATGTTGATCAGCATGTGTAGTTGTGCACCTGGGTATTTTCGTCTAGATATTTTTAGTATTTTCAGAGTTATTGCCCTTGACTTAGTAAAATTTTGCAATTTTCAACTTGTGTCGCAAAAAGTATTTGACCTAGAGTCATGAAACTTTACACAAATGTTGAGCAGCATGTGTTGTTGTGCACCTGGGTATTTTCGTCTGCATATTTTTAGTATTTTCAGAGTTATTGCCCTTGACTTAGTAAAATTTTGCAATTTTCAACTTGTGTCGCATGTAACTCAAAAAGTATTTGACCTAGAGTCATGAAACTTTACAGAAATGTTGATCAGCATGTGTAGTTGTGCACCTGGGTATTTTCGTCTGGATATTTTTAGTATTTTCAGAGTTATTGCCCTTGACTTAGTAAAATTTTGCAATTTTCAACTTGTGTCGCATGTAACTCAAAAAGTATTTGACCTACAGTCATGAAACTTTACACGAATGTTGATCTGTATATGTTGTTGTGCACCTGGGTATTTTCCTCTGGATATTTTTAGTATTTTCAGAGTTATTGCCCTTGACTTAGTAAAATTTTGCAATTTTCAACTTGTGTCGCATGTAACTCAAAAAGTATTTGACCTAGAGTCATGAAACTTTACAGGAATGTTGATCAGCATGTGCAGTTGTGCACCAGGTATTTTCGTCTGGATTTATTTAGTATTTTTAGAGTTATTGCCCTTCACTTAGAAAATTTTTGCAATTTTCAACTTGTGTCGCAAGTTACTCAAAAAGGATTTGACATAGTCATTAAACCTTATGGGCAGGTTGCTCAGCATATTTAGATTTGCACCTGGGGTTTCGCTTGTGGATTTATCCAGTATTTGTAGAGTTATTTCCCTTGACTTAGTAAAAAGATTGACAGAACAGTGGCGCGGTGGGGGCACCCGTGTCCTATGGACACATTTCTAGTTTATGTTAGGTCACTGTATGGGCAGATAACTGATACATAAATGTAGAAAATCCTTAGTTTTACTTTAGAAAGATTTTTTTTTTTTTGATTTTTTAAACAAAAATTTCTATTTTAGAAGATATTGTCCAGCCTATACAGTGTTTTTATTGTCCTTTCTGTTAAACTGTTTGAAAACAGTGCTAACTAGAGTGAAAAGTAAGTGCCACTCTATTCAACACAAATGTATGTATTGTATTTATAATATGTTAATTGTGTTCCACAGGGGCTGTTCCAGTTGTTGGAATCAGAAGTGACACTAAAATGTAGACAACAAGATATTGATTTAGTTAGGGTATGTATTTGTACTTTGACACATTATTCCCGTCTATTTATGTAACTTTCTAAATGAAAACCAATGTTAATTTTTGAAGAATTTCTGAAATGAAAGTCTTTTAGAAAAATTAATTTTGTGAATGAGAAACTCTTTTAATTTTGATGCACCCTTTGTAAATTTTGACTACCTTCTTTGCTGAAAACATTTATTAATTTAACTTTAGCGGATCACAGAAATAATCCATAGTACATGATTTCCATTCCAAAGCTGTTGTTTACAATATGGCGTAAGCTGCAATCTTAAACTTTACTTGTCATTCTAGATTTTGTTTTCCTTTTCTCATGTGAGAAAGCTATTCAGCTGGTTTATGGAACGTCAGTGGTTCTACTTAGGTGTCAGTTTGTGCCTGAAATAATGTAGAGAGGGGCACCTGAGGTCTTCCTCCACTAGTAAAGCTGCAATTTCACCATATGACCTATACTGTGTTGGTGCAATGTTAAACCAAACCAAAAACAAAACAGGAAAAGTCATTCTTCTTTCTTTGTTGGCATAACATAAAACCAGATCCATATTGTGTTGTAGGATGCGTGGCCAGCAGCTGTAGAGATGTACAGAAATGCTACAAAAGGCAAGAAAGATGTGAAAATAACTGTGGATACTGACAATTTCCTACCAGCTGATGTGTAAGTCTCTTGTTAGATAAATATTCAAACAAATTACAGGAAGTTCGGAGTTTTATGGGTTCACTTTTGGCTGAGTTGTTGTAGTTGCTTACTCTGAACTACTGGCTGCTCGGAACTTTAACTTTAGATCTTGCCAGGGACTTGAGAATCATTCCCTTAAAAAAGTGAGTTCAAATCTTGCCAGGGACTTTTTCCTATCAGGAAGCTATATAACAGAATGTTGGTTGTTCTACTTGGGTACCCACTTGTGCAAAAAAGTAAAGCCTAGAGTAGCACTCGTAGATCTTTCTCCACCAGAAAACCTTGAAAGTCACCATATGACCATATCAGAGTTGGCGTGTCGATAAACAAAAATGAAATAAAAAAAATATCTGGGATTTTTTAAAAATAACTACAAAGGGCATACATTTCTTGAAAGTTAAGCTGTTGACCATTTATATTTTATGACATAATTGATTAGTTCAATTTCTAGTAATGACAATCCTTTGTGTTGATTTCTCTGCTTGTGCTTGATTTAACATTGCATTGTAAATGTCATAGAGTGAGGCTAAAAATAGTGTTGGAGCACCACACTAAATACCCTATTCCGATATAGGTAAAGGGCCAAATGAAAAGTTAAAAATTTTTTTCACTTACGGAAAGCACTTAAGGCGTCACTTTATCCTTACCCCAATATATGTAAACATGAATAAAAAATTAACAATCGGGGCAAAAAAAAAGGATTTTTTGTGACTGTTTTTTGCAAGTCCCCTAAGATTTCCCCAACACTGTAAAAGGTAAAAAAAAAAGTTATACATTTTAAATTTTAACTTTTCAGATCTTGGTGTTAGCTGAGGGGCCCAGAATTACAATTTTTCTGAAAACAATTAAAAGTCCTAGATTGATATCAGCAGATGCCCCCAAATTTTTAAAACAGGGCTTTTGGACGAAAACCCAAAAAATTCACCGTTTAATGTAGCCCCATTTTTAATTCTAGTCCTTTAACATTCCATAATGTTTTGTTTTTTTTATGAAAAAAGGGGGGAAAAAAAAAAAGTTTTTTTTTCCCCGGGTAAAAAAAAGGTAAATATTTTGTAATAAAAAATAGAAGTTTAGTGCTATGAGTACACAAAAAAAAAATTGAAATCCACAGTGTCCAGTCATTTTGTTTCAATTCATACCAAATTTTATGTGTTAAAAAATTTATATTTTTTCTTATAATTTTTAAATACTTGCGTTTAAATAAAAAATTTTTTGTTTTTTGGGTTTTTTTTGTGCATACATGTATTTCTTTTGCCTAAAAGATTGTTAATGATAAGTGGTCCGCTAATTCATGGTATAGCATTTTATTTCTTGTTCCATTATCGTTACTGATCATTTCAAATCATTTAGGTCTCTATGAATATGGTGGCAAGCCACTTTGAAATGGTATTTAAGCAGGTTTCAATAAATAAAGAATTTGAAAAAAAGAGTTGAATTATGGTTTTTAGGATTGTTTATGAAAAAGTTCGAAAAATCTGAAAAAAATCTGTTTTAAATTTCGAAAATTTGCTGTAAAGGTTTCATTTAAAGGAACATTATGCCTCAGAAATCAATAATTGTTTCCTTCTTTAGAAAGGGTGAACTAACATTTTATAGCAATTGAATAATGATTTTAGAGCATTTAAGATGCTTATCACCTGAAGAAAGTGGTAAGTAATTGGAAATTATTTGTTAATAAATGTAGAAAAATGTAAACTAAGTAGTAATTCGAGTTCCATACAAAATACTCAATCACTGTTAGTGCACTATTTGCCAAAGGGCAATAGAAGCAAAATATGGTTCAGGTAATTGGCCATTGAGTAACGTTTTAAAATATACAAGTTAATATAAAAAAGCTTTCGAGAAAAAAAGCATTTCTGAGGCATAATGGGCCTTTAAGTCTCTTGTAAGTAGAACTTTGGACTTTGTCTCAGAACTTGTATAATTAAGGCTGATTATTCCATTTTTTTTTTTCAGTTGTCAATAAAGCTTGATTGCATCTTTTAATGTGAGTGGCTGTTTGTTAAACTTGCAATATGTTGTAAAAATGGCTTTTATGTTAGGTGTCACTGATTGATTGTAGATCTAGTCTTATCCGGATTTTTATACATATTTTGTAGGTAGTTTTATTATTTTGTTGTTGTTTTTTATGATATTTATAGATAATATATATGTACTATTATGTAGTTTTTTGAGTGTCAACGACAAAAATTATTCTTGTTTAACTGATCTTAAAAAGGAATAAGTTTATGATGAAAAATGTGGTGTTTTGCATCATGATTTATCTTCGATTTAAGGAAAATAAATTTTTAACAGTAAATAAATGCAAGCAAAAAGCACGCCATAGATACACCCTAATTATTTTGTATGGATGATACAGTTTTAGATTTACTAAATATATACTGAGATGAAGCTAAGATCGCAATCTTTTCATTGGTGTAATAAATTTTAAAATTGAACATTAAATTACCCCAAACTAACGGTTTAAAAATGGCTAAATTTGTATTGTTTTAGCATTAGAGATATCGACATTTGAGATCAGTCTGGGACAATTGAGATCAAGTCAGGACATTTGAGATCAGTCAGGGGACATTTGAGATCAAGTCAGTTGTAACAAATAAGATCAGTTAAACAAAACTTGTTGTCACTCCTCATCAGAAAACGTGCTGTGATGTGTCTGTGAATAGCCACTATATAATATATCACGTACCTTAGACACTATGTTACCCACATATTATAATGTTTATATGTTCTTGTCTTCACCTGTTTAATCAAGAAATCATGTATAAATAGCTAAATTACTGTGTAATGTAGGCAATTAACATGTGTCATTTGAATATATTAATTATTATTTATGAACTGTAACATAATGCCATGGAAGATGGAAGTTATACACAAATGTATTTAAAAAAGTAAGAATGTTTATATAAATATTTATCTCAACCTTTCAATAAATTACTACTGATTTGCTGGTTGCGAATACAAAATTTGAATCTACATGTATAATAGAACTCAAAATATATAACAATAAGTTCTCTTAATTAAAATCATGATTATAATGATTGTGGTTATTCAACTTTATTTTTCAACATTAACTATGTTAAATGTTGTTCCTAGTTCAGAACACTTGGGTTAGATTAGTAGATGTATTTATTAAATCATTTCATTGAACACATTATCAGGGTAACCTTTCCAAATTCCAGTAAATGCAACATTTAACCCAAAACATGCTGGGTTTTATTAGCCATTGCCACCAGTATGAAGCTTGGCAAGGGGAATATTATGTATTGCAGGGGAAGATGACTGTATTGCAAGTTTATATGGCCATGTATTGCAAGGTTATATGACCATGTATAGCAGGTTAATATGTCGATGTATAGCAGGGGTATATGACAATGTATTGCAGATTGACCATGTATGTTTAGAATAAAGAATTCTTAAATTCAGTGTATTAACATGCCACAAGGGCACTTTGTTGATTATAAATTGTAATTTATAGCAATATCTTATGATAAGATCAAGTTTTCATTACAACTAGGTCTAGCTAGTGCTGTATTGTAGATGGTAATTAATATACTGTGTTAATAAAGACGCTATATAAGACTAATAACAACTTGTGTTTTATTATCCCCGACTTGGCAACATTTCATTTCTGGGAGTTTTTCTATGATTTTAGGAATTCAAATTGGACAAATTACAGCGTTGTTCTCTATTGGACTTAATTTCAAAATCAAAATATGATTCTTGTTGTTGTATAAGATTGATATAAAGAAATGAATGAGGTGGCAGGAGCATACATGGATAAGTGGTTAAGATCGTTTACTTCCAATCACTTGCCCCTCACCGCTGTGGGTTTCGAATCCTGATAGGGACTTTGGATTCTTCCATGTGAGGAAGCTATCCATCTAGTTTATGGAACATTGTTGGTTCTACTCAGGTTCCTGTTGGTGCTTGAAATTATGCATGGAAGGACAGCTGAGGTCTTCCTCCATCAGTAAAACTGGAATGTGACCTATACTGTGTCGGTGCTATGTTAAACCCAATCAAATGAATGAGGTGGCATCAAATTTCAGGATTCTAGTTGCACAAGACTGATGAAATAACAAGATTTTGATAACTACATCAAAAATAAAATCCAGAAGTCAGCGTATTCAAAAAGACCAATGTTTTGAAAAATTCTTACCTGTTGAGTTAAAAGATAGAAATACACTTTTTTATACGCCCCGTTTGAAAAAACGGACGTATTATGGGAACGCCTCTGGCGGGCCGGCGGGTCGGGCGTATGGGCGGCGGGCGGAGCGGCGTCCCAATTTTGTCCGGAGCATATCTCCTACATGTATGAGGGATTTTAATGAAACTTCATAGAAAATGTTCACCACTATGAGGATCAGTGTCGCGCACATGAACCAGTCTCTAGGTCAAAGGTCAAGGTCACACTTAGAGCTCATTGAAAATGCTTGTCCGGAGCAAAACTTCCACATGTATAGAGGGATTTCAATATTACTTGGCACAAATGTTCATCATTGTGAGGCGGAGTGCCCGCGCGCAAGATTCAGTCCTTGCGGCCAAGGTCAAGGTCACACATAGAGTCAAAGTTCAGATAAAAATATGAAGATGTGTATATGGACCATTTAGTCATCATTTATTGAGGGATTGTAACACAAATGGTCATTATCAAGACTATGGCTGTGATACATATAATTTAGGTCAATATATACAAGGTCAAGGTCACTAAAGATGATGAAATATCCAGATTTTGTCCGGAGCATATCTCCTACACGCAGGGAGGGATTTTAATGAAATTTCATAGAAATGTTCACCATTATGAGAAGCCATGTCACGCACAGCGGCCAAGGTCAAGGTCACACATAGAGGTCAAAGTTCAGATAAAAATATGAAGATGTGTATAGGGACGATTTAATCATCATGTATTGAGGGATTGTAACACCAATGGTCATTATCATGACTGCGGCTGTGACACATGTACTTTAGGTCAATATATGCAAGGTCAAGGTCACTAAAGATGGTGAAATATCCAGATTTTGTCTGGAGCATATCTCCTACATGTATGGGAGAATTTTATAATACTTTATGAAATGTTCACACCATGAATGTATTGCTCCATGCATGATCCAGGTCTCCAGGTCAAAAGGTCAAGGTCACACTTAGAGCTCATTGAAAAACGCTTGTCCGAAGCAAAACTTCTACATTCATAGGGGGATTTCAATATAACTTGGCACAAATGTTCACCATTGTGAGGCTGAGTGCCGCACGCAAAATTCAGATCCCTGCAACCAAAGTCAAGGTTACACATAGAGGTCAAAGTTCAGATAAAAATTTGAAGATGTGATAGGGACCATTTAGTCATCATTTATTGATGGATTGTAGCACAAATGGTACTATCATGACTACAGGTGTGACACATTTAATTTAGGTTAATATTTGCAAGGTCAAGGTCACTGGAGATGATTAAATATCCAGATGTTGTCCGGAGCATATTTTCTACATGCATGGAGGAATTTTAATGTTACTTTAAAGAATTGTTCACCACCATGAGACGTAGTGCCCTGCACATGAACCAAGTCTCTAGGTCAAAGGTGAAGGTCACAGTTAGAGCTCATAGAAAAACGCTTGTCTGGAGCAAAACTTCTAACATGCATAGAGGGATTTCAATATAATTTGGCACAAATGTTCATCATTGTGAGGCCGAGTGCCGTGCATAAAATTCAGGTCCCTGCGACCAAGGTCACACACATCCTGTGCATATCTTCCCTACTGATTTGTTTTAAGGTTCATTTAACAACACAGTGCCAAGTTTAAAAACTTGCTTGCTAGATAACACTTATCCATAATGCCCCCATCTCCATCTAAAGCTTTCGTAAACAGGCGTATTTTGTGACTATGGCACCCTTGTTTAAACTGCTATCCCTTCTGACTAGCAAAGAATCATTCAAAGTTCACGTGTTTAATTTAACCCCTTACTTTACAAAAATTTGTTTTGTAAACTTGTTTAACTTTGCATTTTTAATGCAAGGATTGTTATACTTTGAATTTGAAATTGCTTACTGTTCATCAAGAGGCTGTCAATACCACTATGCTAAAATTAAGCCACCAGCAGTACAGTGTTTGGTCACAGTAAACACTAACCTGAAAATTACCCTTATGTCTACTGTTTGATGATGGCGTTTTTTTTTAAAAAGACCCTGATAATGGTCTGCACTGGTCACTATCAAGGAGTATGTATATTGAAATTTTTCCTGAAATATGATGAATGCCTATGTCCAGATTGAAAGGGAAAAGCCCAGAATCATAGGTTCGAGCCTTATTTGGTCACAAATCCAGTTCCCCTTGTATCTCACTTCTCTTTGGTTCCAGAAAGTGACTCTTTAAAATTGTTACAAAAAGCTTCATGTTTTTATCACTACCGGTAGCTAAAATAAATATGTTTTAACTAACATCAATGATAAAAAGGCAATTATTTTCATACTGTTTATTGTGAAAATCAATGTAAATATCAATGTGTAAATATTCAATAATTTTTCTGAATACATTTTATACGTAATGTTCATTCCATACAAATTTATTACCTCAAGCATTTTTTCACCTCCCTTCAAAACACCATGACCCAACCCCATGCCACTCCTCACTAATAATTACTTAAATAAGATTCATCAAGCAGAATACAATTTGTAGTTCAATAATTAAAGAAAACAAGAAATTATAGGTATAACCAATGGCTACTCGGTACTCAGCCAATGTCACTTTTATTTACCTTAAAAAATGACCTTACAGTTAGCAAATGCAAAAAAGTATTATTAGCCTAAATGACCTTGTCCCAAATGACATAAAGCCATATTCAAGGGTAAATTATGATGGAAAGTATCAACACAGCAAGGCTATTACAAAAAAGGTGGTGGTTGAAGGACAAATGAAGGAAGGGAAGAAAAACTACAAGTACATGCTCCACCAAAATATTCCAGTGAGTATAAAAAATATACAAGAAACAATTTAAACTACATAACCCCTATATAGGTCAGATTATAAATACTACATCATATTTCCCTAAACAATAAAAACCATGAAAAAGGAAAAAAATAACAGACAAGAATTGATAATTAACACATATTGGATACTTTCTCATTTTTTTTGGGTTGTTTTTTTTCCACTATTTTTTTATGTTTGAATATAATATAATTGATTTCATCTATATATAGCACATTTTCATTGGCACTTTCTAGTGGACATGAAAAGAGTTCTTTATCCTGGAGGCCATCCCATCTGTCTTCCTCCGAGGACATGTATATGAAGGTGGTACACAGACTGACTTCCATCTGGACCGTTGTTTATCACTGAAAATAATATAGACCATTGTTTATCACTGAAAAAAATATAGACCATTGTTTTATCACTGAAAAAATTTAGACCATTGTTTATCACTGAAAAAATATACAGACCATTGTTTATCACTGAAAAAATATACAAACCATTGTTTGTCACTGAAAAATTATAGACAGCTGTTTATCACTGAAAAATATAGACCACTGTTTATCACTGAAAAATTATAGACCCCTGTTTATCAATAAAACATATAGACCATTGTTTATCACTGAAAAAATATAGACTATTGTTTATCATTGAAAAAATAGAGACCACTGAAAAAATAATAGACAATTGTTTAACATTGAAAAAATATAGACCATTGTTTATCACTGAAAAAATATAGACCATTGTTTATCACTGAAAAAATATAGACCATAGTTTATCATTGAAAAAAATATAGACCATTATTTATCACTAAAAAATATAATAAATTGTTTATCACTGAACAAATATTGACCATTGTTTATCACTGAAAAAATATAGACCATTGTAATATCACCGCTAAGAAAATAAAGAGACCATTGATTATCACTGGAAATATAGACCATTTTTTATACATGAAAATATAAAGACAATTGTTTATCACCAGAAAAATAATGACAAAGTTGATTCATCAAAATATAAAGACCATTGTTTATCCATGAAATTATAATGACATTGTTTATTCTTAAAATATATTGACATTGCTTATCCATGAAAATATAAAGTCCATTATTTATCCACGAAAAAAATAAAGACCATTGTTTATCCTTGAATATATAAAGACACTTGTTTATTACTGAAAATATAAAGACCATTGTTTATAAATGAAAATATAAAGACACTTGTTAATCACCAGAAATATGATGACAATGTTTATCCATGAATATAATTATAAAGACCATTGTTTATCCATGAAAATATAAAGACCACAGTTTATTTTATCCTTGATAAAATAAATACCATTGCAACAGAAACATGTCTCAGAATTTGTTACTCGTTGATAATGTTAAATAATTGGCAGAACAAACACTGGGCACATCACACAAAACATGCCCTTAAAGAGAAATTCGAAACTTCATGAAATATTGAGAATTTAAATGTGCCCAATTTCCATAGAGCATTGGTCAAAGAAGTGAATTTGGAATTCAACTTAAATGTACATTTGGCAAAGTTGCACTTGCTCAACACGTCAATAAACTTTTCACTAGCGCATGAAGTCAAATGTATACTGTATATATGTATGTAGTCTATGTTTAATAAAGGCCCATCTGCCTGTTACATGTGTTAAGGCCCATTAAAAAAACAGCTTTTGCTGCTGGGTATGCACAGCTCATGCACCCTAGTACCTTAACTCGTCTTCCCTGCCTACTTTTTAGGGTCACTCCCTTTGGGTTCAGTCAAACCCCTGGCAGCTGGTCTCAAGTAATAGATCAAGTAGACATAAAGTTGTTCCACCCACTAAACCTTCTGCCATTTCCCTGTGCCTTGCCACACCATGTGTATACTGAGGGGATGAGAGAGTTATGTACGCTGGGTAATTTTCTTTACAGATATACACATTTTTCTGACTTTACGTTAGTAGTATTGGCAAGTTGCCACTACCATTCAAAGACACTGTGAAATCTGAGAACACTCCTTAAATTACTTATTTATTACAATGCATATATATTATCATGATTTCATATGTATTAAATTTACCTATTCTGTATCCATTTTCAAGATTTCTTTTCTCTGCAACCTGCTTTGCAACAAGCAACAGATGCCCCAGTAACTGTAAACATAAATTTAATAAGATAAAATAATAAAAAGAAAATAATTTGGATGACAAACACATTGGATTGTTTCCTAGTAAATATTTAGCAGTAATAAATACGCATTCAGTTCATATAACTATAAGTCTTTGCTAAGTAGATACAATCATTACAATGTATAGAGCCAGATCAGCCTGCACATCCTTGTAGTCTAACATTATACTACTACAGGCTGTCTGATTAAAAAAATGTTGAAGCTTTAATCAATGGATTTTAAAATTTTACACTTTAAATCAATGGATTTTAAAATGCTGATGCCTCAAATCAATGGATATTAAAGCTTTGATACTTTATAGCAATGGATCTTAAATTTTTGATGCATTAAATCACTGGATTTTAAAAGTTTTGATGCTTTAAATTTATAATCAAAGGATGGCAGTCCTGTACCTCCAAAGTTTGAGTCATAAAATAAAGTGCCAGGTTGAGAGTAAAATTAATGACAGAATATAAAAGAACTAGTTCTAAGGTTATATTTTATAACCAACCTTACAGTCTGCAAAACCATTTTTGACCCAATGACCTTTATAAATTAAAGTATTAGTTTAAAACAGATGCTGATAAATTAAATCGTTTTTTTGACAGGTTAATTACTAATCTAATCCATATCAAAACTACAGGTTCTTTCACACCAAAATGACATACCAAATATTAACATCATTCTTATACAACAAACCAAACAATGATCAATACTTCCTATATTTGATCCAATGATCATTATTTCCTATATTTGGCATAAAAGCCCTGTTGTCACCAAGTAACAAAACTAGAAACATAAAACCCAACCAACCATTTGATCTCCCTGTTCAGCATCACTAATCTGGGCTATTGGTTTCTTAGGAATCACAAGGAAATGAACAGGAGCTTGTGGTGACACATCGTTAAAGGCTAAACACTGAAAGAGGAAGAAAATACATTGCAGTGTTATATGTATATGATCATGCCCTTTTTTATTTCAAATAGTGGTGAAAAGGTAACATGCTGGTCTAGTAATCAACGAGTCATAGGGTTCGATCCACCAGGAACAATAGGTCCCATGTGTTGCTGCTCTTTACCAGGCATGTATAAGAACTACATGTAGGATAGCCTGTAGAATATGAAAACTGCTGTATCCAAGGTAATTCCTAAAAAAAAGAAATATTCATGGAACTACATTGTACCTCCAAAAAAAAATCTAACTGCAGTGTGCCACAGATAAAGGCAACATAAATTTGTAGGACCATTAAATTTTGTTCCTCATCACACACATCTGTTAAATCACTTAAATGTGAATGCAATACATTGTATATGGAAGCATTTAAAATTACACACTTAAATGAATTAACATAACGTAGAAAGAAGAGATAATAACTGATCATTTTTAAAGCAATAAAAAGCTTTGCCATTAATTTTGTCAGAGACTTCAATAAAGCTCTATGACTTTGATTTTTGATTATTTTTTTTACCTGATCATCTTCATAGATAATGTCTGCAGGTATGGACTTGTCTATAATCTTGGAGAATATGGTCGGCTCAGCTGTTTTCTTGGCCTGCTTTGCTTTAGAAACTTCATCACTTCCCGCTGCATCACAATATGACTAGAAAATAAACAATTCTGAATTTAGGCCAATAAAGTCATATTTCGGTTCTGGTCTTGAACACCAAAACATGAAAGTTGCAAGGAAACAATTTCTTTTTATATACAATGTATACATTTTTTTATATAATTTTATACATGTTTATACAATGTATATTGAAATTAAGCTATATTGGAAAATATGGAAAGCAAAAAAAGTTTATGGTTGGTAACAAGAGGGCCATGATGGCCCTTATAAGGCTCTTAATGACCAGGAACAATTAATATTGTAAACTATGAATGAAATAGTGCAAATGTAAACAAGGCTTTTCTTCCATAGTTTCGCTATGTGACCTAGTTTTTGAACCCAGCTAATCTATATTTGAACTTTAGCTAGAAATCATTAAAATGACCTTGCTAACAAAGTTCTATGATATTTGGGCTGAAAATTATTACATTTACAGTATTAACAAGGTTATTCCATATTCAGACTCTGTGGCCTAGTTTTTGACCCAAGATGAATTTTTTTAATAGCTGAGCTAGAAAAAAAATCTTTTTGATCAAATTCCAGGAAATTTGAGCTGAAAATATTGCCTCTTGAGTGTTACATGTATGTAGTTTTTCTTCCATTATTTTGGCGTGTGACCTAGTTTTTTGAACCCCAAAAACAGCCTTTCTGACAAATTTTCCAGATATAAGGTCTGAAAATGTAACCTCTGGAGCATTAACAAGGTTTTAGCCCAAATGAGTCTTGCATACCCAAAATAGGCTAGCATGCCCAAATGAGTCCAACATGCCCAAATGCGTCTAGCATGCCCAAATGAGTCTAGCATGCCCCAATCAGTCTAGCATGTCCAAATGAGTCTAGCATGTCCCAATCAGACTAGCATGCCCAAATGGGTCTAGCATGCCCCAATCAGACTAGCATGCCCAAATGAGTCTAGCTTGCTCAAATGAGTCCAGCATGCCCCAATCAGTCTATCAGTCTATCATGTCCAAATGGGTCTAGCATGCCCCAATCAGACTAGCATGCCCAAATGAGTCTAGCTTGCTCAAATGAGTCCAGCATGCCCCAATCAGTCTAGCATGTCCAAATGAGTCTAGCATGTCCCAATCAGTATAGCATGCCCAAATGAGCCTAGCATGCCCAAATGAGTCTAGTATGCCCCAATCAGTCTAGCATGTCCAAATGAGTCTAGCATGCCCCAATCAGTATAGCATACCCAAATGAGTCTAGCATGCCCAAGTGAGTCTAGCATGCCTAAATGAATCTAGCATGCCTCCATCAGTCTAGCATGTCCAAATGAGTCTAGCGTGCCCCAATCAGTATAGCATGCCCAAATGAGTCTAGCATGCTCAAATGAGTCTAGCATGCCCCAATCAGTCTAGCATGCCCAAATGAGCCTAGCATGCCCAAATGAGTCTAGTATGCCCAATCAGTCTAGCATGTCCAAAATGAGTCTAGCATGCCCCAATCAGTATAGCATGCCCAAATGAGTCTAGCGTGCCCAAATGAGTCTAGCATGCTCAAATCAGTCTAGCATGTACAAATGAGCCTAGCATGCCCAAATGAGTCTAGCATGCCCCAATCAGTCTAGCATGCATAACATCAAGACAGTTTATAACACATATTCAAATGGTTTCCAATATAATAGCTATTTAAATCAATATGTTAAATTATTATATCATCAACACTTGGCTTTCAATATATTAATACAAAATTTTCCACCAATGACAGCCCTAATATACACATAGGTTAACATTTATATGATCATTAAAATTATACAAGAAAAACAACAGTACTTAAACCATGATTCATTTATTCAAACAAATCAAATACACCTGTGAAAGAACCAATCTGGATGTGAGACCCACTGCTGTCAAATACTTTAAGGCAGGTGAAATGCTCACATATTTAGCACAGCTGAGAACTTGACGGGTAAAACTAAGCATAGCTTATACTTTCCCTACCTGTAAATGAAAGTAAATTATTCAATTTTAACAAAAAAAAATGTCTGTTACTGCGTTTATTATTTCCTCAAAGTCAAAGTGTCAATTTACTGTCACACTTTTTAATAATATTATTAATTGAGTACAGTTGTTTAAGCAGCAGCTGATTTAAGAGTATAGCGGATAGCTTGTCAGCTAAATCGCTCTTTCTGATCAACAGTTTCTTTTTAAATATTTAACAATCCTTGATTAAACACGGGGTTTAACCTAGGAGTAAATCTATTTCAGGCTCCTCCGTATGTTCAGTATATTTCTGTATAAAATATAAACATAGGGGTCTTCTATTTAATAAGGGAGATTTCCGTTCAATGTCCGAAAATAAATGTCCGAAACATCATTCAAATAATAAAACATTCTTGTACACTCGCCAATCAATTGATTGACAACCCTTTATTTCTCTGACATATAATTACGTTTGTATTTTAGCGCATTTATGTTACGTTTTAAAACAATTATATCGAAAGGAAGTAAAGAAACACGCACTAAAAAATGCAAAATAGTGTTGACAATCTCCGGAAAACCGGATATTAGGTTTTAGATTGTTTTTTAAATACCAAAAAGTAAAAGAAAATAACACAAACACTAGCAGGATTCTCAAAGATTTGTAATGTTATAAATATATAAGACTGCATACTCTGTATAACTGAATTACCGTCGCTTTCTTTTGTTAGACTACTTTGGACGAAGCTGGCTTATCAAATTATTGGTTAAGTCAAGCTGTACCTAGTCCGCTTAATTTCAAAAGTCTGGTTAAGTCCAAACTTCGAGATCAGTTCATCCAAAGTTGGACCAGTGATGTTCAATCATTAATCAAATGTTTAAACTACCGTTTATATAAACCAGAGTTTGTATTCGAAGATTATTTTAAGATACTTCCTTGGCAACTGTCTTCAGCTTTGTTAAAATTTAAACGTATGAATCATAAAGTGTCAATTGAGAAAGGTAGATTCCTAAATATAGAGAGAAACTTGCGTATATCTACTTTATATGAGTCAAACCAACTGAGTGACGAATTTTACCATCTGTTTCATTGTCCACATTTTGTTAATAGTAGACGTGAATTTTTTAAACCGTATTGTTATAGGTATCCTAATGCAATGAAATCTGAAGATCTTATGAATAGTATAAACAAATCACATTAAAAAAAACCTTGCTTTGTTTTGTAAAGAAATAATAACAACATGCAAATAATAAGTATAATTTTGTATCATAAGTCTCCTAGAAAATTTTGTTAATGAAGCATGAATTTCAGTTATTATTGAGAATCTAGTCATATCTTTATTTATTTTACGGGTACAATATAATTGTCACTTATTCTCCTGTATTTATGTACATTACATTATGTATATTTTTCTGTGTTCCGGTTGTAACATACAATCACAATTTTGTATTTTATGTCACTTGTTCTTATGAACCATGGCAGTATTGTGAATAAATCTTGAAATCTTGAAAAATCAAAGTAATAACTTTATCTGAGATATTTATTTTAAAAATATATATATATTGAAAGCTTCGCGTACCGAAATTCCTTCCAGGGAAACAATAAATTTTTGAAAATGGTTATAAACAGAAGTACAAGTAGATGAGCCGGAAGCAGATTAATCTTTTAATATATCTGTTGATAATAGCTTATAAAGAGTTATATTTAAATAATGATATATTGTAACATAAGTCTCTTAGTAGAGAAACAAAATCGTAGGCATAAATTTTGTTGACATTGAATCACCATTCATTTCTAATACCCCCCAGAGTATATACATTTTATTTAAAGTCATCAACATACATGATGCCGACTTGCAAGAGATTGATTTTCGTAACCGATAAAGGAATTGTGAGAACATGCAATCAAAACTCTTTATCAATGAAAACCCATGGCCGTTCACTAACGGTCCCTTTCTTCGTCCGCAAATTAAAACACTAACAACAGTGTGAAATTAAACTTTGTTTTCACTTTGAAACGGGCTGACTAGAAAATTTAAAGCTGCACGCCTCCAGATGAGCAAAAATATTTCGATAAAACCAAACCTGAGAAAAATGTACTAAGATTTTAGGAAAGGTATAAAGATTCAAAATTCTAGTAAAAAATATATGTTATGTGCGAATAATGACCGAATTTTTCAGTATGTATAACTTTATTTCCACTGCGTTACTAACGCAGTAAGGGCTATTTTTGCATATTTTGACCTCTTTATAGTAATTTACATCGGTTGTAAGTGCCATTGATAATGTTTAAATTGCATTCTTTTGGTAACTTTACAATACTATACTGTTAAATACATTTTCAAATTTTCATGAAAATTAACATGAATCTGGAGGCGTGCTGCTTTAAATTTGAAATGGACTATACGATACTTTAAGAGGCAATAAAACGTAACTCGACAGATTGGACGGGGAGCATTGTGTAATTTACGCTCCCTTCGCAGCTCGCTAAACACCCTCACATTACTTCAGACATTGAACGATAGTGAAACATTCAACCGATACGCAAAAGAGCATATGTAATTACAGAAAACGAAGAAACAATTAAAACAAGCAAAAATGGCATTTATGTATAATAGTTAAGATAAAATGTATGATTTGGAATAACATATTTGTCATTTTGTTTCTAAACTTGCTGCGGTGGTACAATGACCAAAAATAAACTGTTTTCTGTCGTCTGCTACAAGTCACTTTGTTTACTTCTAAACTAAAAGTTAATCTTACTAATTTTAAGATGGCTGCGCCTGTAAAGTTCAATATCGTCACGCATTGAGCAGTGAGTTTCAACAAACACAACTCTTTCTTCATATGAATGTAAGAAAATCATTTTTACTAACTTGGTCTGCTCTGGTCTTCGAAAAATATTATTTCTACCAATGTGTTCATTTTCGAGGTGAATGATATTGAACAATATTTATAATAAGACACTTAAAAGATATTGAAACGTGTTAAATAAAGAAATTTTATGCACAAGTGTGTGAAAATTGTCTTAGGGAAAAATGAATATTTGTAATAGTGAGTAGTTGTGTGTGTGTTGTTTGAAAGCATGGGAATGGGAGTTAAACGTTGGTCTTGTGTTTGAGATAATCTGGCAGGGAATGGCAACCTTATTTTGTTAAATGTTGTGAAACATGATCAAACGCTGATCTATGCGACTTGGTTCTAGGCTTCTCCACTCTAGGGAGTCAAGCATAGTGAAACATTTGATGTTCAAGTGTAGTCCTTGAGCCCGGCGCTGCACAGACTCAGGAACTGTACTTAAGCTGGGACCTGACAAGTGTCTTGTAGGCTGTATTTTTAAGCAGTTCTGAGTGGATCTTGATGTTACGCCATGGGTGTTCTTGTTTTTGGTTTGCCCTTTTTTTACAATGTTGTCAATAGGTTAATCAGTTTATGATACATAAAAGAGTAATTTGATTTTTTTTAATTGAAGCAAATCATTAATATGTGTTGGTGATTTATCATAAAGTCATTTGTTAATTTTATAATGAAAGTGTTGGTGCTGACAATCCTAAAAGCACATTTAATTGTTTTGCTTTTTTAACAAATTTATGTGACCTGTTGCTGTGCTTCAGTCAGTTTTTCAAAGTCTTCTTTTATTAATAGTTAAGAACATTACACACGTTTATTAAAATACTTCTATGTGTTCATTTTTGTTGACAAAGTCATTCTCCGGTCCTCAATTAGCTACATGTATGGGAAAAATGGTTATTTGGTAGCCATAGCCTGGTGTGAAAGCGGCTAAAATTATTATATATTTTCGAAATGGTTATTCAACTGTTCGTTTATAATCTAAAAAAATACATTTAAGATGAATACTAATACCGTAATTTTTCATGGTAAAATTAAAGGTTTGCCTTTTTTAAACCGATTTATTACATGTTTTGCAGTAGATTACTGAATTATAACGGTTAATTATATTCTGATAATTTCACAGTAATGATTACCAAATATAATTTCACAGTAGCCGAACTATATTTGGCGTAAAAATAAAATATTTATCATTAATGAATGTTTTTTTCAGCGGAAATGTAGTCAATCATAATAAAAAATGTACGTGATAACTGTAGTTCGTAAATATTTAAGAACGTTGTGCTGAAAAACTTCTAAAATCTAAAAATAATCATGGAATTATATTTTGCTTCAACATTGTGACGTCATTATTTGATGACGTCGTGAAGATAAGAGCATGACGTTACGCGGCAAAAATCAGTAAAATGGTGTAAAAATCGTTAAAAAATCATGAAATAAACAGAAAATTTGTTTGTTTTACATGTAAGATCAAATAATATTTCACTCGTGAACCCCAGCTATTATATTTTCACTCGTGGCTACGCCACTCGTGGAAAATATTGCATCTGGTGTTCACTCGGTGAAATATTTTTCGATCTTACACTGAAACAAACAAATATTCTCTATTTAATCTAAGACTATCTAGAAAAAATGCTTTATTTAAATGTTCTATATTGAAAAAAAGATTAATTTATTGCGGTTTTCATACTACAGAGTGTATTTCTATCGAAATGTTCATCAACTTATTATAATTTATGCATACTTTTGGCGTTTTAAAACTCTTGTTGGTGTTTAATTAATATCTGCACTGCTGCCACCTAGCGGCAGTATTCTATCAAGAAAAAAAAAACAATGAAGAATAATGAACGAACGAATATAGTAACTTTTGAAAGACTTTCGCCAAATATTTAACGTTATGAACATTCAATTAAGACATTAGATATGTCTGGTTCAAAGACAGACCAGCGTTTTGCGGATTATTTCGTGATAAGTGGCCTGGATGTGACGTCTGGGTTGGAACCTGATCAACTTTCGGGTATGTTTGGATTTCGGATAAAATCGTTTTTATTTTTAAATGAAAAGGAAAAAGCTAATGGCAATGGATCTAAGTGATATAACTAAAACATCTTTAAAATTAAATAATATGAAAAAAACAAAGCCTCAGCGAGCTCGATTTACCTTTACCGTGAAATAGTATAAAATAATCGTTCATTTTTATTTTACGATACATTTTCTGTTTTAAAATTGCCATTCGGTATTTTATACACTGCTTCTGTTTATTCTAGTTCCCTGTCCTATTATGGTTCCCATATAAGTGCGCAGGACACCAGTCAATGCTTCCGTTTTCAATCAGAATACTGCGGTTTTCGTCGTTATCTTGTAATTGCGATGTGTCAATTCAGTACTTCGGATGAAAGTTTTCAAAACCATCACTTTCTAGCAGGTACTCCCGTTACAGCCAAGCTCGCTTTGCTTGCAGGCCCACCGGGCCAGCTCTTGGAGCTCGCTATTTAAAGTTTCGGAAAGTATAAAAAGAGAGAGGTACTGCTGTGTTGACAGGATGCACAACATGGCCTTTGAGTCTTCCTTTTGTGCCTCTCTGTGTGATATGAGCTATAATCATTAAATGTAGAACTGGCTTTGTTTCACTTCAGTTTCATCCCTTTTAGGGTTAGCTTAAAAATATTAAAACATAATATTTTTGATCCTTAATATTGATCCTGGTATCTGGACATTTCACCTCCTTCACATTTCGGCCCTAGTCTTTCTGGCTACACTTATAAACGGAAAAGAGTCAACTCGGCCCTATACCAACTCGGCACGGGTCAACTCGGCACGGGTCAACTCGGCCCACTTTACTAAAATATATATATAACGTATTTACTTTGCTTTGCATGTTGTTAAGGTAAATGAATAATAAGAAATATCTTATTATTATTATATCTAATTATACATTGTACTTCTGCCGAAATAAAATATTTACAGTATATTTAGAAAAAAAGTTATTTATTTGTCTTGCAGATTCGATAAAATTAATATACATATAATAAAAATGTGTTTCCTTAGATGCATTTTGTTTGTAAAGACGTTAAGTAATTTTCAAAAAAATATGAAACAAAAACGTGTTTACTTAATATCATAAGCGTCTAATTAATTGCAGGTGGTTAATAATCAAATTTGAATGAATGAGTCAATCATAATTATCACCTACTTAATCGGTATCCTTAACATACACATTGATTGATGATAATAGCCCGTAACAATAGGAGTCTTTTACCCATTTTTAAAAGTGGGCCGAATTGACCCGTGCCGAGTTGGAATAGGGCCGAGCTGACTCGGGGGCCGAGTATGTTTCAGGGCCGAGCTGACCCGGATTCTTATAAACTGTAGTATTGTATACAGTATACATGTTTGACATGACCTATGTTGTTACAGCTTTTTTAGTAAAGTGATTGGATTATCTAAAGTGACCAATTAAGCTGTGAAAAACAGAAAGTGATAAAAAGCAGTGCAATCACCCTTTGCTAAGACATTCTGCATTTAAATCCACTTATAACTTTATACTTTAATTATAGAAAAAACATATTTTTGTAATTCATATATTTATAATTACCAATATTAAAATATAACATTTCTGTTCTAGTAAATAAAATGCCAAATTTTTTATATGAATAAATGTGTGTTTTTTTATTAAATTTAATTCTTTTTTTATATAAACATATCTAATTTTTTGAATATAATGAAAATAAAGTTGATTATATAATATGTAATCCAAAAATGAAATTTTTATGTATTTATTTATTTACTTATTAAAATCTAAAATATATTTCAAAATAGTGAAACTACATAAATTATATCAATTTAATGAACATTCTGCATTAGATGCAAAATGATAAATGAAGACTTTCCTTGAGCTTATGGAAAAATGTGAAGTTTATCCAATATAATGTGATTGACACATTCCTTTGCATACCTTGTTAATTCCCTTCTATTATTTTAACAAATTTATCTACAAAGTGACAGGTGAGCTTTTGTGATCGCTTTTCGTCTGTCGTCCGTCCGTCCGTAAACTTTTACTTTAAATAACATCTCCTCATAAACCACTAAGCCAATTTCATCCAAACTTCACAGGAATGTTCCTTTGGTGGTCACCTTTAAAAATTGTTCAAAGAATTTAATTCCATGAAGAACTCTGGTTGCCATGGCAACCCAAAGAAAAAAATTTAAATTTCTTCTTTTAAAAAACCATAAGAGCTAGAGCTTAGATATTTGGCATGAAACATCTTCTAGTGAGTGTCTACCAAGTTTGTTCAAATAAAAGCCCTGGGGTCAAAATTGGCCCCGCCCCGGGGGGTCATAGATTTTCCCTATATGCATATAGTAAAAACTTAAAAAAATCTTCTTTTAAAGAACCCAAAGAGCTAGAGCTAAGATATGTAGCATGAAACATGTTCTAATGGGTGTCTACCAAGTTTGTTCAAATAAAAGCCCTGGGTTTCAAAATTGGCCCCGCCCCGGGGGGTCATTGATTTTCCCTATATGCATATAGTAAAAACTTAAAAAATCTTCTTTTAAAGAACTCAAAGAGCTATGGCTTAGATATTGAGCATCAAACATTTTAATAGGTGTCTACCAAGTTTGTTCAAATAAAAGCCCTGGGGTCAAAATTGGCCCCGCCCCAGGGGGTCATTGATTTTCCCTATATGCATATAGTAAAAACTTAAAAAATCTTCTTTTAAAGAACCAAAAGAGTTAGAGCTAAGATATTTAGCATGAAACATGTTCTAATAAGTGTCTACCAAGTTTGTTCAAATAAAAGCCCTGGGGTCAAAATTGGCCCCGCCCCGGGGGGTCATTGATTTTCCCTATATGCATATAGTAAAAACTAAAAAAATCTTCTTTTAAAGAACCCAAAGAGCTAGAGCTAAGATATTTAGCATGAAACATGTTCTAATGGGTGTCTACCAAGTTTGTTCAAATAAAAGCCCTGGGGTCAAAATTGGCCCCGCCCCAAGGGGTCATTGACTTTTCCCTATATGCATATAGTAAAAACTTAAAAAATCTTCTTTTAAAGAACCAAAAGAGTTAGAGCTAAGATATTTAGCATGAAACATGTTCTAATAAGTGTTTACCAAGTTTGTTAAAATAAAAGCCCTGGGGTCAAAATTGGTCCCGCCCCGGGGGGTTATTGATTTTCCCTATATGCATATAGTAAAAACTTAAAAAATCTTCTTTTAAAGAACCCAAAGAGCTAGAGCTAGGATATTTAGCATGAAACATGTTCTAATGGGTGTCTACCAAGTTTGTTCAAATAAAAGCCCTGGGGTCAAAATTGGCCCCGCCCCAGGGGGTCATTGATTTTCCCTATATGCATATAGTAAAAACTTAAAAAATCTTCTTTTAAAGAACCAAAGGAGTTAGAGCTAAGATATTTAGCATGAAACATGTTCTAATAAGTGTCTACCAAGTTTGTTCAAATAAAAGCCCTGGGGTCAAAATTGGCCCCGCCCCGGGGGGTCATTGATTTTCCCTATATGCATATAGTAAAAACTTAAAAAATCTTCTTTTAAAGAACTCAAAGAGCTATGGCTAAGATATTTAGCATCAAACATGTTCTAATAGGTGTCTACCAAGTTTGTTCAAATAAAAGCCCTGGGGTCAAAATTGGCACCGCCCCGGGGGTCATTGATTTTCCTTATATGTGTATAGCAAAAACTTAAAAAATCTTCTTTGAAAAAACCCAAATAGCTAGAGTTTAGATATTAAGCATGAAACATCTTCTAGTAAGTGTCTACAAATTTTGCTCAAATAAAAGCCCTGGGGTCAAAACTGGCCCGGCCCCAGGGGTGTCATTGTTTTTAACTATATGTGTATAGTAAAAACTTAAAAAAAATCTTCTTTTAAAAAGCCCAATGAGCTAGAGCTTAGATGTTTAGCATGAAACATCTTCTTATGGGTGTTTACCATGTTTGTGCAAATAAAAGCCCTTGGGTAAAATTGGCCCTGCAACGTTGGGGGGGGGGGGGGGGTTGGGGGGCCTATATACAGGTGAGCCGACCTCAGGGCCATCATGGCCCTCTTGTTTATTTAACATATCAACATATTATCTATAATCAATGTTTAGCAAAATAAACATCTTTATGCAGATTTATAACTGAGAATTCACAATTCATATACACTATCCTATTAATAATCATTTTGCCAGGGAAATTTCATTATATTTATGGCAAAAACACTTAAAAGTTTTTTATATCAAAATGTAATAAGTTAGCAAGTATGAGTTGTATTTTATATGATATTTAGATTAATAATTGTCTTTATCTTACATATTTATCACATTTACAACAGATTCCGAAAAGACCAGGGTTTTGAGGAAGAAATGTCCAGGGCCAGTATAACATATTTATACAGACCATTATTAAATGGCATTACAGGTTAAACACAAGAAATGACCTTTAAATAAATACATTAATTGCCTCATTAAATTGCTCAAAAAAAACTTGATCTATATGTTTATAGCTTTTTGAAAAAATGGTGGAATTGAGCTATGCAGAGTTGGTTTAGGGCCATTTACCCCCAAACCCCCACAAGTTAGCCAACTTTTGAACACCTCTGCAAAAATGGTTTTTGAATTATAGATAAAAATTACTACTGCCCTTAATCAAGAGACAATAACAATGGAATGAGATATAAATAAAGTGAATTATATGTTTTAAATATGTAGTATGATATTAAAAAAAATGTATATGTGAATATGAAGAAGCCATTTATGATGATTAATGTTATATAGGAAACTTAATCCTTGCTAATAAGAGCCTGGATCCCTGCTGGGCTTCCTGTCATAACACTCTTAGCAGGCACAGACACTGTGTGTATGGTGGCTATTAGCTGCAATTAGCTGTGATTCAGATAATATATATTATTGCATAACTCTGGGTCAGAATTGACTCAGATTGTATGATCCTGAATTTCTTAAGTTAGTTTAGTTTATTGGTTTAAACAATATTTATTTGTAATCTTCATTTATGTTATGAAGTACATAAAATAAATTTTACGGATTGAGTTGGAAGCTTAAAAAGGTTAAGCTTTTTTTTAAAATTCCTTTAAGGAGAGTTTTCAATTTGAAATGAAAAGTTCCTTGAACTTTTGTCTTTCGTTTTTTACTGACAAGTGGATGAGTACTTAATGCTTAATGTCAAAGAGACCATCACTTGAATATGGACTATTGATGATCTACAATGCAGTCTTTGTTAAGGGCTTACGCATATTAAATCAGATAGCTGGATATTAAGGCTTTCACAGGGGAGCAATACATAGTCTTTCTTTTAGACTCAAAAGTCTTAATTTAGATACAAGGCAAAATCCGCAATGAGCGTACTGTAGTAATAGTGGAAGAATTTATTTGAAGCTCCTTCAAGTCCCATTTCATTCCTGATAATTTTATTATTGAAATGATGGGATGAACGATTTTGATCAAAAGATATGTTTTAAGTTTAGTTAAAAGGTTATCTGCTTTGTTTATAACTTTTCAGTGGTACATGTAGAACAGACACTGCAAATTATAACTTCAAATAATTTCAGACAATAATTGAATTACCAGATCATTTTAGAAGTTACTTTTGGTGCTGAATTTCTGTCATTAAACATGACAATATGATTTTAAAATTTTTAAACTCATTTAAAATGGTATATTAGCTTCTGCTGAAAATCTTTTGTATAAAGGTTTTGATATTTTTATTTTATTAAAAAAATGTTCAGAAATACAATTTTATGTATTTATTAAGTGCCAAGTGTTTCTTTTTTATGTTTTTTTTAATTTTTTTATTCGAAAATGAGAAATCTGGATTTTGAAGGTGTTGGAAACATTCCCAATGTGTTGAAAGAAAACTTGTAAATTTTCATTAATTAACTGTTGTTTTTTGCAGCTTACATGTATGTTTGTATATAGATTTGTTTTCATTTACCTGTAGGTGAGAATCTTCACTGTGCACCATTGTTTAGACCCTATAAATCACGAGTATTGGCCAATTATCCAGATTCTTTGCCATGGAACCCTATAGACAAAGACGCCATTGGAATGGTAATGAAAATAAACATCTTCTAAGCTTTAACTTTAAGCATTCATAATGAGCCGCATCATGACAAAACCAACATACGGTAGTGCGTTTGCAACCAGCATGGATCCAGACCAGCCTGCGCATCTGCGCAGTCTAATCAGGATCCATGCTGTTTGCTTACAAACCCTATTACAAGTAGAGAAACTGATAGCGAACAGCATGGATCCTGATTAGACTGCGTGGATGCGCAGGCTGGTCTGGATCCATGCTGGTCGTCAACCTGGTTACACGACTTACGACTCCAGTAAGTCGTGTAACCCCGCAAACCCATTACGTTTGTTTTGTCGTGACACGGCTCATATCAGTAACTTCCTGTTAGTATAGCTACAGTTGATGGTTGATTTTATGTCTAGAATATTTGACACAAGTTCTTTATTAGTTATAAACAAATATCTTGTAAACAAATTTGAAATACAATGTAGCTATATTTAGTTAAGTAAGTGCAAATAGGGATGTTATTGTATGAGGCCTACAGTTAAAGTGGTTCACTTTTCTTTTTTCTTCCTTGTTTGCCTCAAAATAAATAATACAGTCAACATATGAATGTATTATACAGTAAACAAGTAAACAAAACTTAAATATATTCAACACTGTCACACCATATTGATTTTAATAAATTTAGGAAAGTATAAATTTTTATTCTAAAGAGCAACATTTTCAAATCCTCAATATGGAAAATACACAATCATATTTTAATGTTAAAAATGTAAGAAAAATTCAAAATTACACAAGGACATTTATAGAAGCTAAATTTTTATCAATGCCTGCTTAAGAATTGATTTGCACCAACAAAATAGGCACAAGTTGCTTAGAAAATAATCTGAAGGGTATTCTTTTCCTGAAATCAAAATTTGAATAGCTTAATAATTATTTTTTCTTCCAGCTGTGCTTGCCGAAAGGTTTAACGTTTCGGACCGAGAGACAGTCGAGAAAAGCAAAGTTTCACTCATTCATTATAACGAGAGAAGATGGTTCTAGATTGTACGGATCTTCCTATATATTCTACGAGGAGGTCACCAATGCCCAGATCTGTGCGGCCATGCAAACATTACAGCATATGCACGAGGCCGAGGTTTCCAACATACATACTCAGAATGTAGTGTCAATACAAGAACCTCTGCGAGATCAAAGTCCACTGTTGGAATATCGAATCATTAACCCTGACGATACTTACGACATCAAAATTGATAAGTTATACGTAACTAAAAGCATATGTCTTATATCACAAGTTCAGTTTGTTTCGGCACCGAGGACTTTTCTAAAACAACTTTGCGATGCGGTTACAAAGCCGATCAGTTTTCAACAGCCGTTGGAGGCGTATGTGTACAATCTACTTTACGATGTGCCGTTACCTCCCCCTGGCAGGAGCATGAAGTTTTACGGAGTAACCTCCCCTATATTTTGTCAGAGACCAAGTAAGTTAAAATAAAATATTGTTTTTTTTTCTTTGAGATTTTGATTTGAACTATGTTACATGTAAAATTTGCATATTATTATTATAGTATATATATGACAGAACAAAGTATTTCATGATTATCTCCAAAATATGAGATTGAACTTTAATGGGATTATGCCCATTCTAAATCAAGTGGTTGATAAAAATGAAGTCTTTAAGAAGTAACCTTTCTACATTTTTGATAAGGTCAGTGGATAAAAAAACATAGTATGTATTCTAGAATATATAGAGGTACACATATTTTTATAAAATTCACTTTATCATGAAAAGTTTTATGTTCAGTATGCTGTATAAAACATGTTGTTGTTTACAGTGGCATGGGATAATACAAAAGGTTTGTTTCCATAAGGGTAGTTTATCTATACTTTAGTTTAGATCAATATAGCTTTGGTGTACAGGACTGTTCTTTTAACTCTTTCACCCTTTTTACTACGCTACAAGACACCTGGTGATGGGGCGCTACAAGACACCTGGTGATGGGGCGGGCTTTACAGTATAGATATGGTACATTTAGTAAATTATGGAGCTATATAATATTATATATTATACTATTTTAGCGGTTAGTTGTAGTATTTTATACTTTTTGTTCAACAAATGCTTCTTTTTCAGCCAGTTTAAGTACTAAAATTAGGTCTCTTTTTCCCATTTACATAACAACAAAAAGCAAAAAAAAAAAAGCACAAATATATTTTAACTTTTAAGATAATCTTGCAGTACTTGAGTTGGGTCATGACCATGTTTATTAATCGAACCTTATGTAATGACATCAGTACTGGTTAGACGCTGGAAGCATAATGGGTAGTCTGAGTGGTCAAAGTGCATGTAAGCTTTAAGCTTTAATCACAAAGTAGTTAATTGCTAATTAAACTAAAAGATACATGTGCAATGTACTATGTTTATGATTATATTTCCTTATATTGAAGATTATAACAAGTTTTCCCTTAAGGCTTTCTAAAAGGAATCAGCTACCATTTCCTCAAATCTGGAGGAGATAAAATCCTAAAAAGAAAAAAAAAATAACCCGACTAGCTCTTTACAGTGTTATTACATGTATTAGATATGTTAAGTTTCCTGATCTATGTCAATTGTAAAAATATAATATACTGAAAGTATATCAAAGTCTTTGATCTTAATACATGTTTGGCAACGTTGAATGTGAAAATGATTTTTGTAAAGGTCATGAGGATGATCTATTTTTTTATCTTGGGCCATTAAAGGGATCTGTTTCCAGGCCTCCTACCTGCCAAACCTGAACTTTATATAAAATTGCCTTTCTGCTTTTTCAAAATCTTCCTTTCATTTTTGTCTTAATTCAATGTATCAAATTATATATGAAATATGTGTATAAAAATTAATTCATTACCCAGAGCGAGGATAAAAGATTTTGGCCTTGCCTAAATGAAGAAAAGATTTTTGACCTTGCCTTGCCTAAAAAAACATCTACATTAGGATGATGGAGAAAAACAATCTCATCATTTCCTTAAAAAACTTGTATAGAAAAACTTTTTAATTCATAAGTATTTCCTTCTTTACATATGAGTTATTTAATTTAAGGGACTCCACTGAGAATTTTTGACATGTCATCGTCATAGGACGGGACCTTTTTTTGACATTTGAGCTGTGTCATGATAAAACCAACACAATGGGTTTTTCGACCAGCATGGATCCAGACCAGCCTGCGCATCCGCACAGTCTGATCAGGATCCATGCTGTTCGCTTACAAACCCTATAAGTTATAACAAGTAGAGAAACTGATAGCGAACAGCATGGATCCTGATCAGACTGCGCGGATGGGCAGGCTGGTCTGGATCCACACTGGTCGCAAACCCATTATGTTGGTTTTGTCGTGACACGGCTCATTTCAATAACTTGTGCAAAATGTTGGGTCATTCTCTTACTCTGTTTGTCAACAATAGTCATTTTTTATGGAGCAATATGACATAAAAAAATGAATGCAAGTTAAATACTTTTAACTGAAACTGGGTTAAGAATTGCAATAAAAATCAGTTTGATTCTCTGATTACAATATTTTTTATATTTTCAGTTTTTAATTACCAAGTTGATCTATGTTAGATTTACAAATTCTATATTTTTAGTCTTTCAGACCTAAGAGAAGCTCCTTTAAATTAACTGATAAAAAAATATATATTTTTTTTTTTACATATCAAAGGTTTAAGGCGAAACAGAATTTCATATCAGTTACTGCAGTTTTGAAGTCAATCCTCAGTGTAATTGTATATAATACATTATACTCAATTTTCTTACAAAACAGTTTTTTTTCTACTTCAAGAATCACTTAAAGTTATTTTGGTTATTACTCTCCTTACTGCAAGATAGATTAATTCCTTTATAAGTAGAGTTTGAGTGGTACTAGGGGCAAGTATATTGTGATAAACACCAGTTTAAATAAGACTTGAAATTGACACACTTCACATTAGGATGCTTTTAAGATGACTATGTAACCAAGATATGTAGAAATGCGCCTCATATAAAACTATATCAGTTATTATTATTATTATTATGTATTTAGTATGGTCTTATTAGTTGGTTTAAGGGGCACAAGATTAGATAGTGACTATGTAAATATATACTGTTACGATATTAGCTCTGCCGCTTTGCAAAATATAAACAATGATAAATGAACTGTAACACAGCTTATAACATCACCGTTGCTACTACACAACATCACTGTAGCTAGTAACTAGTTACTGCATCAGTCTTACTAGATCATCTCATTAAATTAACCCTTAGCTTAGCTTGCTATTGGTGACTGAATACACCCCCATGGGACCAGTGCAGTCCTGTCCAGGTCTACACTGTTCATTATTCATTCAGTACATATTCCATTGTAGAATTTGGCACATTGTGAAGTTGAACACCTGCTAAGAAATTGGTTTCATTCTTCAACCATTTATTGTGAAGGAATACGCTCACTTCGATAAATACGTATTTCAAATCATTAAGCTACAAATAATTCAAGTGAGCATTAGCAGTGTAAGAAATTTGGATTTGAATCCACTAGGCTGGTCGGACTACCAGATTGTAATATTCACTAGCCCAAAAGACATTTCACTAGCACGATTCATTTTTCAAAACAGTTGTTTATATATTGCCTCTGAAAATACAGTAGCCTGTTCGGGCTTGTTTAAAAGTTGTTACTGTGAAAAGTTGTTAGCCCAAGGAAAAAGTTAGAAGTCAGGGGCTATCGGACTACTGCTAATTTCGAACACTGCATAAGGGGCTGGACAAGCACTAGATAATATATTTTCTGATCAAATTTTATCAAGATAATTAAAAAAGATCAAAATGATCCAAAAAACTGTTTTGTTCGCCAAATTTTTATTATTATCCTAAGTAATGGATGATACAGCTGTATTGCATTTGATCCTAAAACATTAGGGGGTCTTTTTTATGAAAAAAGGCAGGAAAATTGCCAGTTGTCAAAAGATACTATGACAATGGTACATAAACTTATAAAGCTATAAATTGTACGAAACTAAGTTAATAAAAAAAAGAGTATGTAAATGCTATACTGTTAGTGTACTTTGTAGTTTGTAGAGATGTTTTGATCTGTATCATCCATCACTATGACATTTATATTACTATTATTATGACTATACACAGAGCTCTGACATGTACAATTATGCAAATGATGAAGAAACTTGGGTCATATGAGAATTATTAATGACTATATTGAACTTTATGTTAAAGTTTAAAAAAACAACAACAGCATTGTAATATAGTTTTCTGTATGAAATTTGTATTTTGTTTGTTATTTAGGTTGGTTTAACATGTATAATTATGTGTACATCTATAGAGATAATAAAGGATTCAGAGGAAAATATAAATATGAGCCTATACACAAATGAACAAATTATGAATTATTTTCCCTAAAAACTGCCAGGTTTGGTGGATAGTTTAAAAATTGACAATTAGCTTTAGTAAAACCCTTAACATTTTAAAAATTTTTTGACTTTTAAAAAAGGAGGGGAAGAAATTTTTTTTTTGTCCTACAAAATTTTTTAATGTTACAAAATGTATCTTATTTTAATTTCATTTTAAAAAAGGCAAACCCTTTATGAAAATTTATTGGGGCTTTTTGAAATTTGAAAACCTTTTTTGTTTTTTTTTTAAATTTGGAGGTTTCTTTTAAATTTTTTAAACTTTTTTCGGGTTTTAGGGTGCTATTTTTAAATTAAAAACATCCTTTTATAAAAATTTTATTGTTTTTTTTGTTGGTGAAACTTTTTTTTAGGTAGGGGGTTTTTAAAATTTTTTTAAAGTTCAAGAGTAGTTTTTTTTTGGTTTTTTATGTACTTTTATTGATATTAGTCTAGGTCTGTGTTTAATGAATGGCCATTTTATGTGCGACTGTTGTATATATTACTTAAAGGAACTCCACTGAGGTCCAAAAGCCTATAAACATAAAATTTGAATTTTTTACATAAATGTGTTGGGATGCACAAGATATTAAAAGATAATAAAGAAATGATACTGATTCAGAAATAAATTTAAAATTCTAAGCCCAATTTGAATGAAAAACAATGTAACATATTTCAAGTTTAGGTTATTTATCACAGAATAACTATGTTGGAAAACAGAGTGAGCGAATTGATCTGAAATTTTGCACAAAATTTTGAAAATTACTGATCAAAACCTACAACAAATGGAACATTTATCTTGAAAAATTATTTTTAATCCTATCATGTCTTAAAACCTTAGTGGAGTCCCTGAAAGAACTGACTATGGTGCAGAGACCTTAACTTTGTCACAAACTTGGTGACATTTAAAGTGATATTATGAAATATAAACATACATACAATCAGTTTGTTTGTCAGTCAGGTAAAATAGATATAGACTATAGTCAGATAATACAGTCAGGTTGTGGGTTACATTCAAGTAATACCCCGGTCACATATTCACGGAATACGCCCACGGAAGAGCCACGGAATAATTCCGGCATCATCCGTAGCTACCCGTACCAGTCAGTAGCTCTTCCGTATTGTAACCGTAATCAATCGTTAGTAGTCCTTTGTATATCCGTTAGCGATTCCTTGACAATTTTTGAACATGCCACAAAAATTTGCTTACGGAAAAATCAACCGTTAGCGTAATCCCTGCTAGTCACGTTATGTAACCATTAATGATTACGTACTGGTCCGTACGGAAACCGTACTAGTCCGTACTGATTTCGTAGCCCAAACTTGTTAAGGATTTCCATGGTTTTTGGGTACGGGAAAAACTACGGTATTTTGTTGGTTTAACCTACGTTTAAAAAGTACGGTTTTAAATACGGATTAATACGGCTTGTACGGAAAAAGCCACGATCGTAATTTACGTTGTACTACGGAAAGAGACAGGGATTAGCACGGTCTTATACGGTTTATTGCGGTGCAACACGAAACGGACGGAAATTGGTACAGTCCACACTGTTTTAAGTTTTTAATGGGAATTAAGTTCATTTGTTCCCTTTTTCCAAGGGTAAAATACTTACCTTTCTTTGTTAAAAACAGAACACTATTCAATAAATGAAATTGCCATTTACTGGCTGCAACTTTATATTGAAATGGGCTCAAATGCGGGTAGTGGTTTCCGGTGTTGGATGGCATGCACCAGAGGTAAAATTATTAATACGTATACAATTTATTTAGAATAGAATAACATTTTAATGTTTATTATTACAAACATTTGGATCGTTGATATTGGAGTTTAAATATGTACAATAAAACGAAGTGTCTCATAAGCCTCTGACGCTGGCCCTTGAGTGATAATAAAATTAATTAACAATCTTTTTACATATTTTTTTAAACATAAACATTCACGATAATTAATGTAATTTCTAAAATAAACAGCAAACTTTTTAAATTAAAAGGAGAAGGAAGCAGTATAGATCAACATTTTTTCATTTAATGATTACTAGTCAATATGTAATCAGGTAAGAGAAGAACAGAGGAGATGGTGGACTAGAAATGGGCTTTTCCGAAGACCCCTTCATGTTTAGTATGAGGCTCTCATGGCCAAACTTGTTGAGGATCCTGCGTCCTTCAAGAAAATTTCACTTTATTCGGATCTTGATGTGTCTCGGGGGGTCGGACGCGATTAGGCCGAATCCCTCTTCGACAAAATCATTTGAATCTGCAAATTCGTTTTCTTAGGTGTTTTTTCTTGTGAGGCATTTTGAAAATGAGCATGCAAGAGGTTGTGGACGGATGTATTAGGTCCGTATAGATCCGTGGCAATTCGTTCTTCTCCCGTATCAGACCGTACTTATTCGTACTAACCCGTGCTTATACCGTAGCAGACCGTAGTGTATCCGTAGTGCGTCCGTCCTGATTCGTGTCATTCCGTATCAAACCGTGATTGTCTGTTACAATCCGTGTCTCTCCGGGTGCTTTTGGTGGAAAATCCGTCGGACTCCGTACTCATACCCGTTGTGTGTCCGTACTGGAACCTTACATTTCACATTTCCGTAGTAATCCGTGAACGATTAGACCGTAGCTCTTCCGTGGCATTATCCGTGAATATGTGACCGGGGCTTAACATATCAGGTTTTTGGTGATATTCATGATGACATACAAATAACAAAGACATAAAATATAGTCAGAGAATACAGTTTGGTTCTTGGTGACATTCAAGTAACATAGGCAAAACAAGTAGAAAGAAATACGATCAGGTTTCATAAAAGACTTAGTACTGGTAGACAGAAAGCAATACCTTGCGATTTAAAAGTATTCAAATTTTAAAGATAGTTTGTTTTGAAATAACAAATTTAAGAAACTATTGCTTTTGTTAAGTTTTCATTGAAGTCCTATTTCTAATATCAGGAGTATGCAAAACTGTTTTGAATTTTTTTTTTATTTCATTAAGTGGATGTACAAGATCAAGGTTACAAAGGCTAAAAATAGATTTCCTACATTTCTTAATAGCAATGCCATGCTTTAAGCTAAAAATTGTCAATGCAACTACAGGGAACATCAAGTGGTGTTTTTTAACAGTATTAAGATTTGAAAGTGATTATGATTATGTATCTGTAAATTTATAGATTATCAGGAAAAAAGGAAACAATATAAATGACCATGAAATGTAAAAATTTGAGCCGCGTCACGACAAAACCAACATAGTGGGTTTGCGACCAGCATGGATCCAGACCAGCCTGTGCATCCGTGCAGTCTGATCAGGATCCATGCTGTTTGCTTACAAACCCTATAACAAGTAGGGAAAGTGATAGCGAACAGCATGGATCCTGATCAGACTGCACGAATGCGCAGGCTTGTCTGGATCCATGCTGGTCGCAAACCCATAATAATGGTTTTGCACGGCTCAAATGTTGTTTTGTATATTTCAGGCACCGGTGAGTTACCATTGTTTGATTTCTCACTTTGGGATCTGGTTCGGTTATTAGGTCTGGATCATCTGGTGCAACTGTTCGCCAGCGTTCTACTTGAGCACCAGATACTCCTTTACTCATCAGGTACTATTTTGTTTTTGTTCGTTAACTGCAATAAATTTATATACTTGATTTATACTGCCTTGAATTAAGAACATGTCATTTGTAGTTCAACAGATTTTGATGTCTTATGGGTAATTATGTGAGGGGAGCTATGGCCTAGTGGTTAAGATGTCTGACTCTCAACCCAGAGTTCATGGGTTCGAGCCCTACTTGGGTTACGACCATGTTTCTTCATATGACACCAGAACTGGTTGGTTCTAGGAAGCGGACTCAAAAGTGATTGATCAGAGCTACAGATAAGCAGCGTATCTGCATAATTACCCAATAATTTTGACCAATTTACCCAAATAAAATAAAATCTTCGCGTAATAAAAAAGCGAAACAAAAGCTCAGTGCCCAATTTGTTTTGTTTCTTAAGTGTACTTTCAATATCTTGGACCGTTATTCACCTGGCAAACACTATAAATCAATATGTTTAAACCAATTATGAGAATGAGTAGGCATGGACTTCATATTCTATTGTTCTATCTACATGTAGTTAACCTATAACCTTTTGAAACCAGAAGTTATTAGCCTTTGCCACTAGTATAGAACCAGGCCAGCCTGCATATTTGTACAGACTGACCATGCTCTATGCTGCTGGCTGACCGAAATTTTCATCTTAAACTTTACATCACCAAAATTGAGAATGGATAGTCCCAAAATCAATGCCAGGCAGGACTTAGTCCCGGACAGAAAGTTACTGTCCATTTGCTTAATACATGTACAGTTGGTTAAAGAAAATCATGTTTTGAATCTTAACCAATATGCCATATTTTTAACCAGGTTTTCAACGAAAACCGGGTTATTGTATATGCCGAAGTCGGCGGGCGGGCGGGCGGGCGGGCAGGCGTCAACTTTTGGTTTCCGCTCAATAACTTGAGTTTGCTTTGACCTATTGACACCAAAACTTGGTGTGTAGGTAGCTTATATCAAGAGGCAGCTTGGGATTGCTATCCAGGTGTCTGTGATCAAGGTCACTGTTACTAAAAATAGAAATTCAGTTTCCGCTCAATAACTTGAGTTTGCTTTGGCCTATTGACACCAAACTTGGTGTACGTATAGCTTATATCAAGAGGCAGCTTGGGATTGCTACCCAGGTGTCTGTGATCAAGGTCACGGTCACTGTTACTAAAAATAGAAATTCAGTTTCCGCTCAATAACTTGAGTTTGCTTTGACCTATTGACACCAAACTTGGTGTATGGATAGCTTATATCAAGACGCAGCTTGGGATTGCTACCCAGGTGTCTGTGATCAAGGTCAAGGTCACTGTTACTTAAAATAGAAATACAGTTTCTGCTCAATAACTTGAGTTTGCTTTGACCTATTGACACCAAACTTGATGTATGGATAGCTTATATCAAGACGAAGCTTGGGATTGCTACCCAGATGTCTGTGATCAAGGTCAAGGTCACTGTTACTAAAAATAGAAATTCAGTTTCCGCTCCATAACTTGAGTTTGCTTTGGCCTATTGACACCAAACTTGGTGTATGGATAGCTTATATCAAGAGGCAGCTTGGGATTGCTACCCAGGTGTCTGTGACCAAGGTCAAGGTCACTGTTACTAAAAATAGAAATTCAGTTTCCGCTCAATAACTTGAGTTTGCTTTGACCTATTGACACCAAACTTGGTGTATGGATACCTTATATCAAGAGGCAGCTTGGGATTGCTACCCAGATGTCTGTGATCAAGGTCAAGGTCACTGTTACTAAAAATAGAAATTCAGTTTCTGCTCAATAACTTGAGTTTGCTTTGACCTATTGACACCAAACTTGGTGTATGGATAGCTTATATCAAGAGGCAGCTTGGGATTGCTACCCAGATGTCTGTGATCAAGGTCAAGGTCACTGTTACTAAAAATAGAAATACAGTTTCTGCTCAATAACTTGAGTTTGCTTTGGCCTATTGACACCAAACTTGATGAATGGGTAGCTTATATCAAGGGGTAGCTTGGGATTGCTACCCAGGTGTCTGTGATCAAGGTCAAGGTCACTGTTACTGAAAATAGAAATTCAGTTTCCGCTCAATAACTTGAGTTTGCTTTGGCCTATTGACACCAAACTTGGTGTTTTGGTAGCTTATATTAAGAGGCAGCTTGGGATTGCTACCCAGGTGTCTGTGATTAAGGTCAAGGTCACTGTTACTAAAAATAGAAATTCAGTTTCCGCTCAATAACTTGAGTTTGCTTTGGCCTATTGACACCAAACTTTATGAATGGGTAGCTTATATCAAGAGGCAGCTTGGGATTGCTACCCAGGTGTCTGTGATCAAGGTTAATGTATTTAGTTTTCATGTTATAACTTGAGTTTGCTTTGACCTTTTGACACCAAAATTGCTGAGTGGCAGCTTTGGATTGCCACTTAGATATCTGGGAGCAAGTTCAAGGTCATTTGCTTACAATAGAATTTTCAGCTTCTACTCAATAACTTAAGTGCACTTTGACCTATTGATTTCTGTCACATCAAAACATGGTCGTTGAAAACCTGGTTTTCGTCGCATTGCGGCGCTTCTTGTTATCATAAATGTTTTGATTGTTTACAGATTACCATCGTTTGATGTTGGTGGCAGAGAGTATAAATGAGCTGATATTCCCGTTCACATGGCAACATGTGTATGTTCCAATCTTGCCAGCATCGTTACAACATTTTCTGGACGCGCCTGTACCGTATATAATGGGCTTACATCATGCGGAGGAAGATACCTCTAAGCCACAACTTCCTAATGAAGTATGAATGTTTGTGTAGTGTCATTAGCAAGTATTTATTTACTCCCTAAAATTATGTAGGGGAGCAAATTATTAGCACTTTTGTCCGTATGTCACATTCAACTTTTTCCCTCATAGCACCTTCACTTTTTGACTGATGCCATAGATAATTATTTGATTAGCAGATAATGTTAAAAAACATCTTGTTTTTTGTGACTTTAGGTTTACGTCAAGGTCATTTAGGCTAAAAATAGAAAAATATTTACTTTCACTTATTAGAGGCTGTATTTTGTGAAAGCATCCATGGGTTTTGCTGATATTTCTGTTTGTCATCAACTCTGTATGTTTTATGATAAAATATTATAGGCTTACAAAATACTTTCGTCATAACATTTAGCGAGTTAGGATTCCTACTAACATCTAAACAGCATAGCAATTGCTGTTTCACAGAACATAAGATCATGTTTGTCTAAGTGACTGGAAGACTATGTGTACTTGTTTTTTGGATAATGTTAACAGTTTCCTAAAATTTGAGGCAGTTTTTAAATGGGCCTAGTGATTTGAACATGTTGAAGAGTAGTGACATGATTTTTTTTTTTCAGAACTCAAAATGCATCAATAATGGTTATGTGCATTGAAATAATCATATAAAATTTATTTTCAAAAAAGCAACTTTGCCTAAATAGAATCTGTAAAAATTTAAAATTGGAAACGAAAAGTGTCATGTTTGGATTTTAATTGACATGAAATAAGAAACAAACAAACAAAATTGCCCTGTTTAGAAATTATTTTGTGTTCAGATAAACTTTTCTATATTCTTATTTTAGTCAATATGTGTTTAAACAGCATTTTAATTGTTTCTTTTTCAGGCAAACTTGTGTTTTGTTGATATTGACAACAACAGCGTACAAGTGCCTGAAGATCTGCCCTCATTTCCCTTTGAGCAGGAGTTGAAAGAAGAACTTTATCAGGCTATTGTTAGTAGTAAAGAACGAATGCTTAAAGAGACATTCATTGACAGTGTGATTTCTAGTCCTAAACGGAAACCTCTTAGTAATAAATTTACTAGTGTTGCGTCTGAACCGGTTCTGAAAAAGGCGCAGAGTTCGCCTGGTCTCGAAAAAATGGAAATCTTACAGCAGAGTGAAGCGTGGTCAAAGATATCGGCAATAGCGAAGAAAACTGGAGTTTGGAATAAAGATTTTCAGAATTACGATTCAGAACAAACAACGAAGATTGCCAAAGAGGAGACGACGAAAGAGAAGTTTCAGGACTTGGCATCGATGCCAAGTCGAGAATTAGAAGAATTAAAGTTTAATAACTCGATTCGAGAAATATTTTTAAACAGATTTGTACAGATGTTTTGTTGGTATGAAGAATTTGTGATACTAAATTCACAGGATATGGACTCTTGGTTGAGTAACCGTGAGTCGATGCAGAATTTTGATAAAGCGTCTTTCCTCAGTGATCAACCTGAAACTTACTTGCCTTTTCTTAGTCCGTTTCTAGAGACACAGATGTTTGCTACCTTAATTGATAATAAGATCCTGTCCAATTGGGAAGAGTCGGAGTTAAATCTGAAAGTGTTTCATAGCCGCGTAAAGTCACTGCGAGAAGGTTTAGATATTTCTGCGCCTAGATCTCATATCTATGTTCATTGCTCAAGAATAAAAGACTCTGGTAAGCGAACATGTTGAAAATTTGTTCTTGTAATTTTCTTTTCTTTCTTAGCCATTAGATTGTCAATCTTTATGTCTTTTGTCAAGTGTGAAATAGCATTTTTATAACTTATTAATCTATTTTTGCTTTGTAAAATCTATAAAATGTACACATAATGGGATATCAATGAAATTACAATTTACTAAATGATCAAAGCGGATGAAAAATTTCATTGTTATTGCATTTTAATTTTACAGGTGAGTCAGCTAACATTGGAATAGATATCTGTCCAGAAACTATACTGTACAGTTCTGTATTTCATCATATTGATGTATCAGGGCCAGATTAACAATGGTCCAATATTTACAATAGGGGCAGATTAACAATGGACAGCCCTATATCTTTTACAACAAGGACAGGTAAACATTTGACAGCCCAATATCTTTCACAACAGGGGAAAATAAACATTCAACAGTCTAATATTTACAGGAGGGCATATTAACAATGGCCAGTCCAATATAATGTATCATAGGATTATAATCATACAATTTCAGTTAATGAATTTTTTGTTGGTATTTTCAGAGATTCTGATAGAGAAAAGATCCTCATACATAGATCATATAGCCAAGAAACCACAGTTGCCAGAGGGGAGTCCTGATCCACCAAATATTGAGCTTGGTTTCTTCCCAATACTAGACAAAAATATACTCAACTCAGAAGCCAATTTAAAGTATGTAACATAATGTTGTTTTAATAATCATAATATCAGTGTTAATTCTTAAAATTAAAGTGGATTTTGCCAGGAACTTCTGATTCTTAAATTTTAGGATGCTGTCCAGCTGGCATATGAAAAGTTGGTGGTTCTACTCAGGTTCTCAATTGTGTTTAAAATATGGCAGTGAAGTTGAAAAGTCACCATGTGACATGTATTATATTGGTGTGACTGAAAAAAAGGGAAATTAAAACTAGATGAATAAAGTTTTATTTTTGATATATATAAAATATGAAGAAAAAATGAAGAAACAGATAACCTAGGTGAGTTGTGAATTTCCTTATTATGTGAACAAAAAAATAATTATTGTGCTAATATCAAAAAGTATCTATAATCTGACATGAATTGCAAAAGATATTCATATGTATGTATTTATCATGAGCATGTGATGCAATATCAACGACTCTCAAAATGGTGACGAGGGGAGGAAATACATGTTAAGAGAAAAGCATCGATACTCTTTCAACATGTACTCTTAGCCCACTTCCCGCAACTTAATCTAGCCAAGTGAGGGTAAGGGTTAGGGCTAGACTAGACGTTTAAAGCAAAATTATTTATTTTAGGCCAAAGATGAAAGACAGTGCCAAATGGAGAAGAAAGGACCGACTATTACAACAGTCGGAACATTTGAAGCTCAACTCACGACAAAGAGAGGTGAGAGTCTTGACGTTTGCCAGTAAACGTTGTGTATTATGTATCGTGTGGTCATAATGTGCTATGGATGTATCGTTGGCGTATTTGAGTGACACAGGGCTTTAGTTTAGAATAACCTTTGGTTCGGTAGATTTTTTTAATGAAAATTCAGAAGAAAGGCAGCTGTCTTTTGTTGTTTTGATATTAATTTGTGGTCAGAAATTTTCCCTTCCAATTTTTGGTTGTATGATCTTGTTATTTTTAAAAAATAAAAACATTTACATTGATAAATTTAACAAAAAGTTCAGAATTAAAAAGTCAGCAGTGTAGGAAAACAGCTATTGAGAACATGAAGTTAGTGCAAATTTATTATTACTATTTATTTGCCGTATATTTGTTTTATCAATATTTGACATTAAAATTTATTCTCTAAAAGTTAATAAAACATTATAGCAGTTAAAATTTAAAGTACATTTTAGTTTTCTCTGCAACTTAGGCTCCGCTATAGATAGTAAGATATGTAGAAGGGACTTCAGCCGTGTGTTTCTGTTTATTGTGTATATATGTAGTTAGCTGTTTCATTTGGCTTTAAATATTGTCTAGATTATAGTGTCACTGAAAATGAGTATAAAAATAACTGTTTTACATTATTTACAACATTATATATGTTTTGAATCTTAACCCATAAATTGCTGAACCAGATCTTCAAAGTCGGTGCTAACAGCAAAGAGCCAGGCCAGTCTGAGCCTCTGTCCAGTCTGACCAGGCTTTATACTCTTTAGCTTACCAACTTTTAAACTTCATAATGATAATTCCTATAATTTATATTGGACTGTTTCTAAATAGAAAGTGGACAAATCCATTTTTAGAAATTCAGCAGTTTTAAGGGTTACTGGGTATAATTTTAATTCTTGTCAATTGCTTCTCACCTCTGTGCATTAAAATCCTGCCTGAGATGTTGATTGATTCTTATCTCTGTAAGTTGTGCAACTGACTGATATTTAGTGGTGCTACCCAGATTGGCCATTTACCGTCGTGAAATATGGCTATTTTGTCGTCCTGAAATATGGCTGTTTTGCCGTACTGAAATATGGCTATTTTTCTGTCCTGAAACATGGCACCGAGGTGAAGCTCGATAGTGACTACCTTTAACATATAAGCTTGAAATTTGCATGGCTACGTAAGAAAATGAAAACAGTAGGTGTGAATGAAACCATGATGATCAAAAATAGTTCAGTTTGAATTGAATTGAATTGAATATTCATTAAGGTGTTGGTTAGCCTTTTTGGAAAGGTTTGAGTTTAATACAGTTACATGGAATTAGTTTCAATTTTTTTTTAATTGACCATTTTTAGCTCGACTTTTCTATGAAAAGGGGAGCTATCCTACTCGCCCCGGCGTCGGCGTCGGCGTCGGCGTCGGCGTTGGCGTCACACCTTGGTTAAGTTTTTCGTACCACCCCACTTTATTTCAGAAGTATTACAAGTATGGCTTTGAAACTTACCATACTTGTTCACCATCATAACCTCCATCTACAGACAAGAGTACATAACTCTGTCAAGGTTTTTGACAGAATTATGGCCCTTTTTTGACTTAGAAAGTGTATTGAGCTTGGTTAAGTTTTTTGTACCACCTCACTTTATTTCAAAACCATTGGAGGTATTGCTTTGAAACTGACCATACTTGTTTACCATCACGACCTTCATCAACAGACAAGAGGACATAACTCTGTCAAGGTTTTTGACAGAATTATGCCCCTTTTTGACTTAGAAAATACATTGAATATGGGTAAAATCCACTTATTGCCTTAACCCTTTGAGATATTGCTTTGAAACTTTTAATGCTATTTCACATCATTACCCCCATCTGTACGCAAGAGAAGGTAACTCTGTCAAGGATTTGTTTTAAGTCAAATCTATATATTATGCTGATTGTACAAAAATATACTGCTTCCTTGGCATAGATTTCTTGAAAAATTATGTTATTATGTCATTTACCAAGGTGTTCTGAGTGACGTAAAAATACCTTATTCTCTCAAAGTGGGTTTAATACTATTAAATTTATTTAAGGCTCAGCTCAGTTTTTTTTTCTTTCTTACCAGCCCTCTTTTGACTTAAACATTTCAAACTTTGCTGCAGTGTTCAAGGGTATCACACAATTCAGTAAAATAATTCTTCACTAAATATCTTAATGCTCATGGCCATTGTTCACTTTAAAAATACAGAGATTCTTGTATTGCCTTTTACTGCAAAAACTTTTTTTATTGGCAAGCAATAAAAAAGTCGAGCGCGCTGTCTTACGGACAGCTCTTGTTATATGCATGATCTTAGAAAATTGATTTTTAAAAAAAATTTAATGTGGTTATTGTAGCTTGTTTACACAGTACAGTTATTACACATATACTGTTTAACCGTTTTAATGTAGAATAACAAGAATAAACCGGGTACGAAGAAAGTGGAAAAGTTAATCATGGTAATGTTTACAGAATGTATTAGTGGGGTACAGGGTAGTTGGTAGGCTCCCCTGCTTTACACAGGGAATGATGGGAGCTTTTTATGTTGGATAACATTCTCCTTATCCCATTGTTTCATCCCGTAATGTTTTAACAATATACATTTGTATTTGTTTCTCATTCGACTGTCACTAACAGTTTTATTAATTGACAAATATTTATTCGCTGCTTACATATATAAATTAACGCCATTATATTATAAGTCTTGTCCGTCCTGCTTAGATAAGTAATCCAAGTGCAGCTGGTTCGATCTTCGGGCAAGGCGGAATTTCTCTGTGACATTTTATCTTGTACATTGAGTATAGTAGTCTTTTGCCTCGTACAGCTGATACCGAAATCATGTGTGATACGTAGTTTGCCATGTTCAGGGAAATTGGTAATTATACTGGTTAGTTATCCAGGAAAGCAAGTAGGTGAACCACCAAGAACCACCAAGATAGGACCAACAGTTACTGTGTGTTAAAATTGGTATAAAAATCAGAAAAAAAGTTTAAAAACCAAATAAACATTTGAAGCCTGTCAAAAATTCGGTCTTATAAAATTTTTTGGGCGTCTGAGAAACAAAGGATGTGATTGTTTCCCAATGAAAAAGCATTTGAACTGAATTTGCTGGAAAAGGTATTGTTTGTATTGCTTAGGTAGGAGAGTACGGAATTGTTAGGAATATATTTTAATGTTGAATTAGGGAGTTCCCAAGGCATTATTTAAATCATGTTTTGTTGCAGGGTGAATTGTTTTCCTATAGTTATTGGGAAGTGTGATGTAAAAGAATTACAAATCATTTTACGTTTCTGAAAATAATTAAATGTTTTATTTAAAAAAGGGAAAGGGTATGTAAAAAAGGGGAGGGGTGTGAGGGTGAGGGGTATAAGAAGTTAAAGATAAGAACAGTGGGTACGTATAAAGCTGAAGGGCACAATCTTCAAGTGAATCATGCCACAAATGGGTGAAAAAATACTCTTTATTATCATTATTTTATTTGCCATTTTTTATGCTTGAAACATTTTGAAAAAAAAAATTCAGTTGGGAAGAAGAAATCATTATTACACAATAAATGCATGATAATCATGTTGTTTATAATTATACATTGTACATTACACTTCCTTTAGTAACATGTATTTGGCATGTATTCTTATATAGTAGTTAAAAATCATAGTTTGTATCCAGAGCATAAATTTTAATTTTAGTCAAGATACTGAGAAATGGCCATTCTTGTACTCCAGGGCAAAATATCCGAATTCAAGATTAAGCTTTAGTTATATAGCCAACTTTGTTATTAAGTTATGTATTACTGTATTGAAATAACATTTTAAAAACAAATAATCATTGAATTTTTATGTACTTAGATTTCATCTGGTCTCCATAATTTTTCTTACGGAAAATTCAGATAATTTGACTGCCAACATTTAGTGGTGTTCATGAGAATCGATTAGTGTCTTCCAACCACACACCACCTCACTGTGTGTAATTTTGAAATATGGCATCATTTGTTTTTTGGGTTTTTTTTATTTCTAACAAAATCTGACATATTATGTTACATTCTATATTTCATCATTAACTGATTAATGGTTGTTTTAATATACATGTACATTAATGTGATTTTTTTGTTGTTACTTATGGTTTTATATATTGTTTTGCTTCTAGTTATTGTATTTATTTGAGTTACTGTATATTTGAGTTGTTTGCATATTATTTAATGAATGACATTTTGTTTCCCTTTAAGTTGTCACTAGAAGGTTCTGTTGCTAAGCAAACCTGGCTAGTAAGTTTTTAGTTTCCTGCATCCACTATATCCTATCTTTTGTTTCTAAAGAACTGTAACCATGGCAACACTAACAAAATCCATGATTTTTTTTGTAAATTTTACAACTCTGGGGTTTTTCTTTAAAATAATAATAAAATTAAAAAGCACTTTTTCATTATTCTTTTTCACTGAATTAAATTAATGTTTTCAAAAAATGTAACAAATAACAAATTACTGCCCTTTATTTTTGTTTTTTCTGATATATCAGAAATGTAGAAAGTAGTAAGTCTAAAGAGGTCATTTGCTAGATTATGGAGTGGGCATTTTAGTTGTTTCACCACCATTTAATTTTAAGTTCACCTTTCCAGTATCATTGTCATATTAAATAAAACATTGTCAAAGCTATATAGCTAGCATATAGACCAGTTGTGGTTCTATCCAAAATAATGTCAACTAATAAGGATCTACATTAAATGTCCGCCAGCTATGCTCAATAGGGCGAGCATCGGATATGTAATCTGTTGATTGCTGGTTTCATCCTTAGAGGACAGGTTTCATTTCTCCATAACAAAAATTTATGTAAGACTGAGTCTAATGGTCATTTTCTCCTCGACAATGATACAGAATTCTTGCGGGATTAATAGTCGGTCTTTTGCAGTGAAATTGGTAATTACTGGCCAGTTATTCAGAAAAGCTGGTTAGGTGTATCAACCACTGGGATATGACTGATGAATGTTTTAAAAACAAGGTAAAAACAAGAAAGACAAAGAAACAAACTACCAATAGAGGAGCTAAGTCACATTCTAATGACTTCAAATGAGTCTGCATGACTATTAACCTAACCTTTCATATACAAAGGCCTTGAGTTAAAAGCAATAACATTAGCATAAAGGCTAATGATGAGATTATTTTAATTTGTCATAAACTTCTATACCCATGATTACAGTTCTTACACTTACTTGAAACAGAATTTCAATAATTTCAGTGGGAAATTGAAAAGCATTGTGCTTAATGCATTATTCAATTGTAACCATGATGCCATTACTTAGAAGTGGGGTGTTAAATTTTGGTTGTTTGCCATCTGCAGAGTTCAGATGGTTTAAAATTCCTTGCCATTGATGTTAAAATCCCCACTTAAAACCTTAAAATGTGATCTTTACATATCCCCGACCATTTTAGCAATAAAACAAAACCATGTTATCAATTCTGCAATGGTGGGACAGATGAAATGTAAAAAGATTAGCTCAATTTCTCTGCTATCCCCCATCTCTGGGGGTGGGTGGTTCCTTCCCAGGGGGTTGGAAGTTTCCAGGGGGTTGGATGGCCTTGGTTCCTTCCCAGGGGGTGGGTAGTGCCCCTGGTTACAATTGATTAGTGTATAAATCTGGCAATACCCTCACTAAAGCTTGAATTTATTCATATTTATGTCAAATTTTACTATCTTATTTCATAATGTTTATTATTACAAATGCTTTTAAGTTACAGATTCAAGGTTCTTGCAGAAGAATCTTCATTTCCAGTTTCTGTCAGAACATAATGTGTCTTTAATATTAAATAACTTACTATGTTAAAAATTGAATCACCATAATATGGAGTATGACTATGAGGTCATGAATCTGAACCCACAACAAAGTAACTTATCACTTTAGTTATGTTGAATACATTATGTTTAGAACCATTAGTTCAAAGGTTTCATACAGATACAAAAACAAACAAAAACGAACCTTGTCAAGCTTGTTGATGTTTTGCCGTAAGATCTGATTTGCCTTTACCACCAGTATAGGACCGCCTCCGTGGTCAAGGGGTTAGAGTCGATGACTTCTAATCCAGTTACCTCTCTGGCGTGGGTTCGATCCCCGGGAGATGCTTTGGTAGTTTAGCGCGGAGGAAGGTAGTCTAATACTGGTGTAACTCTCCAGGAACGATGGTTAGGAAACTACCCGCCTATATGACTGAAATACTGTTGGGAAAAGGCGTTAAATGAAACAAACAGTCCAACAAACACCACAAGTATAGAGCCAGGCCAGCTTGTACATCCATGCCATCTGTCACTAGGCTCTATTATACTGTTGGCTGATCAACTTTAAATCTTCATATCCCAAAAATTGATAATGGACAGTTAAAAAAAAAAAAAAAGAAGCTTGGCAAGTATATTTAATAAATTTGGCAGCTTAAATGTTTAAGGATCTTACAACTAGATGTAGATAGAGCAACTTTTTGTCAGCTTTTCACCTGCTTATCAGAGGAACACATTTACGATCATTTCAAGAGTTTATGTCATCACTGACTTTATTCAGACATTTTATTGTTAGAGCCCTATTGTTGGTAAAAATTAGACTGTGCCACCATGCAGTATATAGCCAGGCCAGCCTGCACTTCCATGCAATCTGACCAGGCTCTATACTGTTAGCTTTCTAAATTTAGCATCTTGCTGTCAAAATTCTTGAACTGTTCCAAATTCAAAGCAGGACATGTCCATTGTATTAATCTAAATATAGAAATACCATTAGATCCAGAAATTCCATGAAAAGTACTAAAACATAAATGTTACTACATTATTATTTGAGCTGAACATTCCATATATTTGTAAAAGTAATGATTAAGTGATAATAAATTTCTTAGTTATTGGTATATACTTGTCAGTAATTGCTCAAATTTACATTCATTAATACATTAATTTTGTTGACAAAGTCATAAATTGAGGAGATTTCCATTGGTTCATATCAGCTTTAAATTTCGGTAATATAAAATCAGGGATGTGTAGAAAGAAATATTTTAGACTTGTAGGATATATGACCTTGAAACATTTCTTCTTGTTTATTGATGGTGATATAATACATTTTTCAAAGATGACTAGAGCCACATTTAGTTTCAATCCCGAGGATGTGAGCTCCGAGTCTGACTCTGATTCAGAAGAAGAGAATATGTTAACAGGAGATTTTGAAGTATTTTTGTAGTTGTTTTTATCTTACCTTCATCTATTGTTGTTGTAGATTCGACAATATTGGCATACCAGGTTAATTTTACAATGCTGTGCAAAGGGTGGCAAAACCATATGCCATATCCGAAAAAACTAAAAAATTGAAATTCTTACGTAGATTAAGTGAAACACTTTAAATTAAAAAATAACTGCATAGGAAAATAAAGATGTATATATTATATTAATATCGAGTTTGTGTGTGATTCATGGCTCGATTTGGGCAAAAAACGCTTTTCATTTTTTGGTCATTTAAAAAAAAAAAATGATCTCAAAATTTGCACACAAGGTATTGGTTGAGCCCTACATCAAATGGGCAAATATTTCAAGTCCTGCTATGTATAAAAAAAACCCAGTGGAGTCCCTTTAAGATGCTATTTTTAGTATTTTCTGTAATGCATGGTGAACAACTTCTGTACATCGATGTTATTTAAGGGATTGCTTCCCTTTTGAAGAGATTTTTGAATTACTGTACAAAAATCAAGCAGTAGTCAATAAGTATTATGTAAGCCTGGGAGGTCGTGCAGGGTTTTGTCTGAACTCTATCCTGATAACAGAGACCAATTATTTTCGCTTCTAGGGCTCATAAAAAACTTACACAGAAAGGGTTTCAAATAAATTTCACGGGAATTGATAAAACTGGATTATTTAATTATATTTTTTTGATACCCAAATCTGCTGCTATAATATTTGTGCCAACAGTAGGTCGTCTGACTCAGCTGTAGAATTTTGTTGCCAATATTGTTGAATCTTTTGCCAGCTACATTATTACATTATCAGAGAAAAAGGTTGCCTTGCACAGTCAATATATCAGCCTGAAATCATTGCCTTTCTTGTATTTCAGCATCATTCTCCATGAAAGTATATATATCTCACTTTTTGCACAAATATGTGGCAAAGCAAGACAGTGCATCCATTTTAATGGCTTGATAATTATTAGCTATACCAGTTCTTTTTGAAAAAGAGACATTTTTAACTTTATAGAAAAGTGAATCGTTATTCTAGTTTTAAATACTGTAGAACACTTTAAATTTGCATCAAATATTTTAGTTTGTCCGAAACGTGTATTTTTCTTTATTTACGTACAACCAAAATTGTTTCTGAATAAAATAATATTTAATATACAATGTAGTTCTTTAAAGAAATTTGATCTTTTTATGGATATGTATGTTTTAATTAAATGAAAATAATCTTGATTCACTATAGAAATAAAGAATATCTTAAAATGAAGATTGAGCAAATGATGAAATATATCTTTATTGATTTTGTGAAATATTTGGACATTCTAATTGCTATTTCAAGAGATTTTTCAATGCTATTTTTCTAGAGATATTAAGTTGAATTCTCAGGGTATAAAGAGCAATTTAGAGTTGCATACTTGCATTGCATGTTCTCAGTTTGACCATCTCTTCTTATCCTCAACATGCCCTTTGCATCGTGTTACATTATTCTGAAAAATTACCTCCATTTGATTTGAATGATAAATTTGAAGGATACATTTATTCTAAAAAATTACCTCCCTTTGATTTGAATGATAAATTTGAAGGATACATTTATCCTTAAAAAATTACCTCCCTTTGTTTTGAATGATACATTTATTCTGAAAAAATTACCTCCCTTTGATTTGAATTATAAATTTGAAAGATGAATTTATTCTGAAAAATTACCTCCTTTTGTTTTCAGATAAGATACATTTATTCTGAAAAAATTACCTCCCTTTGATTTGAATTAATTTTGAAGGATACATTTATTTTGAAAAAAATTACCTCCCTTTGTTTTGAATGATAGATTTGAAGGATTGAAACAAATTTTACAGTAGACTTTATAAGCATGTAGAACTCTCTGATCTTGTGCATTTAAATGTAACCCCCGAATGATTTCAGTAAATAATCAAAGCTCTTAATAATTTTGAATGAAAGTTGTAGCTTCTTATTACAATTATGAAAATATTTTATACATCAAGTATTGATGAATAGATAAGGTATTTATTACTAGAATACTATTTTGCAAAACATTATGGTGTGTTTTTTGTCCCATATAATCATTTTTCACCTTGCTTTTGACCATAATATTCACACATGGATCAATATTATTGTACATTTTGGTTGCAAAATTTATTTTGATATTTTCATTTATAATGTGTCAAGTAATTTTAGTTCAGTTTTCAGTGATAAATGTTTTAAAGCCATTCTTTTTTTAGTCAAATTTGCACAGTAACTGTTGTACTGTTATATGTATCGATTAGAACATATAAATGAGATGATGTATAAATAAATCATTGTAGAAATATATGGCAGAGGCGCGAAGTAAGTCATTACAGCCGAGACTGACGGAAATGGCTGCAGGAGGTATGGCTCAAACCAACTGGAAATTTGTGGAAGCTTTGCTCAAAGAATGTAAAACCAAGGTATGACTATATAAGGACACAACATTTTTCCCCATACTGAAAAGTTCCAAAGTTTCCAGTGGAATACAGCTGGAATTTATGTTCCAAAAAGTATTCCACTAGAATTCCAGTGGTTTTCCTGATTTCCTCTGTAATCCATTGGTATTCCACTGGTATGCCAGTGATATTTTTACAAGGGAGGTTTTCAGCCAACACAAAAATTTGGATTAAAGAGATATAGGTCAGATTTTATTCAATTATTGTAATGCAACTGCATATTTTAAATTATTAAATGAAAGTAAAGCTAAATATCAGGTGCACACTTTCTGCCCTTCTGCCTGCTGATACTGACAGGTCCATTTGTTCTTTGTCAGGCATTTCATGACATATTGATGTGTTTAAACTGCCAGTTAAGTCCTTTAATTGCTACCTTAAGCTTAGGCCATTAGTTCTTACATGCACTAGATGTTGATTAAACTGTAAGCTAAGACCATTTGTTGCACCATTTGTTGCTACCATAAGCTAAGACCATTTGTTGCTACCATAAGCTTAGACAAGTTGTTGCTCACATGCACTTTATAATGATGATACTGTAAGCTAAGACCATTTGTTGCTTAAATTCACTTGATGTTGATTAAATTGTAAGCTAAGACCATTTGTTGTTACCATAAGCAAAGACCATTTGTTGCTTACATGCCCTTGATGTTGATTAAACTGTTAGCTTAGACCATTTGCTGCTTAAATGTTCTTGATGTTGATTAAACTGTTAGCTAAGACCATTTGTTACCATAAGCAAAGACTATTTGCTGCTTACATGCACTTGGTGTGGATTAAAATTATCAGCTACTGTTAGCTAAGTCCATTTATTGCTTATATACACTTGATGTTGATTGAACTGTAACCTTAGACCATTTATTCCTCACATGCACATTATCTTGATAATACTGTTACTTAAGACCATTTGTTAGTTATATGCACTTGATGTAATCAAACTGTTAGCTAAGTCCATTTGTTGCAACTGTTACCTAAGACCATTTAATTAAATGTACTTGTTGTTGATTAAACTGTTTACTTTAAAAGTGGTTAAAAATATTTTAATGAAACAATACTTTTGTTGTGTTTGCTTCAAGGTAAATAAAGTAATTTTGACAAAGGGTATAAAATTAATGCATACATTGTATTTCAGAGGAGTTTTGGGATTTTACTAGTTTTCCAGAATAGGGACATAAGTCAAATATTTGCATGTTTTTCACTAGAAAAGAATGAAAATATCTAAACTTGATGTTATATTCTGTTAGAAACATTTAATAAAAGACTTGACAAATCCGGGTGTGGGGGATGTTGATGCCTCAACCCCCCTGTGGATCTGCACATCTATACACTTGCAATTTATTAAGTGAAGCTTTATGCATGTTTTTTTAAGTGCTGGTGGTCTTAACATTACACTCAAGCAGAGACAAATTGTTGTCCCCCAAGAAGATCTCAACTGAACCAGAAATAGATTAAATTGTAGTCCCGCAAGACCTCAAATATAAAAAAGATTCTCATTCAATGAATTATATTACAGACAAAGCGAATGTTGGTAGAGAAAATGGGACAAGAGGCTGTAGAATTAGGTCATGGTGAAGGTAACATTACAGGTGTTGAGGAGAACACATTGATAGCAAGTTTATGTGACCTGTTAGAGAGAATCTGGAGTCATGGTCTTCAAACTAAGAAGGTTTGTTCCATTCATGATAATTTCATGATATGATCTTTTATCAGTATTGTTTTTTTTGGGTGAAAGTGTACCAGTCTAAATCTGGCTATGGAAATTAAACATTTATACTTGACAAAAGTTTTTGAATGGTTTGACATTTTGCCATTCTATGGTTATGCTTGTCATATCTTTAAATGCTTTATTTATGGGCTGATATCTATGATTTTTGCTTTGATCAAATGCCTTCTTGTGCATTAAATACTGTGTCATTTTAATAGCTGGTCTGTTTCGAAGTAAAAGTCGAGGTATTATGATGGCTGCAGTGTGGTCATTGGGGTTGTAGTCATGCAAAAATCTTTAATGTTGCCCATTATTCAAACATTTTAAAACATGAAACTTAAAATACATAATTATCATGACAAGATGCAGTTGTATCACAAAAATGGCCGTAAAAGTGGTGTGGTCCTGTTCGTGGCATGGTTTTAAAGTGGTATTTTACTGTATATTTCAGGGGAAGTCAGCATTGTGGTCTCATCTTCAAAACTATGTAGAGATAGAGGAAGGTAACAGTGACACTGGGAGACAGGTTGACCCGAACCTGTTGTCCCCAGGTAATAAACCGGATTGCCACGGTTAGCATCACTTCATCTTTCATTGTTGAAACACTCTCTCTTTTCATTGTTTCATTTCCATGCTTGATTTCTGTAAAGAAAGGGTTACTCAGTTTTTGTGTTTGATAACAAATATTCAAGTGGCATTGTAGTATACACATTTAGATTTTAAATATGAACTGAATCAGTTTTGGACTGTTCAAACTTGCCTCTATGAAGTGAAAGATATATTTGTTAAAAGTGATAGGTTAAAAATATCAAGATTTAAATGGACTAAAATGATGTTGATCACCTTTCTATATGTAAAATTTCATTGAAATCAATAATTTCTAAATCTTAACTTTTGAATGAAAACTGTTTGTGAACTTAATTACAGAAATACTGGATTATAAACATAAATGTGCACTTTTTTTGAGTCTAATATTTTTTCATTAAAGGCAAGGTTTAATTATGGTTTTGTAATATTTAACATTATATGTGTTCAAAATTATTGTCTCTGAATCGAATTTTATTTTATGTTTGTAAATTTTTTTTTTACTGATATTGGATTGTTTTTGCAAAGAAATAGTTATTTGTTGTATAGGTTAGCAATTTGCATATCTCGTATTTGAAGGAAATGGACAATGGGGAAAAATCATTGAATATTCCAATATGATATATAATTATACAAGTACATAGATGGACAATTTACAACAACAATTTAACAAACAAGAAATGAGTTGGTACATAGACCAACTTATTATTAGACCACTACTCTTTTGCTAGAATCCTTACACAATTTGCAGGCCCCAGTAGCTGCATTGTTGAAGTTGCTAATTTTGGATCCTTGCCAACTACTGTTTTCAATTTTTGAAAAAAAAAGGGAATAAATAAAGAAGAAAAATTATAAAGATGATAAAGACTTTATTTCAAGAGGCAACATAGTTAGTCAAGCCCAGTCTTCTCTATGAGCCTCTATCAAAATGTACTTGGATATAGCTACAAACAAAAGATTTATAAAAACAAAGAAAACTTAATGTATACAACATAGAAAAATAGAGTTATTGAAAAATTAGATATTAAGATATTAGAAAGTGTGTCTTTTCTAAAGAGAGGCAGTTGTTATAGACAGATCTGATGATGTATTAAAAGGCCTAGAAGTGATTAGATTAACTGAATGTGTCTTTTTCCTTAGGTAATATAAAATGGTAGCAAATTTCATTTTTGAAAATATGTAAGGTAGTTTGAATTGAGGTCATTTTGCTTGGATATGAAATTATAACATGGCAGAAAAGAAACATGTTCCTGTATATGAAATATTAAAAGTTTTGATGATAATTTCTCGAAAATGAAATGATATGGTTTTAATAAAAAGGGGTTCAAGAAAAAATGATGCATTTACATGTAGATTATGCACAATGTTTCCTGTACATTTCATGCCTCTTGCAGCGGTTTTTCTCCGAAACAACCGGGGATTTTATGAATGGATTTTTACTAATGTTGGTATGTTATTTATGTTTTCCAAAATGTTGTTTGCTTCCATTTTATTTCAAGCAGTGCAAAGAAAAAAGATCATGGTGATTTTGACGGCTTGATGCAAAACTGTTGAAAAAAATCACAAATGAGCCGTGTCATGACAAAACCAACATATGTTTGCGACCAGCATGGATCCAGACCAGCCTGCGCATTCGCGCAGTCTGATCAGGATCCATGCTGTTCGCTTACAAACCCTATTACAAGTAGAGAAACTGATAGCGAACTGCATGGATCCTGATCAGACTGCGCGGATGCACAGGTTGCTCTTGATCCATGCTGGTCGCAAATGCTGGTTGCAGGGGTAGAATCTGTTGCTGCCAGTAGGCGGAGGGATAAGTTGGAACTGTTTTGCACCATGTTGCCAAAGTTTCGTTTTGCCAGTCACAATATTTAAGTGCTGATTTATTTTCGATAAAGTTGCTTTTTTGTCTTTTTGTGATATGATATTATTAGGTTAGAAATAAATTATGGTACTTTCTATCAGAATATGTTTTGTACAGGTACAGGAGAAAAGAGTTACTTGCAAACTGTGATAATGAAAAAAAAACTAACATAGAGTCAGGGTTGCCTACACATCTGTGCAATATGAATATATTCTAAACTGTTAACCATGCAGCCTTACTACCAGATATTTTTTAATTAAAATCCCATTAATACATATGACCCGCGCCATGACAAAACCGCGCAGTCTGATCAGGATCCATGCTGTTCGCTATCAGTTTCTCTACTTGTAATAGGGAAACAGCGTAATAGGGTAAGCGAACAGCATGGATCCTGATCAGACTGCGCGGATGCGCAGGCTGGTCTGGATCCATGCTGGTCGCAAACCCATTATGTTGGTTTTGTCATGACGCGGCTCATATGTAAAGGCTGCTGCAGATTCATTGCATAAAAAGACCTTTAGCATGAGGCATAGTTTTCTTCAAAATGATTTTGTTAAAAAGGTGTGGCTTATTATACTTAAAGTCCATCTCTCGCTACATAAAATAGTAACCATTTTTCTAAATACAAGATTTTTTAAAGTATCAACTTTCATTTGTTGAACAATAATATTCAGTTCAAAGGGAAGAAAATATACTGAATTTAAAAGTTCCAGATTTAGTATTTAGACAAGTACTAAACAATTGTTCAGTTTTGAAATTTGTAATTGAAGCCTTAAAAAATCCATTAATGCCAACAAACCAAGTTGACAATGGTTATGCAACTATTGTAATTCATGTAGCAACAGTCTTTACTGTTACAAAGTTATTAAGTCAACAAGAAGTAGTTTTCTCTGAGCAGAAATTCCACAGATTATCACCTGCCTCATTTTGGAGTACTCATGTTCATTCGTACATTAGCTTTGCTTTTCATTCAACCTTTTCTTCTTTAAATGTCCCTACAAGCTCAGGATGTCCAGCCTGTGTATTATTGTATAGTATTGCACACATATGAAAAACTTATTCCATAAGTCTGTCAGCATTGTAAGTGATGTTTAAGTTTTAAAACAAATGTTTATTTAATACTTAACGATAATGATGGGGGATTTTTGGTCTCTAGAACATTGCAAGAAATTTTCTTTTTAATCGGTAGAATTCTATGATTTATATACTAGTATTCAAGAGAAAGAAAAATGATGTACTTAAAACCTGCATCAATAGAATTTCTGTATGTGCACTATACTAAAATAATCACATAGGTTGGCCATGATACAGCAGGGGCACTTTTTAGGGTAAATAGGGATTTAATCATCTTTTACAATAACTATACCTCCATGGTAAAGTGTTGGTTCCCCTGTTTATATTATACTGTGTACCTTTTGCTTGTAATAGTGTTGGTTCCCAAAGGGATGAGAAGGAGCAAATCTCTCGACATAAACTCATTTGCTGATCTCTATGTTACCTTGTGCAGTAAGTGACAGGCACACGTGTACTGTAGCAAGCTTGTCAATAACACACACACGCAGCCATACACGCGTGTTGTTCAGAAAAATTTAGATATAGATAAAACATGTGTGCAAGAGAGAAAAAAATCATTAATTAGTGAACAATTATCAGATAGGCATCTAAATGTATTAAAATTGACATATGAGAGAAATAAATCAATATTTTGAATACACATATACTGGCAGTGTGTGTGTTACTGGTCAATTGCTAATTACACATAGTTTAACTAGGTGTGTAATGCAAGAAACTAACATAGAACCTTAATCTATATAATAATGCATCTCGTATTTGAAGGTCATACCCCTATGCTTGGTTTAAATTTGTTAAATAGTAACATTGCATTTATATATTATACTTCTCACAAGAAAATAGCAAATATTGAATCTTTACAGTGGAACTTTTCTTTAATAAGTGGTTTCTTTACCAAACGCAAAGCTTGATTTGCATATATTTCTATATCAGATGTTATATTTTATTTGAATGTCACATGCACATTAAGGTTTTTAGTGGAAGGGTTTCACTGTATCGGAAGTCCAGCATGTCAGTATTATTGAGAGGTGCATTTTGGCTAATATATTTCTGACTAAGTGTGATTTACCCTGTATTATAATTCTTTGAATTTACTAGTGTGGTTTACCCAGTACAATCTACTAAGTGCAGATAAACCAATACTACAAAATGTAAAATGTATGAGTGTTATTTACCTATAATAGTGTGCAAGTTTGTTTGACCAAATACTACAATATGTTGTATGTACAAGTGTGATTAACCCAATATGTTCAATGTACAAGTGTTATTTACCCAATACTTAATAAGTATGTTAAATATCTGAGTGTAATTTACCAAATTCTACAATATGTTAAGTGTCTGATTATGATTTACTCAATACTACATAATTATGTTCAATGTATGAATGTGATTAACCCATAATGTAGGAGTGTAATTTACCTAATAATACAAATATGTTTTATGGATGAGTGATATTTGCCCATTAGTAGATGACCAGTTCCATGCTAAACCAAGGCCTAGGTCAAAGGTCAAGGTCATGGCAGGGGATTGAACTTAATGTTTATTTTCAGTACTCTTCACATTCATATGTGGTCCAGATTCAATAATGCATGATTGCATTGCTTTGAAACTTAGATATACACACCATAATAAAGAAATAACGCTTATTTATCATCTTATAGCCCATGCCGCAGGGGCATCCATGTCCTATGAACATATGCCAAGTAATTTCTAAGAACAAGTCAGTTAAACACACTGCAGGGGCAAGGTTTTGAAATGAGTGAACATATAACCAATGTCATCCTAATTAGTAACAATACTAATCTATGTATGTTTTAAGGTAACTAGTTGATATTAATCAATGTGTACAGTTTTGTTATATATTATTAGGGTTACGGTATATATATCACAACTAAACTTAATGTATGATGTATTTTACTAACAGCTTTGGCATGGTGTATTCTACGTAAGAGATATCAAAGTAGGTGATGTATACGTACGTAATGTACATGTATATATGTAATAATGCATGGTATACATAGTCACCTTGTACGCTTAGTTATGTGATTTATTTTGCATATAATATAAGACATATAGGAAAGTACAAAGAAATAACGGAAGGTGCAGATTTATTTTTTATTATTTTGTTGGTGTTATTCTGGCAAATATGTAAGTATCAAGAAATTCAGAGAAGGAAAAGATTAGTGATTTTGCTTTTGATTCAGGCTTTAAATGGATTTCATTTTCAATTTTATTTCTGCATAGTTACAGTTATTGAGTTGAGTCAAGTGGGTAAATTTTTCCTCTCTTATGTATTTTTTCCTGGTTTTATGTTTTGTTTTTGTGTATAGCAATCTTGACAGTATATTTTGTAAATTGACTCTTGTATCTGGGTCAGAGACAGTTGGGAATGTTAATGATGAAAAAATAATTCAAACTGCAATACTTTAGAATGTTCATCAAAGGTCATTTGGGGCTTCACAATATTGATATTGTTTGAAGGTTAAAGGTCAAGGTCACATTACTTTTGTACTGATTACTTGATGCAGAAACTTACTGCCGAAAGAAGTTTTCGTATTTATAGCTTTACATTTTAAATACTGATTTCACCTGACCTACAATAATCATAACTGTAAAGTTGGTTAGTAGGTCAAAGGTCAGATGTCCCAAATGTCTTCAGTTTTTTTCGGTACATTAACACTTTTTCAATCATAGTCAACTGATGATATGGTCATACATGTTTAAACATCAGTTTTGTTGAATATTTAAATTAATGTGTCATGCAATGTCCCCTTGTGACTGTGGGGTTGCCTGTAATGGTTCAGGGATCAGAATTGCAGCCACCATTTTTCTCTGTGTGATTGTAAGAGGCAACTAAATGGGATTGATTAAATAACTGGAGTCTAATCATGTCTTAGATCCAGCTGTTGACCCCTAGTGTTGTTTTGAAGATAGTAACACGGGAGATTACCCGTTTCGGCGTCATATGACCTTATAATACTGTGTTGGTGCACTGTAAAACCAAACAAACAAAATTTAATATACAATGTTTTTATAAATATAATTTTTGATTGTGAAAAGTATGCATGCAACCTTATATAAATTGTTAACACCCACCTCACTTATAACTGTATTTAATTTCACCCAACATCCTTACATGAAAGATAGGATTATTCCTGATGATGTTTTTTATGTGAAAGACATTGGACATTTTGTGATATGCAAGAGTGTTTGCATCAAAAGATTAAAGACTGGAAAATATTGCTTTAATTGTTGTAATTTGTAATGTTATTACAAGAGTGTTTGTGGTTGAATTTTTTTACATATTTACTTGACTTAATACTGCATCAGCTTAAATAGATTTGGATTGCTTGAGATGGTTATTTTTTGCATTTTTTTTTTAAGTGGAATACTAGATATAATTTGAAGGAAATAAACTTATTGTATGAAGGAAAGTGTCTGGCCGCAATTATCATTATTGTTGTACATGTAACATAAAAAGTTTAAAAAAAAACTGAAATGTACTAGAAGTATGTATTTACCAGTACTGTTGAAACTAGAATTTTGTTAACCTTAAACCTGCTGCAACCAAAACTGATTACATCACGTTAGTGCAGTAACGGGTTTAGTCATTCTAAATTTAATAGGAGTTAACCAGTTATTGCATTAAGTTGACAAAATAAGCCTTTGCCACCAGTGTTGAGCCAGAAAAGTCTTCATGTCCGTGCAATTTCACCCGGATCTATGCTTTTAGCTTATTAACTTGAATTTTCATCTTGATATCTCTAAAATTAATAATCGACTATTCTAAAAATGGATTCGGAAGCTGGACAATTCCATTTCTACAATTCAGCAGGTTGAGGGTTACCAGGGAAGAAGAAAGGAAAACTGTTCTAGATTTGAGACATAGGAAGGTAGTTTATATTAAGGTAGTCTTACTGCAATGCTTTCCGGCCAAAAAACTTCTTACATCGGCCAATATCATAATATATCAGTCATTTCCGGAATGTTCTTTTTTTGCAATCTTCAGTATTCAATAATTTTTAACCATTTGTAACTGGAATTTACTACATAGCAATAAAAGATGAGTGATTGTAAATAATCTAATGCCCAAGATTTTGAAAAAAAAAAAACCTTTTGGAAATAACCGATTGCTATGATATTGGCATTTGTTACATTTTTTTTGGCGGGAAAGCGTTACAGTAAGACTACCTTAAGATTATATTGAGTGATATATGACCTGTTAATGTTGGTAAGCAATATTGATAATTGTTGATTTATACATGGTTTATATAAAATTAAAGCTATGTTCTTCCCAAAACAGATTTATCTTCCATGGCATTGACAGAAGGGGAGAAAACTGTGAAACGTGGGCACCGCCGCACTGGTAGTCGTGGTAACATAGAGCTTCCAGTCCTTAAACCTCTACCTCAAACATTAGCCTGTGACATGAGGTATGAACAATACAATAAAAAAAATGTCCTCGTATTTTCAGTTTTTATCATTACGTAATGATTGTTTTATTATTGTCATAAAGTCGAAAACCACTTGCCTAACCACACCAGGGCCTTTTGATTCTTTAATGTGAGGAATCTTTCCAGCTAGCTTATGAAATGTTGGTGGTTCTATTTAGGTGCCAGCTTGTGCCTGAAATAATGCACAGAAGGGCATTTGAGGTCTTCCTCAACCAGTTAAAGCTGGAAAAGAAGCCATCTGACCAATACAGTGACATAATGTCTTTGATATTTTGTCATTTATATCGTCATTTATTGACCAATATCTGTTATCGTAGATACTTGACATGTAGGTATCTGGCCCAAACTTCTACCCTTGGGGGGAATTTAAATCTGATGAGTTTCAGGTAATTTATCCTAATCTATTCCTCATATTTGAGAAGTGTGTTCAGCCTTGTTATAGTAGTGACAGCTGACAGGTTGAATTTATTATTGTCTTTCACTAAATTCTTATTTTACTTCATCTATTTCTCTTTATTTTGTCACAGAAAAGTACAAGAGATGACAGATATAAAGACAGATGTGGGTTGTGCCAGGGCGTGGGTCCGGCTGTCTTTAGAGAAGAAAATGTTGTCCACTCACCTAAAAGAGCTCCTCTCAGATTCCTACCTGCTCAGGTAATATTTATACAGATTTAGTTTTTAAAAAACACTGAATGTATCGTTATGTTTTGAAAATATTGTCAGACTTGAGTACTTGTTGTTTATATTGGAAATGATTGAAATTTCATTTCTGTAAAATGCATAAAGAATATAAAAGAAGCGATTAAATATATGTTTTGTTAGAAATGGAATATGAATACATCGGTGCACATTTGTGATTTCACTATTAATGCTTCACCTGCTGGAACCGAAAGTTATTAACCTTTGCCACCAGTATAGAACCAGGCCATCCTTACGGTCTGACCAAGTTCTATAATAATGGCTGACCAACTTTAAATTTTTATCTTGATATTCCCAACATTGATAATGGACAGTTCCAAAAATGGAAAATTGACAAGTCCATTTAAGAAATTCAGCATGTTCAGGGTTATAGCAATATAAGATGTTGAATAAGGCAATATTGATCCTAATGTGTGAAGGTCTCTTGTTGAAAATGGCTGTACTTTCATCAGAAAACTGATGGAAATTTGATATAAATATATTTATATTGTAGGAGTTTATACAAGAGATATGCGTTCCTGAGATGTGAGGATGAACGAGAACAGTTCCTCTATCATTTACTGTCACTCAACGCCATGGACTATTTCTGCTTTACCAACGCATACATTAACACTGGTAAAAATTATTCTCCAAATTATGAAATACTTTAGTTTATTTAACTGTTCTGTTATTAAGTATTCTAATTTAAATCTACTGTTTTGAATGTAATGTACTTGTTATTTATGGTAAAATCATTTTAATTTGTGAACAAAAAGGTAAAACAAATAGACATATTTATTTGACCTTGATTGTAACTTATATAACTTATTTGAACCAAGCTTTCATACTTACAGGAACTAACCAGTACTGGTGTTGTATTAGAAAACATGGTTGTTATCGAAGTAGGGCTGTAAATACTGATCTTTACATTATTTGGTGTATATACAATGTAAATGTTTAACTCCAAGTTTCCATCATTTGTAATTTTAGTTGTTCCATACCGTGTGTTGTTATACCCAAGTCTGAAGTTTGGTTGCACAACTACCAGTGCCAATCCCTGGATCACATTTGCTGGTCACATGGGTGAAACAGGTATTATAGAAATACCAAAAGGAGTCCTAGAGTTTTGCGTAGAGGTACTAAGATAATTTTTATTTCATGTTAGTGTATACTAATTTGTTAGAAGCTTTAAGCTTAAAAAACACTCTCGAATGCGTTCCTGGAACCAACCCGTGCTTAGCAATGAGTGTAAAGTTTCTTGCTCACAGAAACAACAGCTTGACATTGACAGGGTTTGAACCTACACAGCCAGAAATCCTTACATTATTAGTCAGACGCATTAACCACTTGGCCACACTTAATGTTAAGTTTGTCAGAATTTATTTTAGTGTAATTGTTATGGAAACTAGTTAAGTATATAGACACACTATCAAATCAACTCATTGATGAAATCAGTATGAGGCAAATAATGTATTGTTTCTTGGCCTTGACAGGTTTGAATTGAGGCAGCCAGCAATCCTTAGATTAAGTGTCTGACATGTTGCCCATTGGTTAAGCCACCACCATGTTTGAATTTAGTTTATGAAACACAAAGTGGATAAAGTATAGATTTATTAATGAAATGACTGAAGTTTTGCAGGATTTAGGTCTTAAATTGTTCTGTTTTAAAAAAATGTACATTACTATTCAACATAGCGGCGTTCGCGACCAATTTTGCTTCAAACCACTTACCTGAGTCCCCTCACCGCTGTAGGTTTGAGCCCCGCAAGCATTGATTATTCTACATGTGAGAAAGCTATCCAGGTAGCTTACAGAACGTCGGTGGTTCTACTCAGGTGCCCGTTTGTGCCTGAAATAATGTTCAGATGGGCACCTCCATCAGTCAAAGCTGTATCATGTAAAAAGAAATCGGACAATATTTTATGTAATAAACAGGTGTTTTCTGTATACATAAGTAAATTTTTATCAAATCATTGAAAACTTCAGCACAAGAATCTTGGAGTATTGACCACATTACGTCTTGGACATGACAACAGCGGTCTGACACCCAAGTGGCTGATAGAATATGTTCTTATTAGAAATGAAATTTCTGGACATACATACAAGTAAGATTTTTTAATATCCATTTATAATAGCCTGTCATCATAATTATATAAAACATTAATGTTTTTGGGGACAGGAGGCTGCTATACAGGAATTACTTTGTGGCAACAGGCTGTTAGTCGGCCAGTCTTCATGTGTCAGTTTTAAAAATTATTTTTCTTCAAGCATTACCCACATGTCCACCTGAACAAGGCAATGTGCAGAATTTAGCCACCCTTGTGCTTGCTCAATGTCAGATAATTTTGTGTCTGCTCAATATAATAGAGACCTTATGAGGGATTTTCTTGAAGTTTGCCTCTAATGAAATTTGCAAAAGCTGTGCCAACTCAAGGTCAAGATCAACCTTGAAGGTCAAATGTCAGACAATTTTGTGTCTGCACTATAAAATCAAGACGTGTTGAAGGATTTTTCTTAAAGCTTGCCTTAAATGTTCACCGCAATGTGCAGAAGTTGTACCAGGTGAAGGTCAAGATCACCATTGAAGGTCAAATGTCAGACAGTTTTTTTATCTGCCATACAGATTCTTTACTCTTTGAAGAACATTCTTGCAAAATTTTCACCTTCAAAAATAGTGATAAGCAAATCGTCGTAAAATCCTGTGTCATAGAGATGGTTTTGGTAATTTTATCACTCCTGTGACAGATGTGGTTGCTCAGTGATTCACTTATATTTACTTATATTGTAAACCTTTCCTGAAATAGATATCTAATATTGTAAAACTTTCCAATGTTGTAAACTTTCCTGAAATTGCTTCCTAATAGTGTAAAATATTTCATGAAATAATTATCTAACATTATCAGTATCAGAATGCAATGAATGCCAGACAGAGTTATTTGTACATGCAGATTTCAAAGAAAATCTTTCTATATTTTTGTACCTATGATATTTATCGCAGGTTTCCGTGTGGAAGATGGCTGGGTAAAGGTGTAGATGATGGAAGTATAGAAAGGTTATTGGTTGCAGAGCTACTACCACCTAACACTAATACTGAAGGTAATTTGATCAGATTTAAGTCTCTACACTGTTAGAGCCGTACAGTTCCTCTAGAGGCTTGCAGAAATCATGATCACAAAATAGAAGAATGTCGCTTTTTTCACCAATTCTTACATTTTTTATTCATTATTTTATATTAAATCAGTGTATATAGAAGATTGACCCCCAAAATGGCTGCCACTTTTGGTAAGGGAGGTAAATATTATAAAAATCAGGAACTTTCTATTGTCAGGACTGATCATGGCTTTTGCTAGAATCTGTATCTGCTCTTTGATTTTCTGTGTATGTTATTACATTGCTTGTTTATGGTGTATCAAAATTAGTTTATGTACCTTTCTATTTTTAGACATTATAGCCGCCATCGGAACTCCTCCGAGGTCAAGGTCACCTGTATCACCAAGGAGACCTTTGGAACAAGGTAAGATTACAGTTTATGCAATACATATCATGTACCCTACAGGAAGTGTCAGCAACAAACTTTAGGGTAATTAAATGGTATGTGTGTGTGTCACAGTGTGTTCTAGGCTTAATGAGGGTCAGCAATTAAAATGAATAAAGATTTTTTTTATGAGTACTCTGTTATCAGTTTTGTTGATCAATACCCCATATATACTGAAATCTTTATATCTAAACAAACAACCGTTTATATACGGAAATCATTTTAACTAAACATCCGATTATATACTGAAATCTTTATAAGTAAACAAACAACTGTTTATATACTGAAATCTTTATAATTAAACAAACAACCATTAATATACTGAAATCTTTATAAGTAAACAAACAACTGTTAATATAATGAAATCTTTATAACTAAACAAACAACCCTTTCCATACAGAAATCTTTATAACTAAAACCACAATTGATACTGTATGTGTATTTAAATTCGCGGAAGCAAATTTTCGCGGAAAGGTCCACTTTGGGGGTCTATACAAATATTCGCGCTATTTTGAATTCGCGGAGGTGACAGCCGAAAATCATGAATTCGCGTTGACCACTCAGGTTAAAAAATAAAGAAAATAACTCTTATCATCGTGGGAGTTCACAGTTATTTTCAATACCAGGTGTCCAACAATACGCTATTGTAAAGAAAAAGACATTGTCTAGCGGACAAATTATAGCAAACAAAAGAATGCCCGTAAACGTGCAAAATTTTTCACAGTTTGCGTTATAAACGCATCTGATCAGATCATGTTTTGGTTTTTCTCAAAAAACAATACAAAAAAAAACACAAACATAAACGATTTTAAATGATGAATAACTTAGAAAACAAAACACAATTACTCAGTAAACATTTAAATAATAAGTGTGAAAGCATATCACACTCTGACACTTTGTTCTATAGAAGCGCGAAAAAATGACTATTAAGAAATTATTGGTGTAGAAATATTCGCGCTAAACATGAATTCGCGGATCGAATGTCACCGCGAAGACCGCGAAAATTTGAAGCCCGCGAATATTTCTACACATACAGTATATGGAAATCTTTAAAACTAAACAAAGAATCTTTCTTCATAATTGAACAAACATCCGTTTATATATGGAAATCTTTTTAACTGTCTTTATAAATAAACAAACCACTGTTTATATACGGAAATTTTTATAACTAAACAAACAACCATTTATATATGAAAATCTTTTTAACTATCTTTATAACTAAACAAACAACCATTTATATACGGAAATCTTTAAAATTAAACAAACCACTGTTTATATACAGAAATCTTTATAACTAAACAAACCACCATATATATACGGAAATTTTTATAACTAAACAACCATTTATATACGGAAATCTTTATAACCAAAAAAACAACCATTTATATACGGAATTTTTTATAACTAAACAAACCACTGTTTATATACGGAAATTTTTATAACTAGTATTTTTGTTGTTACAGGAGGATTTACCATACCAGATATACAGGAAATGTTAGGTCATGCTGTAAATGGTCTCATTAAACATTACTATAAACCAGAGAAAGAGGTAAACTACTTCACTCCTTACTCCTTATTTTTATAAGAATGGAAAAAATCTGAAGAAAATAAAACGATGGTAAAAGCGAACAAAGGAAATTTATCTGAACGGGTCTAAAGCATTTGTTTCCATCTTTTTTATTCTGCCAAATAAGGATATACATTAGAACTCCACTAAGCTGAAGAAAAATGGTCTTAATAGTGGGAGTTATTGTTTCTTTATTTATTGGAATGATAATAAAATATCATCAGTATAGCATTATAACACCTGTTACAAAGGTATTTAATTGAAAGCAGAATCCCTACATGATTATTTATACATACATCGTAAGAAGTGACTAAATTGGTTTTGAATAACTGAAGTCTTAGCTCAAGCAGGTGAGATGGTTTTGACCCTTGGTGTTGCTTTCAAGTTTGTAACACCTAAGGTTAATCAAATCATCTTTTCTGTTTTGGCGCCATATGACCTATACATTGTTGGTGGACTGTAAAACCAAACTAACAAACAAAGATTAGAAAAGATTAGAAACAAAAATGAAAGGGAGCAGTGACCTAGTGGTTAAGTTGTCTGCATCTAAACATAGGGATCATGGATTTGACCCTTAATTGGTTGATGACCATGTTTCTTCATATTACACCAGTAGTAGTTACTCCCCGGAAGCAGACTAGAAGGTGGTCCAAATAAGGTCTATTAAAGCTTTCATTACATTTGAGCTAAAATAAATCTATTTTAAACCAACAATATTGACTTTGTTTAGATTTGTTTTAAACTTTGTTTGGTTGTTTAATTACTTTAACATGTATATTTTAGAGAGGTAACCTGACCTACCTGTTGTGTGGTGAGAGGGGACTGGTACCATGTATAGAACATATTTTCTTGTATGGGTTCAGATCTGCAAGAATCTTCCGGAACAAATTCTACATTTGGGACTATCTGGGTATGTTTATTAAGCATTGTTCATCTTCTGCTCAAATATAAATATGAAAATTTATAATTTTATGTGAAGGAAGTCCGATTTTAACATTTGCAATGATATAATAATTGTCAGTTATGCATTTGTATGACCTCAAATCAGACAGAATATAAAACATTTGTCATGCCTTTCTTAAAAAGTTGGTTGTTTGTTTTCATGTTTCTTCATCTTTATACAAATATAAAAAAGAATTATGACCCATTTGGTGTGGGTGCTTCAGGTACTTATTAATGACTTTGTTGTTTGATTTAGCATACAATTTTTTGGTAAAGATTTCTTGTGATAAATTTCAAATTGAAAATAAGAATTCAGGTATGATACTCAATATTTTGATATTGTACAAGCCAACAGTATAACATCAGGTCAGAATTAATTGACATGCAGGCTCTGTCAATACTTTATAATGGTGGCAAAAGGGAATCTACGAGGGGTGATCCAAAAATTCGTGGACACCCTGCATAAAACAAAAAGTGATAAAGCAAATCACATGAAATTCAAGTATCTTATTAAGTGAGCATATGTCGACAATTTCTCAAAATATTGTAAAGATTGTACAAGAATTAAAGATTCTGCACCAGTTTATATACATAGACATGACAAAACGCGGCGCAGCTCACGACGTCACAAACGACGTTATGCTATCATAGGAAGTAATCTACATTACCGTTTTGCCTTATAACTTTTCAAAGTATTCCCTTTTAACCCGCACACATTTTTTCATGGCGGCGGACCCAGTCTCTAAATGTACTCTCATACCATTCCTAGCTGAATGATGACAGTATGCATTGGGTGGCTCCTCTCAACTCGTCCAGTTTGTCAAAACGTCTCCCTCTCAACTCTTTCTTTAACCTGGGTAACAAGGCTGTTTTTAGCACCTGTTCTTAAAAGCACGAGCGTAAAATAACCGCAACTTCAAAATGTCTTCTGATACTGACAGAATGACGTCATACACATCAAAACAACGTTATTATAACGTTTCCCGCAATTTTCTTTGTTTGCACAGGTTTTACATGTGTTTAAATGAGATGAAAACGTTAACATCACAGAGAAAAAGTAAGCTGCGCCGCGATTTTGATACTTAATGTTTTGATGTTGTCATATATAGATAAAAAATGCAATTGGTGTTTTAAAATTTGGTCAATTTATTAAAAAAGCATTGATTAATAATATCCAAAGAGTTCACCTCGGTAGGACGTCACGTTATGGAGATACACACATTGTCCATGAATTTTTGGATCACCCCTCGTACATTCCTTACATACAATAAGTTTAAGCATTTTCTGACCACAGACAAGTGATTCATTTTGGTTATCCATCTAGCTTACGGAAAGTGTTTTACTCGGGTGCTTATTCTTAGGCTTGTTTTGTGACATGCACACACAGAGCTAAAGAAAATCTTTTTTTTTTGTTCCAGAAAATCTGTATTAAGGTTTAGTAAACTTGCTTTATGTTTAGTAAATTTATATTCTTGAAAATCTATTAAATTTTTTTTTTATGTCCTAGAAAATCTATTTTTCATTCTAGAAAATCTTTTTTTTATGTTCTAGAAAATTTATTTTATATTTTAAAAAAAATATTTTATATTCTAGAAAATCTATTTTATATTCTAGAAAATCTATTTTATATTCTAGAAAATCTATTTCATATTCTAGAAAATCTATTTCATATTCTAGAAAAATCTATTTTATGTTCTAGAAAAGGTAAAGACACACCTGGAAGCAACATTGGAAGGAGAAATTCGTCGGCCATCATCTGACATTGACAGGGCAGGGTTCTGGATGTTTTGTAATTTACTCACCAAAATAAACAATGCCGCAGAATCTGTGGGTAAAGATGGGAAATTACAGATCTTTATTTGTGTTGCTGTCAGGTAAATGAATGCTCTTTCTTTGTATTTTATGTAAAGATTTAAACAGTAAATGCCAAAATCTTGTAATGCAAATGTTCACTGTTGTATTTATTGATGAAGAATACAGTCAGTTCAACTTCTTGAATCTGTTAATATCATATTTTCATTAAAATGCATAGTAAACAATAATTATTATTTTTCAAGCAAAACCATCCCACTGTATAAATTATACTATTGATTCTTTCTTCACATATTTCATCTTGCTGATCTTTTTTTCCCCCTGAAAATACAGTATTTCAAGGAAATATTTAAACTTAGAAAGTTGATATGTGGAAATATTTCAGTTTCTTTTAACATTTTCTTTTAACAGCGATAGAAATATTTAAGTTTAGAAAAGGAAACCATGGCAAAGTTTTTAAACTTGGAGAGAAGTTTCATAGCAATACCAAATGTTAGAAAAAAAAGGATTTTTCTTTAAAAATACATAGTATGCCGTTGACCCGTATTTTCGGGGGGTTAACATTTTAAATTTAAGCCACCGTTTTTAAATTAATAGTAAGTGGAAGACAAAAAACATCAACAGTAAGTTAAAACTATGACAAACAAAAAAGGAACCGTTAAAAATACGAAAAATAAACTATTTCAATAATAAATCCTAATCTTTTTACTTTCACTATCGGTAGTCTGTGTCGCTCGGAAGCTGTCTCATATTTTCGGGGATTTTGATTGGATGGCCTCGTTTCGGTAGTTACGTTGCACGCGATTGAATTCTATACTGCACTCAATATATTTCGGGACATTGGTTTAAGTTAGGCATAAGTCGCGGTGATGAATTTTTAGGCAAAGATACGTTTTTATGCCCCCGGGCATATAGTGATTGAACTGTCCGTCCGTCCGTCTGTCTGTCCGTCTATCCGTACGAGGTTAACCTAGAACGGCAAGTTGGATTTTTCTTAAGTTCTACCTGTACCAATGGCTTCTAAGTTTACACACTTACTAATCAATACAAAGTACACGATCTGGGCAAGTTTCATAACTCTGGCTTTCATATTTACCAAGTTATTGCCCTTTTCAGCACTTAGAAAATGAATAATGGTTGGAAAGTTGGAAATATCTTAAGTTCTATCTATACTAATGGTTTTATAATTTCCACACTTACTTATCAATACAAAGCACTTGATATTGTTAAGTTATATAACTGTGTCATCCATATTTCCCAGTTATTTCCCTTTTTTCACTTTGAAAATAGGGCCTTGTCTGGTTAACCTATTTCGGCAAGTTGGGTTTATCTTAAATTTCTCCTAATTGCTTAATTTCTTTACTGATACCTTTCATATTTAGTAGGTGGATACCTTTGATGGTCCTCTAATTTTTTTTAGAGTAAGCGGTCTCTAGGGTCAAGGTCAAGGTCACTGGTTTAAAAAAATAAATATAAACCTTTTTGCTCATACAGCCTTTATTTTTCAGTTGATGTCTTAGTTTAATACAAACACCTCCTTCTTTGGGTGTAGTATGGGGTCATTTGGGTCAAGGTCAATGTTACCAATGTCAAGGTCACCAATGTTAAAAATAGATTTTTACATTTTTACAGGTGTATTGTGACCTTATTCTATAGACAGATGTTATTTATAATTGATAGAAACGTAAACTTTGATGGAGTTAGTGGTCAGTTGGGTCAAGGTCACCAGTGCTAAAAATAGATTTTTACACATTTGCTCATACTGCTTTTATTAAGTGCCAGATATATTTTATATTTGGTAGGAAGATAACTTGCATGGTATTCATCCTTTTGATTGGGGTAGGGATCAGTGGGTCAGGGTCACTTGTGCTAAAAATAGATTTTTACACTTTTGCCCATACAGCTTTTATTTATTGACAGTTGTATTTCATATTTGGTAGGAAGATAACTTGCATGGTATTCTTCCTTTGGATGGAGTAAGGGGTCAGTTGGGTCAAGGTCACAAGTGCTAAAAATAGATTTTTACACTTTTGCCCATACAGCCTTTATTTAATGACAGATGTATTTCGTATTTGGTAGGAAGATAACTTGCATGAAGTTGAATATTTTTCAACTTCACAAGTCAGAGCAATGACTTGGCAACTTATATTTTTCACAATTACAAAAAAAATTGTAAACACAAGTTTTATAGCTTGACAAAGTGTCAAGCTATAAAACTTGTGTTTACAATTTTTTTGGTGATTTTTCTGTCCATAACTGAGTGAATGGGTAAACATTTATGAAGTATTGCTACTGACAAGAATCTGAGCCGGGGGCATTTGTGTTTAACAAACACATTCTTGTTTGGTTCTTTTTTGTTGCTGTGTAGTTGAAAATAACGTATAAAAATGAGAAAATAAATAATTATAATTGAAATGACATTGACAGAGAACATGAAAATCTTTTGACATTTAACATTTATTTAACGGTAGTAATTGATAGAAATAAGTGTCAGCGAAAACTTGACTGCTTTTTGGAGCGTCCAATCAAACGCACAATCTGTCATTCGTGACCGGAAATGACGCCACGAAAATATGAGAACCCCCGAAAATATGAGAACAAGGCATAAATGATAAAATCAGTGTTGGAAACACCAAGATCGTTCGTAACGTGTAAAAAAAAAACAAAAAAAAAACAAAATGTGATTTTTATCTGAAGAAGACAAAACTTTGAAAATCAAAGAAAGCATTTTTTTGTTGTTGTTTTTTTTTACTGATTTTCTTAATGTATAAAATTCTGTTATTTTTTTATTTCAGAGACCACACCCTACAAAAATGGCTTCCAATGATTGCCAAGAATATAGTAACAGCACAAATGTACGAGGAGAAATCATTCATGCGTGACAATGACCTCATAACTTTCATCATACACATTCTAGACACACTCAACGACTTTGATATAATTCTAGAATCATCGCTGGTCCGTGGCTTAAATATCTGAGTTTTCGTTTCATGCTTGACTTGATGAATTTAGTGCCAAACTCATCACTTTTATTCGGAGGCTAAGCCGTCGTGTAATTTTTGACAGTGTGTGAACCTAAGCTTGATATATTTTGTCAAAGAACTGTCACTCATAGGTCATACTGTCATTAAAAGTTGCTTAATTTGAAGTTATGACATGCAGTTAGAGAGTGAAATTTCATTCCTTTTGAAAGAGTTAGCACTTGCTGCTTGCCCTAGCAATGAGTTACAAAAATGTGAACCTTAGAATATTGAGAAAAAAAATGTCAGTTTCATGGCTTGGCTCGACACTTCAGCATTTTATTGAGCATTTAATTATTTCCCATTTTTATGGAAATTATTATAAACCTTTACAATGTGTCACTGAAGCTGCAAAGCATATGCCATCAGCTCAGAATGCAGCCAACGTGCTTACATGCATTCAGTCTATTTGAACAGTCTGTATACTGGTGCTGAACAACTTCCAAACTTACATATGATATCACTGAAATATAAAATGTTTCAACATGAAAGCTGGTGGCACACGTATAGGGTTCAGCAGGTGAATAGTGTTCTTTGTTGAGATATGAATTTCTCAAGTTGATATCAAATGTGTGTATTTTATACTTAATTTAGTCATAATATTCACCTCTACATTGCATAATCTAGTGAATATACTGTAAACAGGTCTCATGTTTATATAATGATATATGCATGGCAACGCTTTTTAATCCTAACCACACATATACCTAAAATGAACTTGTCCATCTTTAAGTCTGGACGAAACCATTCATAAAAATAACAGTATTTACCCATCTATAAGTCAGACCACTTATAAGACAAGGGTCCTTATTTTGACTTAAAAGTTGCAGTTTCTGCATTGACCCTTTTATAAGACTGGAGTAGTTTTGATTTGATATAACATTTTTATAATGTTAACAAAATAAACTGGGCTTTATATCGTTAGATATGTAAAAACCTTTTATCAATTATGATATTTACTTGGGAACTATTTTTCATGCTTCTTATTTAAAAAGCCTAATCACACATGTGCGACTAGTTTATTGTGGCAAGGTTAATCTGTTTGTTTCCTTCATATTGTCAAGGTATGTGATAAATAGAATATAATAGAATTGCCAAAGTCTGGCTGCATACTGTTTCATTCAACTCATTCATTAAGTTCAATATGGATTCCACACTCATAAGATATCCTCTCATTGTTCTTCATTAAGATCTATTGTTTTTAAAATTATTGTTTTCTATGCTGTAAGCTTTATGTTCATTTATAGAGCATTTTATCAAAAAAGACACTGAAATTAAACTCTTCCATCATGTATGTGTACAGTATATATGTGGATTTAAAAAAAAGTTTTACTCTCAAGTGTGGGAAGTGCTCCTGTTTAATGATGGACAAGTATTAAGCTGGCTAGGAGGTTAAACATAAGGGAGTACATGTATTATGTATTAGGATTGTATTTATACCTTAATGTCTTGGACAACTCATAGGAGAAGCTATAAAGCTGCCATTTAGAGCCATTTCAATATTTTTTGTTTATTTATTTTTTGTTTGTTTTCTTATTGAAAGGTTTAATGGCCTTAATACTCATTAGTTATGGTGATATTGAAGTACATGACGGTTATAAACCTTTGTTCATAATATATACAGTGAAATTTTCTATATTTACAGTGGATTTAAGTGGATATTTTGCTTTATTAACAGTGGATTTAAATGGATTTGTTCTATATTTACAGTGGATTTAGGTAGATTTGTTCTGTATTTACAGTGGATTTAAGTGGATTTTTTGCTTTATTAACAGTGGATTTAAGTTGATTTGTTCTATATTTACAGTGGATTTAGGTAGATTTGTTCTGTATTTACAGTGGATTTAAGTGGATTTTTTTCTACATTCTATGGTCAATTTAAGTTAGTTTAGCCCACTGTAAAGCACTTGTTTGACATAGAAAATTTTAATGAAATTCATTATAAAAATTATGTCTTGGCTTCAATTTTGTTCAAAATAGTTAAATATTAGATGCATGTAGTATGTGAAATAAGATTAAATGAAATTGTACAATATATATATAATAATAACTGTTTGATTGAAAAATCTAAAGCAATTTTATTTTATCCATGTACATGTATTTGGAGTTTCTTATGATAACTTTTGACCTCATATTCAAATTTGTAATCAGATTTGCACCTTTTATTCCAACAACTGGAAGCAGGACTTGTGTTTCTATTTTTTGTTTTTCATTTTTTCAAAGTTAGGAATAAACCAGATTACAATTTTGTTGTTGTTGAAGTATTGAGATTCTTTGACAAATCAAAAGTATTTACTGATTAATATGTACATGCTTGTTTAAGACATTAGTTTCACTCGACTGTTTATTTGTAAACTTCACTTAAAGTGAACTTATATTTGTTTCTGATAATCTTGCCACTTTGTTTTATACATGTTCATGTATAATGTATTAATGAATAATGTTGCAATGGACATTTCCTGTTGTTTAGAAGAGAAAAATAAAAACGGCTTCAGCTTTTCTAAATGAAAAGCCAATTTGCTTAAAACTGTAAACACTGGAAATGTACATTTTTTCAAAATTGTTGGTTTTTTAACAATGTTATATGAATACTATTTTACAAGTCACTTTTACATTAAATATGAATTTGAGAATTTTGAGACCAATAAGTTAGCTTTATTTTCAGAGATTTAAAATAAGCCAATGGTTGAGCTTTATTTTTCTGAGAATTTAAATTGGCCAATGGTTGAGCTTTATTTTTCAGAGATTTGAAATTGGCCAATGGTTGAGCTTTATTTTTCAAAGATTTGAAATTGGCCAATGGTTGAGCTTTATTTTTCAAAGATTTGAAATTGGCCAATGGTTGAGCTTTATTTTTCAAAGATTTGAAATTGGTAAATGGCTGAGCTGTAGTTTTCAAAGATTTGAAATTGGCCAATGGCTGAGCTGTAGTTTTCAAAGATTCGAAATTGGCCAATGGCTTAGCTGTATTTTCAGAGATTGAAATAGGCCAATGGTTGAGCTTTATCTTGAGACTAGTTGTTTAAATTTTGTAACAAATTTGAATATTTTCAGAACAACAACAGGGCATAAATTTTACTTGAAATGCTACAGTGTAAATCACTACCTGGTCAGTAAAAAAACTCCAGGCAAGTTTAGAGATCAGTATTTTAATTTACTCTTCAATCTGCTGTTATAGATAAATCATTTCATATTGTTGAAGAAAAGAAAAGTCTTTTTTTCCTTTTATAATTTTGTTAACTCCTGTTTTCTGTTATTTTATATTTATTTTGTTCTTGATCTTTGAATATTTACCAAAGATGTTTTCTTATTATTTTTTTAACTGCAAGTAATTTTAATTTTAAATTGTTTTAAATTCATGTTTTTATTTTAATCATTTTGTAAATATAGTTAAGGTATATACATATTTGGGGATTGACTGCAAAACTGTTGTAAGTCTTTCTTCTTTATTTTGTAAGTTACTGTAGTTTTGTGGTTATTCCTCAATAAAGACTAACCCTGATATTGCAGTCAAATATGCTCAAGGTCACTTAACTTTTAGAAGTATTTTTATCACATATAAGTTAGCTTAAACTTTTGACTGAGCACATATATTTTTACACGATAGCTTTACATTTAAATTCCCTCCTTTTGTTTTTAGTAACCACCTCTTGTACCAAATACCTTCATTAGATTATAGGCAATATTAACATATTTTGTTTAATGCATGATTTATGTATTTGCTAGGCCTTTTAGAGTTATACATATTGGTTGATATGAGCATTTATATATATCAGCTAGGATTTTCAAATATTATGTGCTCCAGATCAAGTCATGTGCCATTGAGCATTTGTTATTTAAATGTTGAAGGGCTTAACTAGTCAGTCATGTATTTATAGTTCATACCACCATGTGTTTACGGCATGTAGTAATTACTTAACAGTAGGTGCTCGTGAAAAAAATCAAGTGCATATATCTTATCGCTTTACATGTAATAGTATATATTTGTATTTTTTCTGTGGGTGTCAACTTGTTCAGTTGTCTAGCTGTTATCAATACTGTATGCATAGTCCTGTTTAATATTTGAACAATAATTTTCTTGTTTGGACGATACATTTAAAAAAAAATTTTTTTTATAAAACTGCACGAAGTATATGATTAATTTTCATTGGATAATCACAGCATTTATATAATCTATGTACATAGCTGCTGTAATGGTAGTGCAATTTTAATTTTTCCTTAGATAAAAGTATGGTTTTGTTTTAAAAATTTGTTATAAAATATTTTGGACAGATTATCTGTATAAAATTAATTAATGATTGTTTGGTATGCAAACCTTGCTTGGCAGATCAAGTATGGATATAAGCGAAATAAAGTCATTTAAACCAGGCCAAATAACCGATGAAAAATCTTTTTAACTAATAATATACAATATACATTAATAATCATCCTAGCCTTAATTTAAGATAAAAAAATTTTAAGTGCCACCTATTTTCTTAATTAATACATGTAGCTACATTTAATTATTTACTTTTAGTAACTTTAAAAATTTTAATTGTTTAGTTAACAGTTTGGATGTAAGTTGTAATAGTTTTTGACAATGTCACCATAGTACAAGTAGAGCTAGGCTTAAGGGTGTCCGTGACCGAGTAGTTAGGTCATTGACTTCAAACAACTTGCCTCCCACTGCTGTAGATTTTAGCTGCACAGCATCTTTGTTTTCTTCATGTGAGGAAGCTATCCAGCTAGCTACTGAACTTTGGTGGTTTAACTAAGGTGTCCACTCATGCCTGAATTAATGCATTGAGGGTACCCGAGTTCTTCCCCCATCAGTAAAGCTGGAATGTCACCATATGACCTATACTGTGTTTGTGCGACATAAAACCCAATACAAAATAAGCCAGTCTAGGATATATTTCCACATAGTCTGATATGACTTTTTACCTTTTGTTGGATGCTCACTTTATCAACCATGGACAAATACAATTTCAGAGTAAAGTTCATTATATAAATTAGGATATGCCTTAAGAAGGCTTAAGAAAAGCATGACAAATAAAACAACAGGTTTTTATATAGCATCTTTAAATAAAATTGCTTTGGGCAGTATTTCAAATTGTTAATTTGCTTTGGGCAGTATTTCAAATTGTTAAGTGCCTGTTGGACCAAAGTTGTCCAGAGTATTGATTCTCCAGCATTTTACAAGGAGGGCAGGAAATTTTACTCATTCAGTTACATTATCCAAAGATTACGAATTATTTCACATAGTTATCAGGTCTATTTTCACTTATTTTTAGCTTGATCATTAAATCTTTTTGACCTTTAACCCTTAGTGAGCTAGCAGCCATAATAATGGACCAATGTCACTGTGAACATCTTGATTGGTCAACCTGCTTCTTCCTGTAGTATCACAAGGTTTTATAAAGTTTGCTAATCAATTTTCATTATTTTTCTACATTAAAAACCTTTTAAAACTTAAAATGGACTGTTCCAAATTCAAAGGAGGAATAGTCTATTACAAAATATTAGCAGTAGCAGGGTAGAATTTTTATTAACTTTTTAAAAGCAACTCATAAATTTCACACCAAGAATGATGAAAGATTTTTTTTTCATTTTCTTTATTGTTATATGCTACTGAGATTGTTGAAAATGTTATAATCAAACTTAATTGATATTAGAACAAAAATGAATTTGCATGAACCGGTATTTTCTTTTTTAAGATATTTCAATAAAAATTATATTGGAGGAAAATTGTTTTAATGTAAGTAATATTTAGGTAATTGAGCAAAAATTCAGTATAACTTAGTTTGTAGTACCTAGAAAACTTAAAGTTAAATTGTTGTGTCTTGTACTAAGTTAAGCCCCCTTTTTATATTGCAAATGATTTTTACTATATTTAAGTTGTCTGCATTTTATAATATGTTATATTCAGTCAAGAAAATGCTTAGTCAGTACAAGATCTACAAAATGTCTACTTATATATAATATAGGTGCATGATAGAAAAGTCAGGTATTTTAAAATCTACAATCAATATTGCATTGTTAAAAGTCTACAATTGGCCTCAAGATTATATATATTTATAAAATAATTTTGTCTCAATTTTCAGGATTTTAATTGGACAGTGTACATTCTGTTAGGTTTATTTTAACCAATCAAATACCAGAGATTTGAATTTGAGCTTAGAGAGTTCCTTAATGGATTTGGCCCAATTATTGCCAGGATGAATTATTGTCAAAGGTCTTTGTACATTTTGTTTGGATTTGTTGGCATTAGTAACAAAATAGTGGGCAAAATGTGGCAAAATTACCCTTTGGAATTGAAGAAGTAAACTGTTTGCATTTATTTAGTGATATTGTTTATGATTTTTTTTAATTTATGCTCCTTATTTAAATAAGTACAAGGTTACTATGTAACAAAAGTTATAGGTAATATATATAAAACTGTAAAGCCCCCAAAAAAAGTTAATGACTTCTTTTAGCAGTAAAATACTTGTTTTACAAAAAAAGAATGGATATAGAAGTATAATTTATGTAGAGTAGTTCAGCAGTGTAAAAATGTTTGAATAGATACTGATTTATTTCTATTTTAGGAAATGTTGTTTTGAGTTTTTTGTTTGTTTTTGTTTTATACAATACTTAATACATATAATGTGTCTTCATAAATTTATGATACTGTATGTGTTTTAATGATGTCATGACAAATTAAAATTGTTACAATTTTCTCCTTTTTTACTTTTCATTTTTTCTCTTTCTCCAATATATCATGCCGTTTTACCAATTTATTCCGCCATTTTGTATGGTTCTGTAAACTACAAACATTTTAAACCTTGAAGAAATGGGTTTCATGTTCTGAATACTCAGAAAATTGATTTGGTTTGAAAGGTATTTTTATGCTGAAAAAAAGGACAGTCATATGGAAATATTCCCACTCAGTCATTTAATGGCGACTATGGATTATTTCCAACTATTTTGGTGGCAAAACAATTGAGAAAAAAACAACCCCTTAAGAAACACTATGAAATGGGTGTAGGGGTATGAAGTTACAATTGACTGGTGCATTATGGTTCAGGAACCTGCCATTCCCCTCAAACACTGACTTTCCCTCATACCTGACATTCCCCACATAGTTACATGCCCTACATGACGAGTTAAAATATTTGAGGTGGTACCCGAATTATGACATTGGTGGTCACACCGACATTCGGGTGACTAGGAAAGCTCTACTTATTTTTATTGAATAGTCAAGCTAAAAATACTACCATGACCCATGCCATTTCTCACCATTATTCATCTAAAGTTCTAAAGAATGAATCTGTTTTCATAAACAGTTACTTTACAAGATAATAGTTTTTATGAAACATGAGATAATCTTTGTAAGAATATGCAAGATAATGTCTGTTACAAGATGAGATAATTTCTGTAATGGGACAACCTCTGTAATGAGATAATCTCTGTGAAGAGATAATTATGAGACAACCCCTGTGAAATCATGAGATAATTTCTGTATTGAGATGCAAGACAATCTCTTTGATGAGATAATCTCTGTAACAAGATGACATAATTTCTGTGATGAGATAACCTCGGTAATGACATAATTTCTGTAATGAGATAATTTCTTAACTGAGACATGATCTCCGTGAAGAGATATGAGACAATGTCTGTGAAGAGATATGAGATAATTACTATACTGAGATGAGATAAGCTATGTGATGAGATATAAGATAATTTCTGTTCTGAGATAATCTCTGTGAAAAGATATGTGATAATCTTTGTGTTGAGATAGATAAAGTATCATAGAATTTCATCTCCAATACAATAAAACAACTGGAAATATACATAATTTATTTATTACATCACTATTTATGAACAAGATATATTTCTATATACAAATTGTATTGATTAAATGTAGTTACAAGAATTTGTTACAGAGTTACCAATGTCCCCGGCCTTAGGGAAGTTTTATATGAAGCATAAAATTGTGCTTTTGCAAAAGATTGAGGTATGGATCTCAGGACTTTTAGTCCAAAATAATGATCAATGCTAGATCTGCAAATGCAACAATAAATTTATTAAAGAAATAAAATGAAACACTGAATTTAAAAATCTATAATGTTAAGCTTTGACCTCTAAGTGTGACCTTGACCATGGAGGTAGGGGTGCAGGTGTTGTGCATGACATATCGTCTTATTATTGTGATTATATGTGCATTGTATTTTTAAAATCCCTTGATCTATAAAAAAGTTATTGACTGGACACAAAATATACCCTATAACAGACTAAGTAAATCTTTGACCTCTAAGTGTGACCTTGACCTTGGAGGTAGGGATACAGGTGTAACACATGACATATCATCTTATCATTGTGACTATTTGTGTCAAGTATTTTCAAAATTGCTTGATCTATGAAGAAGTAATGGACAGGACACAAATACCGTATAACAGACTCTGTTAACCTTTGACCTCTAAGTGTGACCTTGACCTTGGAGGTAGGGGTGCAGGTGTTGTACTTGACATATTGTCTTATTATTGTGACTATTTGTGCCAAGTTATTTCAAAATCCCTTGAACTATGAAGAAGTTCTAGATCTACACAATATATACACTATAAGGCTATGTTAATTTTTTACCTCTAAGTGTGACCTTGACCTTGGAGGTAGGGATGCAGGTGTTGCGCATGACACATCATCTTATTATCGTGCCAAGTATTTTCAAAATCCTTTGATATATGAAAAAGTAATGGACCGAACACAAAATATACCCTATAACAGACTATGTTAATCTTTGACCTCCAAGTGTGACCTTGACCTTGGAAGTAGGTGACAGATTGTTGGGTATGACACATTGTCTCATTGTTGTGAACAATTGCGGCAAGTATTTACAAAATACCTTCAAAGATAAGAAAGTTATAGACCGGACACGACATATACCCTCAAATAGACAATGTTGACCTTGAATGAGCAAGTGCAACCTTGACTATGGAGGTAGGGATCTGGTTGTTGCGCATGACACATCGTCTTATCATAACAAACATTTGTGTCAAGTTATTTAAAATTCTTTTGATAAATGACAAAGTTATGGACTGGACACAAAAGTGTGACGGACGGAAAGGCAGACAGACGGAGCCTATTTCTATATCCCACTTTTTTCTTCGAAGACGGGGACAATAACTGGCAATATTGACCAGAGACTGAGTAATCTTCAAGAAATGGTATTGTGTATGCTTCTAAGAAATACCTGGGACTTAAAATGACATATTTAGTCCCATGAATTACATATCCTCCAGGTGCGTTTGATTGACTTTTCCTTTAGATAAGTGCAGAGGTTACAAAGATAATTAAGAAAAAAAGTCAGTCAAATGCACACACGTTCTAACATCTCTTGTTTATTCGGAAACATATTTTGGACAGACCATGCTTTCTTGAGTGAATCATTTAAAGTATAAATAATGTTGTTTATAGAACAATATGAACAGCTGTCATAGGCCAAAGGCGCTTGAATGATTAAATGCTTAAATCTTGCCTTTTTACCCACCCAAATGCAATTTAAGATGCCTAATTCATCTGTTTGTGAACACCAGTAAGTAAGTTGTTATGTAATGTACATACATGTATTTCATAGCAGTGATGTCAGAAAAAAATCATGAAATGGTATGTTTATATAAACAGAATGCATAATGTCAAGGCACAAATAGGCATCTGAGTCTATTCATTGTATTTTGTAAAAATGAAGACAAATAAACATTATCAGGAGTTGACTGATAAAACAGGGGTCTTTAAGCTTAAAAAAACAGTCAAATACCAACTAGAAACAACACTTATATTATACAAATGACTTGTAAAACAGTCTACCATAATGAAAAAAAACAAAGTTGAAACATATAAACTGAAAAATTAAGATTACCATAACTAAACATACTAGACACAAATTTATACTAAGTTTCAAAATTTGGACAGTCTCTTATGCTAATACATTTTCCCTGATGTACAACTTTGTCAGCTGAGCACTGGCACCCTGCAACACACGGCTTAAAACAATTGGCTGTGAGGTTACCCAGTGGGCTGTTCCAATTATCACATGACCTATGACACACTGGTCCACAATCATCAAACATAAAACCATTTTCTGTTTCACAGTTCATTGCTGAAATGTAACAAAAATATGTTTCTGATAAGTTAAAGATACATTCATTCTCAGTAAAAGCAAAATTATGTTCTGTTCTGTAAGACAGGTTTAATACCTGAGAATGAAAGGGACTTTTAACAACCGAATCTAGAAAAATATGAGAATAAATGAAATTCAAGAAACAAATCTTAACCATTTTACTGCTTGAACAAAAACAGATCAGCCTTTGCCACCAGTAAATCAATTTTCATATATTTTGATATTTAATTCCTTTAAATTCTTTAATGAACTTCTACAAATTAAAAGAATGGGCAAATCCATTACATAAATGGACACAAAGCAATAATGGTTAAACAGATTTCTCTCATTGGCTGTTTCTTATATTGATTTCCAATCGTTTGAATTTTAATTTATATGTTCAAATTCTTAAATAATGCTGTAGTTGCTTTGAGCTAAATTTCAGAGACTTGCTTTGTTTAAGTTTGTCTTAAGGTAGTCTTATTGTAATGCTTTCCCGCCAAAAAAATCTTAACATTGGCCAATATCATAGCTTATCAGTTATTTCCGGGATATTATTTTTTCGAGATCTTAGACATTAAATAATTTACAATCACTCCTCCTTTATCGCTATGTACTAAATTCAGGTTATAAACAGTTAAAAATTATTGAATACCGAAGATTGTGAAAAGTAACGTTACGGAAATGACAGATTTATTATGATACGTACGGTGGCGGATGTTAGAATTTTTTTGGCGGGAAAGCATTACTGTAAGACTACCTTAAATCACAAGCATTTATTTGTTTATGACGATTAATGAAACTATTGTAACGAAATATTTCTATCTCTCTTACCACACAATGAATCTGACCGCCACTGTAACCTCACTCCAGCTTTTGCACACTCTTTAGAATAGGAGGTCAAAATGTCACACAGACAAGCAGACTGGTTTACACAAGCACATAAATCATACACACAAGATGCAAAATACGGATCCAGTCTGACAACACTGTGACAAGGTCGGAAATTTTCCGTCTGCAAGTTCAAAAGAGATTTTGTATAGTTATCTGTATAGATTTATAATAATTTTATTTTAAAAAGTCTAGAAAAAATGTAAGAGAAATAATCACGATAGAAAATAGATATAATTTCTGTAGAGAGATTAAACATCACAGTGGTTATATCTAAAAGTTCAATAGATACATGGTAACTTAAGAAACTAAGACAAGAGCCGGTTAAACCGGGTGATGCTCCCCAAACAGGTTTTGGACACAGAGAGACTTCTTCTTGTTGATATATCTTGCAGCTTTAGAGATATGTCCCTGACAAAGTTCACAGTATAAAAATAAAAAAGGGCAATAACTCTAATACCAGGCAAGACAGAGTTACAGTTTTAATGAGAACTATTCACATACAAAGTTTCTTGTTGATTCCTTTTAAAGTTTTAAAGTTATGTCTCGGACAAAGTTCAAAGTGTAACTAGAAATGTGTCCATAGGACACTGATGCCCCCACACGCCACTGTTCTGTCAATCTTATGACTCTAGGTCAAATATTTTTTGGACTACATGTGCCACAAGTTGAAAACTAAAAATCAACAAAGGGCCATAATTCTGTTAAATTTGGTCGCAGCAAAAAATCCTTCCTTTACTACGATCTACACATTAAGGTTGTTAATCCCTGGAAGTTTAAGCAAAATCTGCCATCCGGTTTAAGAGGAGTTGCGTTCACAAAATTTCTACATAGTATAAAGTGAAAAAATCAACAAAGGGCCATAATTCTGTAAAATTGGGTCGCAGCGAAAATTCCTTCCTTTACTACCATCTACACATTAAGGTTGTTCATCCCTGTAAGTTTAAGCAAAATCTGCCACCCGGTTTAAGAGGAGTTGCGTTCACAAAATTTCTACATAGTATAGAGTGAAAAAATCAACAAAGGGCCATAATTCTGTTAAATTTGGTCGCAGCAAAAATTCCTTCCTTTACTACCATCTACACATTAAGGTTGTTCATCCCTGGAAGTTTAAGCAAAATCTGCCATCCGGTTTAAGAGGAGTTGCATTCACAAAATTTCTACAGTTTAAGAGGAGTTGCATTCACAAAATTTCTACATAGTATATAGTGAAAAAATCAACAAAGGGCCATAATTCTGTAAAATTTGGTCGCAGCAAAAATTCCTTCCTTTACTACCATCTACACATTAAGGTTGTTCATCCCTGTAAGTTTAAGCAAAATCTGCCATCCGGTTTAAAAGGAGTTGCGTTCACAAAATTTCTACATAGTATCTAGTGAAAAAATCAACAAAGGGCCATAATTCTGTTAAATTTGGTCGCAGCAAAAATTCCTTCCTTAACTACCATCTACACATTAAGGTTGTTCATCCCTGTAAGTTTAAGCAAAATCTGCCATCCGGTTTAAGAGGAGTTGCGTTCACAAGATTTCGGGACGTACGGACGGACTGACGAACGGACGGACGGACGGACAAGTGCAACGCTATATGCTCCCACATTGTGGGGGCATAAAAATTAACAAAGGCCAGTAATTCAAACAAAAGGCAAGGCAGAGTTATGGTTCTTTTGCACTGCACTTCTACTCAATGATATCTATCTACCTACAATTTAGTTTCTTGTTGACACCTCTTATAGTTTTAGAGTTATGTCCTGACCAAGATCACAATGTAAACATTAACAAATGGCAATAACTCCAAAATAAGGCAAGGCAGAGTAAAGATTCTTATGCACTGCACTTCTACTTAATGAGATCTGTCTACCTACAAAGTTTGTTGTTGATACCTTTTGTGGTTTCAGAGTTAAGTTCTGGCCAAGAAAAATGGACAGACAGACATCAGGATGGATGGACAAAGTGGTGACTATATGCTCTTCCTTTCAGGAAGCATAATAAAAGTGTCATGAATGTTATCTCTGTGTAGTAAATTTTTGTCTTGCAAAAGGTTGTTGATCTACAGTGGTTGTGCTGAGATTGTTACAACACAAAATCTGTGCTAAAAGGGAGTTATTCATCAAAAGTCTTGATAATATAATATTAAGTAAATAAAATATCAATATATTTCAGAACAAGAAATTTTAAAACAATAATTCAAATATATTACATGATCATATCACATTTGTATCACATGTGTAAATACATTCCATCATTGCTATTGAAAGACTTATAACACATCCCATCAATTTTTAAAGATGGTCTTCTCAGACAGCAAAACACGTCCCCAAAGACTGGTGTCACAGAGAGCCATCCCGTAATTATGGCCTGTATGATCTAGACTTACCCGTATGATTTCACACATGGATGTAGCCTGTCTACGTCTACGGAAACCAGCTGTGACGCAGGGATCTGTATCTGTGGCATCTTCACATCTAGATGTCCTCTGCTCAGATGCCTATATGATATAAAAAGAAAGCAAACATTAGACTGAATACAGGTATCCAAAATTTATTTCCTTGAATTGAAATTTATTCACGATATTTTGGCTTTCATGATGTCATTATTAACTAAGACTATGCTTCTTAAATCACAGATAGATTAACAAAGTACACATTAAAGAAAGTTCGCCCTTACATTATGATAATATAAGGCGGATATTTGTTTGTTTTGAGTGGATATGCTACATATCACATTAACAAGAGGCAAACATGCAATATTTTCATGGGCAGAAAGTGCCAGAGAAATTGTGGGTTTTTTCTCACAGCGATATGTGATTGATAGCATATTCTCAGACACACAAAAATCTTATTATTTTATGCCTTATATGTATAATAACTGCAATGTTGGGCTGTTTTCATTGAATCCTGTGAAAAAGACCTATGCCGTTCAACAGCTATGAGAGCAAAAGTAATTCAAGTTTGTAGTCATTGTGAAGTAATTTTTAAAAGGAATAAAGAGAAAATATTTTCAAATTTAGAGAATCAAGGAAATTAAGACATATGCTTTAAACAGTTTGGCCAGCTATATATTGTGGGTGACATGGATTTTATCACACCAATAAAACCTAGTTTCTCACTTGTTAACATAAAATTAAATAAAATTACACATGAGTTTCATTCTTGAATATGCTGAAATGGCATCATTTTAATGTGGTTTATTCATAAAATGCACCTAAATAGCAACCAACTCATCTGGCACCACCCCCCCCCCCATGTCAGAGGAAATTTCTGGCATGGGAAAAAGTAACAGAAACGCCAGTCTGATATGCAAGATTAACTTATGTCACCTCATCTCTACCATATTAAACTCATATCTCAAATATTTCTTCATGGAGCATAAAAGAAATGATGATTATCACCATTGTTAGCTTCAAATATAATATACTTACCTTCCAACTATTTCCGAACAAAGCTGGTGACCTTGTTATCTCCCCTGATTTGGTTCGTAAATCATCCTGCGGGTAGCCGTTGAAGTTTCCGCACAAACCGCAGGTCTTATGTCTGTATTTACCAGGAACTGATACTTCTGCATAGCTGGTACCATCCCAGATAAACTAACAGATAATATGACAAGATGTAAAGCATATTTGTACCATTAAGTTCTAACAGGTGGTTTACTTCTATTGTAATATGGCCCGTAATACGGGTCAACTCCCTGACAGTCTTCTGACTTACGGGACAATCCCTGATGTCAAAGATGTTAAGGCGTGTTTAAAGCCATGATAACAGATATACCACCAGTAGTCATTTTTAACATGCACAATAACTCAGTCTGACAAGGCAATTCTGGTTTTTCTCTTGAATTTTGATACTTAAATTAAAGCTAAATTTCCAATTACAGTCAAACCTGTGTTAAAAGACCACCTCTGAATAATGACCATCCCATAGAAAGAGGCCACTCTTTGACAAAAATTTATTGATATATACAACAGAGTACACTTGATTAAGACCACTTGTCTATAGAGGCCATGGTTGGTCTATCCTTTGGATGGCCTTTTTTCACAAGACCTGGTTTGACTGTATATTTATTTTCAGTATAACCTAAAATAGTTGAAAGTGTAAACATTTAAACAATAACAACAGTACCTGAATGCCAACTTTTGTATTAACAAAGATATTGGTGTCCTGTCTCTCTATGGCCAGATCTGTACCAACACTGTATGGTAGTGTGACATCCCTTCCATTTACCTACATGAAAAACAGAAAAAATTATGACAACTTGTATTGTTTACAGAAAAATTTATATAATTGATGCTTTTTTAAAGTTTCCACTTGGTAAAAGCAAGAATTATTTCCTAGCTTTTTGTCAAATGCAAGCCTGAATTGCTGTTTTTTATCATTCCTCGATATAAGCGAGCATTGAGCACATAATTGATTACCATGTAAGCGTGTATCATTGACTTGCATCATCTTAATGAAAGTGACTTTCACTGACTTAATTTTACCTGTCAAAAATATGTAGATTTTTCGGCAGAACATGCCTGAAAAGTGTGTTATAATATGGATTATTCATAAGGGCATTCTGTGCATAAAATTACAGAGTTACTATTTAAAAGGCACAATGTACTGGAACAATTACTGAGCAATGAGTGTAAAGTTTCTTGCTCAAACAATAGCTTGCACCTAATGGACCTTGAACTCACGCAGTTAGTGATCCTTGGATAATAAGAATGACATGCTAACCACTAGGCCAATGCTGCCAGTTGATTTTAGGACAATATAACCTGTACAAAGCAGCCCTCTAAAATGCCCTCTTTAGAGCAATCGCCTCTTTACAACAACAGTATCAAGTCCTCCAAAAATAAGACTTTAAAACGAATGCAACCTCTCTAGTCCAACACCTCTCAATAGCAACTAAAATCTTTGTCTCCTGTACAGTGTTGCTCTGTAGGGGTTTTTCTGTATACTTACCAGTACTACATGTTGTTGAAGAAGTTGGACTGTGATTCTACCAGCTAGGATAATTGTAAAATTCTGGGCCCATGATACACCACTCACACCTCTATCGTCATGTTCTACTTCAACACTGTAAAATATAAACTAGAGCTGTAACTTGGACAGAGTGTGAAACTAAGTGCTTGAAAGTAAAATCTGGATAATGTAGAAGTTCAATAAAAGGCTAAAATTCTGTCAAAATCCATGTTAGGATTATGGACCTTGGTATGTGTCCTCATTTAATGCTCTTAAATATGTGTGCAAGTTTCAACCAATTCTCCTCCGTAGTTTTGGAGATACTAGCTTCAGCAGTTTTGGAAATACAAGCTTGAACGGAAAAAAACTAAACAAAAGTGTAATGCCGATGCCAAAGCTGAGTGAGTACAATGCTCTCTGTTCTATGAATAGTCAACCGAATGCATAACTTTTGAAGGTTAGCCTAATGATTAATTTTTGTAAATAAACTTTCAAGCAGTCTATACCATTCCCAGTTAGAGAAAAATCAGTCTTAGTCATAGATCATAAGTGGAAGATTATAGGCACTGTTGTATTTTGATTACAGCTATGGTTCATTATAGGCTCGACATTTCTGCACCATCCAATGGCAGAGTTAGTTGATTTAGCAATCCTTAGAAGATTTAATCTCCAACAGAGTCTCTCCAGTGGCTAGCAGAACCACGGCCAATAAGAGGATATAAAGATAGAAGGGGATCAAGCCCGGACCTCCATGCATAATGTAAGACACAACCAAAACATAAAACTTAATGTTTGGTGCTGAATAATCAAACCTTTCGATTCCCTTTAATGTATATATTCAAAATTTAGAAAAAAGCTGAACAAGTGTTTTAAGGGCACTATTGCTGTTTAGTATCAACACTGAAAAATAACCTTACATAAAGTCCTCTTGTTCACAATCTGTTGCCATTAAATATCGGCATGTTCCCTGGAAATGTAACGTGCTACCGTCAAATGTCCTGTAATGCGGGTCTCCATACACCAAACATGTCCCTGGCTCTGAAAACAGAAAAACAGGCTTTCAAACATAGTATAAATATGCCATATATAATTGAGAATCAGACCATTGGGACACTGGTTATAATACTCTGTAAAAATAATATTTATGTTTGACTTTGGCTTTTCCATAATTTTTAATCAGTGATTCAGATATGATTAAAAACTTGCAGCAGTACTCTAAGCATTATCCAACTTGATAGTGTTGAAATAGAGCACCAATGCCTTTACTAGAAATTTGGCTCATTGGAATACAATTCAAGAGCTGAAGCATTTCTGAAATACCCAGCCATATTCACCTTGAATTTCCTTTTCTACCCTATAGGTGACATATCATCCTCATCATACATACAAGTCTTATTTCCCCTCTTCCTTGCTTCTTACACACATTCAGTCGCAATAAAGAAACATCATGAGTGACAGCATGGCCGAGTGGTTAACACATCAGATTAGTAATCTTATGATCCCTAGCCTCATGGGTTCAAACCCTGTCAGGAGCAAATCCTTGTTTCCTTAATCAAGAAACTTTACACTCATTGCTCAGTACAGGTTGGTTCCAGGAATGGATTCGAAACTGTGTCTGTAAGCTTATAGCTTCCTACACAATCAAACTAAAATAAATTCTGTATAAACCAAACTAACAGCATACTGACCAGCACTACAAATCCTTCATGCTTAGTAAAAACCCAATTGGTGCAGAGTTCAGTCCTGCTACCTACTGCATACAGCTTAAACTACCACAAAACAACCCCTATGGAGCTTTGGCACCAAGAACATGTTACACTGGCAGCTTGGGCCACTGGTAACAATATCTGTTTATACTTCTACATGTAGTTAAAATACTGCATGTTTGTAATGTCACTTTTCATTGGATATATAATTTATATAAACTATATATACATTATTGCTGTCAATTCATGAAACAGATTAAAGAGTCTTGGCTTTATTATAAATTTTTTATAAAGGTTATTGACAGGTTATATGACAGTTTATCAATGGTTGTGTGCATTATAACCTCTCGCCCAGTGACTTTGGTTATATGTGCAAACAACTATTTATTAAGGGCCACATAACATGTCAAAAAATCATTATAACTAATATAATAAAGATTTTTGACAGGTTATATGACCTGATATATTATATAAATGGTGCAAGGGTTATATTGCAAACAACCTTTAAATGATCATAAATTATATTAAATAGTGAAAAAAAATTAAATCCTGACAGGTTGCGCATTTAAAAAACCGGGTACCATATAACTTGGTGAGTTACTTACTAGGTGTACAAACAGGGCAGCAGGAACCAGGAAGTATTGCTGGAATATTGTCTGATCCACAGTCCAGGATGGGACATAGTGTACTGGAACAGTTGACTACTCCATTCATACACTGGCAACTTGTACATTCATCAGTGTTCCATATATCACCTGCCTGGAAATATATCATTTCATTAGTGTTCCATATATCACCTGTCAGGAAATATAACATTTCATAAGTGTTCCATAGATCACCTGCCTGGAAATATAAAATTTCATTAGTGTTCCATATATCATTTGCCTGGAAATGTAACATTTCATTAGTGTTCAATATATCACCTGTCTGGAAATATAACATTTCATCAGTGTTCCATATATCACCTGCCTGGAAATATAACATTTCATTAGTGTTCCATATATCACCTGTCTGGAAATATAACATTTCATTAGTGTTCCATATATCACCTGCCTGGAAATATAACATTTCATTAGTGTTCCATATATCACCTGTCTGGAAATATAACATTTCATTAGTGTTCCATATATCATCTGAAAATATAACCAACATTAATCAGTGTTTCATCAATTGCATAAAATTATAACAATTCATCATTGTTTGTAATTGGGGGTCAAGGCCACTGGTAATGTTGTTTTTCACACTTTTGCTTTTACTGCCTTTTAATGGCTGGTGTGCATTGAAATACATTGACAAATATGCATGTTGAATGAGCATCCATCTCCCTAAGTGATATTCCTGTCTAAACAATTAGGTAAATACTGATCATTACCTGTTTTTCTCCTCCATTATGTACACATCTTCTCTCTCTTTGAATTCTTTCACATCTCGGACAACACTGACCTTGCACAGTAACCTCCCTTTCCCCTGCCAAACATGGAGGACAATATCTGGCCCTGCAGTCTATATTACCTGACTGAAATAAAAAATATATATTTATTTATAACTTTCCAAATTTACATATTTAAAGACAACTAAAGTGTTGAGGCCCTAAGACAAAGTACAGTCAACAAAAAAAGACTCAATATTTACATCTTGATAAAGATACTACAAATTAAAACTTGTTATTTATGTGGTCAAAGGTGACCTATTCTTTGCTTGGATTGATTAAATAGACCTTAAGCTGCTTAATATACCTAGTTTATAAACATTGTAATCAGTCCCTCCACTATGCTTGACATAACAGTGGCAGCTTTCTTCTCTTAGCCATAAATTTCAAAGGTACACAATACTGATAAATTACACCTTGCCTAGTACTGGATGTAACCACTGACCCTGGAATCATACCTTGCAAGTATCATTATGTACATTGTATTTGAGAAGGGAACCATACCTTCCAAGTACCATTATGTACATTGTATTTGAGAAGGGAACCATACCTTCCAAGTACCATTACGTACATGAACATTGTATTTGAGAAGGAAACCATACCTTACGTACATTGTATTTGAGAATGGAACCATACCTTACAAGTACCATTATGTACATTGTATTTGTAAAAGGAACCATACCTTACAAGTACAGGTAATGCACTGGCTGTCAGAAGATACCCATTGCTCCTCGTCCTCATGCTGTCTCTTTGTCTGTGGATCAAAACAACCTGCAACAATTCAATGTTCATTTGTATCTATAGTAATCATAATAATACATTGGTTATATTTAGAGTTTTACTGATTATTCAATAATTGGTTTAACTCTATTTCTTTTTATAGTTGTAGCATTATTTGTCCTTACAAACACGTGGATATTGCAGCATTGTTTTACAGATTTTGCATCAGTACTAATACACCCTCTGATTCACATAAACTAGTTGTAGTTTCATACTTTCTTCACAAAGTAAAACTCAATGTGCTATTTTGTGTATAATATCATATTATGAACTGCTTCCAGGAAAAGTTGCCACTACTTTTTTGTTGGGTTTTACATAGCAACAACACTGTCAAGGTTATTTGGCAACTTTCCAGGTTACTGGTTGAGGCAGCCCTCAGGAGACCCCACATGCATTATTTCAGGCACGAACAGGCACCTGAGAAGAATCATCAAGTTTTGTAAGCTACCTCCAGAGCTTCCTCATATGAAAGAATCCAACTTCACTGGCGGAAATACTAATGGATAACATTCTCAAATGCATCCTTTATAACACCTTTATATGAATCACTAATCAACTTTAGCCGGCAATAACCACTACTTACAATGCATGCACATGATGTATCTTTGAGGTATATATATTATGCACAATTTTCAGACAAAAAATTCAAGATGAACCAGGAACCTTCTGAAAGCTTACTGAATATTTTTTCTTCTTTAATATAATTAATTCTTAGCCTCTTGAGCTTTTGTAATGGACTTGCCCTGTTTTGAATTTTGAAACAGTCCATTTAAGATTTAAGGGACAATATTTAAATGTTGAATTCTGCTTAAGATGGTGCTAGGGGGGCTGGATGGTAGCTTGCACTTTCCGTCCATGTACAGTCTCAATCAAACCAAGCCTGCAACATTTTCAATTTTGTCATTCTGCGAGTTCTTTAGGGATATTATTTTTCTCTATTTTAAGAGATTTCAATTTCGAAATACAAAAATTCAGCTCCCTACTGAACAGTACAGTTTAGATCCTGGTTAGATTGCAGACCTGGCTCTATATTTATAGCAAAAGATATCACAATGCCAAATTTCCTAAACTTGGCAAGGTACTTTTTTCCAAAATGGCTAGGACAAGGTCTGGTAATCTAAGTCTCAGATCCAGCAGGTTAGGGTTTGAGTACATTCATCAACAACAAAACCTACCTGAACATGTGGCACAGCATTGCCCGGCTGCAACAACTGGGTAGTCACAATCCAGTCTCTCACACTGTAGCTGTGAGCATGATACATTACCTCTCTAAAATATACAGCATAGATCATTTATTAAGTAAACAGAGTGTTATGAATATCTTATGGCATTAATAGTTATAATCAGGATTTCTGACCAATGAAAATGCTTCTAATACTGTAAAATCATTATTATTCGTGGGGCACAAATTTTCGTGGGTAGGTCAATCCTCGAATTTAAGAGCCGACGAAATTTTATCCCAGCAAATACTTCTTACCCTGTCTCTGTTCTATATATTACAAACATGTGTCAGCTCTTTTCCGGTCGATTTATGTGAAATGGACGTATTTTACATACATATAATCAGGTTTAGTGACAGATTAAATCCGTTTGCAATATTTAAGAAACTTGAAAGAAAACTCAATTATATGTCCTCAATTTACTGTCACAAATGCCAGTCGCATATACACACTTGATCATTGTAGTTATCTTGATTGTGTTAACAATACTTGACATAATCAAGTAAATATGGGAACCCAGGCAATGCAATAGTTAGCGCTTATAAAAATTGTCAGTTTGCTCTTATTAATTTAAAAAAAGTCTTTGATATTAATGTCGTAAGTACACAAAACTATAAGAATACAATAGCTAAAACAGATTTTTTGTACATTCTTTTGTCGTTTTTAAATGATTCTGTTTAAATGAATTTTAATCTGTATATGTGCGAATGCTATTCCATAAACATAAAAGACGCCACCAACTTTTACTAGATCCACACATACTCATGTTATTTACTCAGATTAATTTATATGAATGTATTCAATTCATCCCTGTAAATTTTACAAGAATTCAGACCAATCTCAGACGGACTTCGTCCGAAAAACAAGCTATGGCACTCAGTCTGTGTTAGTTTCAACATAATTATATAAATAATAGAATTTCTTTTTTTATAGTTACCCAACAAAACATTATAATAGCAATATTCTATGACAAAACAATGACAAAAATGACTTACATCACACCTGCACTGTGTACAGGGATCGTCTAACAGACTAAATGATGATTGGTCGATCTGGAATTGACCTTGGTATAGGCAAGTCTCACATATAGGGCAGCAACCATCACTGTCTGCAGCATGGGTACAATATACTGGACACTTTCTGTTGGAACACTCAACATTACCTCCCTTAAAAGACAGTTTTAGAAAGACAATCAATTTGTTACTTTACTTCTGGTACAACATTTGTTATTTCTTTTATATAATGCTAGGTAATTATCAAGCCAATATTGGTCTTTGTCAATAATTACTTTGTCAAAAATTATGTCCAAGAACTAATACCAGCTCCATTGCTGATTGTGTACCACTAACTAACCAACTGCACTTTTCTAAGATGAGTTGATATCAGCAAAAATCGATCTTGGCCTGAGTTTTGATATTACAACAATAATATGCTAAATATAAACACAATCACTGAAAACCTTCAAACATTATGATGCTGAAACCAACTGTCTTCAGGCGGACATATAGCATGGGACAGAATTTAGATAAGGGGGGCCATTTCTTTTGTTATTTTCTTTTGCTTTATTAAGGGTCATTGGCCCTTTATTCTGCTGGAACTGGTTGAACTCTATGGTTCTCTTTTATTCTGTTAACAGTTAGATGGCCCCGGCTATCCCACCCTAGTGGGGACAGCCAAACTGATTGATGGAATCACAGCGCCATATCATAATATGTCCCGAAGATCTTGAACAAATAAAAAAAGCAAAACCAACCGGGGTTTCCACATAAGGTTGCTATTTTTCATTACCAAGTTTTATTATAAAACCTCATTCCAAACTGTAGTTATTGTCCGTAAACCAAAAAGGAGACCAACCGACTGACCGACAAACTGACTCCAATATACCACCCCTAAACTTCCTTTGTGGGGGTATAACATTCAACAGACACAGCAAATTTGTAGTCTAATTCTCTTTAAACACGAGTTGAAAAAAAATCAATTATTTATACATTTTATGATTACATGTATATCAAACAAGTTTTTCTTTATGTAAAGTCAATTAAATCAATAAAACCCTGTCTCGAAACCTTCAGAAAACATTTATACATACATTTATACAGAAAATTGCATGTACTCAAATAAATCAAATTTTAAGCAAAGAGATTTATCAATGTATAAGAGAAGTAATATAATGTGAGACAAAACCTTGAATTAACATAACAAAATGTCTACGTATATCAACCCACTGATAAAAACTTTAAATTTAAAATATAATTTTTGAAATGTTTAAAACGCAATACTAGCTCCAGATCAATAATGTCATGAATGAAATATCAATATTGATAATGAATAAACTGCATTTGTAAAAGGCAATAGAAAATATATAAGTTATTGTGTATAACATGGGACTACAATGTATGTATTATTGACTTTCTTAACGATTCCTATGTCTGCATTGAATTTAATTGATAAATTTAATAACTAATATTTCATTTGAAGCAGAACAAACTCAACTATCATTACATTTTTATTGAATGAGGACAAATATTTTCAACTTCAACGTATGCAAGACTGCACATGACAAAATACTGGGAGTACATCTGTTATAAGAGTTGCTTCATGAAGTTCTATAATACAGTTACAGAAAAAAATGGATGGATTTCAATTAGATCATGTTGGTGTTGCCATAGTTACTGCTTTTGTAATGTTTGTGACATGGTATGTGACTCAATATCTTAATAGTAAAACAACAATATCTAAATCAACACAAACCATAAACAAAACGGGAATGAAAAAGGTTGCTGAAACACAAACAAAAAAGGTTGCAGAAACACAAACAAACAAAGTTATAGCAGTTGAAGAAACACAGGCAAGGGAAGTAACAACAAACTGTGCTCAAACTGAAACTATGAGGTTTACAGAAGGGCTGACAAATTACGGTGACAAGAAAGTGGACCTTCGTGAGAAATTTGATAAATTTTGTGAAATTTGTGAGGCAAACATAGGAAATGAAGCTGTGGGATTTTGTAAAATATGTGAAAAGTTTATGTGTTTAAACTGCTGTAAACACCATGAGAAAATTCCACTGTCACAAAGTCATATGTTGTTAGGAAAAGAGGAGTTTACAGAAGTAAGAAATAAAAAGAAACTGTTTGAGAAAAGTTTTGTTCTTTTTGACAATTACTGTTTTCACAAATGTGATCTGAACAAGAATCATACTGAATGTTGGAAATATGACCACAATATTCAACTACTCTGTTTGGCACAAAATCTTGATGATATGTGGAATTCAATAGGATGTTTTGCTAAGCTGTATAAGGGCAGTCAAATTGTTTACACTCATAAACTAATGTTGCTGTGGCAGGACAATAAATCCAGAGAGATAAAGGATAGGAGTATGCTGTCAGAAAGTTACATACCTGGAGGCATTTGCACATTCAAAAATACTTCTCAGAAAAGTTTTGGATGGTACTTCACAATTCCTGATCAACAAAAGATATATAGATATGCCGAATATGCAGACCAAACTGATGTAGAAATTCTTCGTACCTGTGGTAAATGCTATGGAATAGCAGTTTTCAATGAAGGTCTCGCTATATCACTTAATATACCTACAAAATATTCACTTCCAGAGTGGCAAGTACAGTTTATATCTTATGATGGTACTGTACGCAAACAAATATGTCTTGACGATGAAGGGGTACCATTGTTCCAGGAACCGAAACATCTCACATCCAATGATGCTGAAGATATCTTATTTGTCTCTGACCAGGGAAATCATTTGGTTATTGCTTTGGACATTAAAGGCTATACACTCTTCAAATACACGCATGATTCAATTAGAACCCCTCGTGGAATAACCTGCGATGATGAAGGAAACATTTATGTTGCTAGTGAAAACAAAGTTGTACAAATAGATCAACATGGTACAAAGTCTAGAGTTATTCTGAACACTAAAGATGAACAGTCTAACCTGGTGATTGATGTATGTTATAACAAGTTTACCAGTGAACTTGGTGTTCTTAGCCAGTCTTCTGAAGTGACTATTTTAAAACCTTTACCTTGAACAATTTTCTACACAGAAGTCAAAAACAGTAGATCATTTATACATGCCTTAGTACCAACGTAATTGCTTTTAATAACCATTTCTCTATGAAACATTCAAAATCATAGCCTATTTTAGACAGAAATATAGTCCATCTATGGAGAAGAATTATTTAGGACTTTGATCTCATGCTCATCCATTATGTAAAAATTTTGTTTGTTGAATCCTTGTATGTAAATTTATACAATGTCATACATGTTAATATTGCTTTTTTAAAGTGGCATGCTTCTACATCAATAAAATAATTCTTCAGACACTTATCTATATTTGAGTTTACATCTTATATGAAAGTTTAGCTATCACTATCAAATTTACTATTTTCATTATCAACATGATATTTTGCCACAAATGATGTAAGAGAAATTTCTGTATATCTTATGTTGCAGTTATTTTTTGGGGATATTAAATGTTCTTTTCTTATTAAATGAAATAGAATCAGAATAAATCTTAATAATAATTAAATATCATACAAATGGCGATTCTTTTTTTTTTTAAAAATGGAGACAACTTTAAAAAAACTATAACAGATATCAGGTACCCAACCATGATAAAGTTTAATCTGAGAGCCTGTTTGTCATCTGGAATGTTTGCAAATGAATAAATTAAATTAATTATTAATACATGAATATCATCACACTTTTGTGTGAATTTTCATGTTCTTATTTTATATGGACATGAAATAGTTTTGATACATAAGAGGATGCATTTGAAATATGTAACCTCCCTTGCAATTTCCCCTCCCCCCTTTGCTTTGAATAAGTAACTGATACAAAAATTGTAGTTATTGTATTATGATTTGAAAGTGAAAGTATGATTTGTAAATAAAATTCCATTTTCCTTAAATGTTGTTGTTGTTTGTAAATAGTATTGAGGAAAATGAAAACCAAACAACTTTTAATGAACGTAAAGTGCCATAAAAAACATTAAGTCATTATGACATCATTACAACTGTTGTGATCATAAAAATCATTGGCTCTGTCAAGATAAGATAGATTTATTTTGGCATTAGGCATACACATGGTAATATAAAAACATGAAGTGAAACATAACATATCACAACATGAGCACAGTCACCAAGACATGCACAACAACACCAGTGATAACACCAACAAGAACAATCTGTAATCACATGTGTTACCTGATGATTGCCAAATATGTAGTTGTATTGAAGTGGTGACTGACCAGTTTGTTCCCTATATGTAGAAGCTATTTTGTAGCAAGTTGTTGCTACTGTGTACATTAACAGGCCAAAACGCTTTTATAAATTCAAGGGAAATAACTTGACTTAAAATCAGTCAGCTTGAAAACCCATTAATTATGCACAAGTACTTAAGGTATTGATCAATCCTGTATAGATTCGTAGTATAAGAGAAATAGTCTAGACAAAACTTTAAAAAGAAAAGAAATTAAAAGGCCATAACTCTGACAACTAGAACTGCCACTGTCTTGGCTTGAATACCCCCGCATACCACTTTATCAGAATCAACAGTGGCCACTTAGAGCTCAAGGACAACCTCCCTGCCGAATCTGAGGTTACTAAGCCAGTGCATTGCTAAGTTAAGTATTCTACATGCTTCAAATGTGAAAATGTCAAAATCAATACACTGCGGACAAGCATTCTTAAGCATTTGAGCAACCAAGCTTATTATAGTAAAACATCCCTGTGACTTGACCTTTGACACAGTCACCTAAAAATCAAAAGGGGTCATGTACTAGTCATAAACAACCTCAATACTAAATATGAAGTCTGTTGACCTTGACCTTTGACCCAGCAACTTCAAAATCAATAGGGGTCACCTTACGGTCATGATCAACCTCCATGCCATATATGAAGGCTGTTGGTCAAAGGAATCTTAAGTTATTGACAGAACAATCTTGTTTTAGTCAAGGCCCCTGTGACGTTGAACTTTGACCTGGTAACCTCAAAAGAAATAGGGGTCATCTACTTATCAAGACCAATCTCAATACAAAATATGAAGACTGTGGGTCTAAAGAATCTTAAGTTATTGGGCCGACAAGCTTTTTTAGTCAAGGCCTGTGACCTAGACCGTTGACCCAGTGACCTCAAAATCAATAGGGGTC